AATTGTAATACATCATTTATTAAAAAAATAACTCGGCAGAAACGTATTTGCGACTCGAAATCAGTTTAATCAGACTGTGCATCGGGGCCCCGGAAACTCCTCATTCCTCGCTTTCGCACACTATGCTCAATTGCGTGTACGTGAGCTCGTTGAGTTTCGGAAGAGCCGAGAAGAACAGGCTGATACTCGCTTTCCTTCTCGCTCTTGCATCGCTGACGTCGTTTACATTTCTCGAAAGCAAGCCTGGCATCGCTAACCGTTCGAATCGTCAGTAAACGACAAAAGCCATCGTGACTGACAGACCTTACATTTCTCGAAATCGGACCTGGGCGCTTTTTGAAGATTCATTCACTTTCCATACGAAGCGACCATGCGTTATATACATATACATGTTATACATGCTAGGAACTATAAATTGTATAACTTTCGTTGTATATCTACTTTCTAATAACATGGGAAAATTTTAAAATATAAAAAAATGTAAGAATACTGTAGAATTTTTGCAATGGAGAATTATTGAAAGAAAATGAGGTAATTATTTAGAAAAGGCCGGGTCTCACCGATTTCGATGATTTTTGAATATGTTGTAGAAATCAACATTTTGAGCAACTTTTTCCTATACATATAACCGCTGCTCGGCCTTAGTTTCCGAGATTTTTCTTCAAAAAGCTCGCTACTACTACAATGAATTCTGTCTATATGTACATATCTGTGGCTCTGTATTGCATCAGTCCATGATCGTTGCTTTTTTCTCTTATTTGTATTAGTCGGCATGACAACCGACGACAAATAATGTATAATGTGTCGAGCTAAATCTAGTTCTGCATTGTTGTCAAAGGTTCGAATATTCTGAAGTATGGAACTCGCCAAATACATTATGTAGGCTATTTAGGTGAATTCTTCTTCCGTCGACAATATCATGCTAATGATCTAATAATTAAATTTGTCGAAATAATGGCTGAAATCTTTCCCACTTCTGATAATATCAATAAAGAAAATTGAAATAGAAAATGAATGCGTGGCCGCCGTTAGGCGGCCGGCTACACAAATCGAGTTTTTAAGCACAGCTGTTATACGCATTCATTGTCGGCCGCCTCGATGTATCTATAGAAACAAAAAACAATCGGCGAGTCGTATACATACTGCAGATTTTTTGTCAACAATCGGCGAGTCGTATATATATAACAGGCACGTAAGTGTAGATAGAATTCATTGTAGTAACAGCGATATTTGTGATATTATATGGTACAACTTTGGAACCAAGTAAGGCATTGTGTTGAAATTTGGTTTATACGTATTTATGGACATTGAAGAACACATATTTACAATACAAAATAAAAATTTATTTCTCATAATTTTCTATGGTATGGTAAATTCTGAAACAATTCCCAATATACATAGCAGGTTGATTTATACATGTTTCACAATAAAATGTTGTTTGACGTCTTTCTCCTGGTGTTTTCCTGTCGGAACAAATAATGCAGTCCCGGTTTCTTTGGCCTACATTTGGAATATGTAGCTTATTATTCATTCTATTGTCCGACAAAGAACGTTAATTTATTTAGATTATAACGAAGATAGCAATAGGAATGGTTCGACTTTGAATGAAGTTTCGATTTTACGTTTATAGTTTTTTACGTTTACGTTTTATGTTCTTTATGTTAAATAATTTTAGTAAACATTAAATAATATAGTTTATATAGTTACGTTTATTGTCCACGTGTTTGAATCCGACCATACGCCTCTGACCATCCTCGACAATCCTTCCACTTCCAACGTAAAAACGGCTGATATATTTCTCATTTTAATAGAATATTTCCCATTTTAATAGGAAAGTACAGGAAAACATGTGTTTCTTAAAAAATTGCGGTGAAATCAGTTCATTCTCCTTAATCACTAATAAACTTTCATGTCCCCTCAGAGGGGACAACCAAGTGCAAAGGGTTAAAATATGTTCATAAAATATTATCGTTTTAAAACGTGTATTTCCGTAAAAACAAATTTTTGTAATTTTTTCTTCATTATGGTATATTGCTTATACATTGTATACGCCTACATAGGTCGGAAAATCAAAAATGCCTGGGCAGTCGAGAATCTCGGCTCGAGATTATGCGAGATCGAATTTCAGCTGTGTTGAGAGCAAGAAGGATAGACTCACATTCGCCGCCTTTCTCGAATCCACGAAGCTATACGAAACGCCAGAACTCATATACAAGGTGGTTGGCATTAGTGTGTGTGAGTGGTGGGGCAGTTCCCTTTCGGCACGGGTCTGCCGTCTGATAATACTCCACTGTCTTTTCCAATCCCTCCCATAATCAACTCACATGTATTTACGTACACACTCAGCTGGCTGACCATCAATCTAATTCAGTGCAGAGATGCCAGAAAAGCACCGCCGGGTGCACACGCACACATGCCAGATACGCGTACGTGAGCTCGTGGAGTTTCGGAAAGTCGACAAAGGCAAACTAACGCATGCCCTCTTTCTCGATTCTCCGAAGCTGCCCGAAGTAATTTCGGATCGCCTTGTGGGAGTCGAGAGAGAAAGGTTCACATTTGCCTTCTCGCTCTAAACAACTGAAATCCGACCTCCCGTCAACGGCATACGATTTGGATTCTCGAGCCGAGATTCTCGACTGCCCAGGCATTTTTACTTTCCGACCTATGTAGGCGCACATAAGCAAAGTACCCATAATGAAAAAAAAATTTTGTAAAAATCATTTTATGGAAATACACGTTTTAAGACCTCCTGATCATATTTTAATTATTGAAAAAAAAGACATTTTTTTTTATTCCCATGTATGAGCACACATATGTATATTATTAATACGATTGAATATAAATAGCTGAATGAATTTAAATGAAACTTTACATTTAAGTTTTATGTTCTCATTTCAAAGGCGTGTGGACGGATTCAAATACGTGAACACTAAACGTAACGATGTAATTATATTATTTAATATTTACTAACTATTTAACATAAAGAACATAAAAGAAAGACATAAAACGTAAACGTAAAACTGTGATTGCTCTCGACTAACGTTCGATACAGAGTGACGTTCCTGCAGTCAAAGTCAAACAAAACGCACGTTCGAGACGCAGTCTCTAAAACGTATTTCAGCTTAAACCTAAACACCTCACTCGATACCTACTCTAGCTTAGACTAAACACTCCTATCGACGCAAACGATAACGGCTCTCCTAGCCACACACATACACTCCTTACAGATTATACCTCTTGTTTCATAGTTGTTCCGATATATAGACATAATGTATAAAAAATCTTTTAAATGTTTCATACAAATCTTAGGACGAATTAAATTTTATATAAAAAAAATTATATAAACTTTTTCTCTATCTTCTCTAGAAAAGAAAACATTAAATGAAATCTTATACATTACATGCTTACTTAAATCGCATTGAAAACGAATACCACAAATGTTTTAGAATAATGTGCAAAATGTGATTGCGATTTTCGCTAAGACAAATTGAAAACTCGTTTCTAACAAGGAAAAGTTGGAATGGTACCAGGTTTTGGGTTAGGTTTTACTTTGAGATATTATTAAAGTTATTACAGGTACTTATTTTCAGAAATAGAACTATGTTCACCAATAATGAGCGTGGCGTGAGTGATGAGGTCTTTGCCTGCAAGTTCCGAACTTCTTCTGCTCTGCTGGTTCGCGAACCCTGCTTGAACTTTTTTTTTTTATTTATTCAATCATACTTTAATCGTACACTAAATATGACATTATATTTTTGTCTGACCTTCGAATATTTTTTTTTAAAGTTAAATTTAACCGATTACATTTAACATATGTTATTTTCAATGTACGAAGTACATGAATCTGGATGGTACTTTTCACAAAAACAGTCAAAACATAAAAATTTCAAGCACCACGTACATTTACTGAAAGTTTTGTTTTCACAGAAATTACAAAATTTTGTATTTAACTCTGATGGAAAGGCCGCTTCATTTACATTGATAAAATGTGAACGATTTTCGGATAGTCGTACCTTGTAGCTCGTACTTTTTACCTTATACTTCAGGTAAAAAGGGATATAGCTGGGGAAAACAGTTTTATGACATTACCTGCTAACTTATGTTACTGTTCTACAATGAAACGCTATGTTTTGTACCTTTAAAAATATTCGACTATGTCCTTTTAAAATTTAAGATACAACCCATACTTTGTATTAAACTGGCAAACGGGATCACTTTTCCTTTGTTTCTAGTTAGTTCTATTTAGTTCGTCATAACAAATTGATACGGTTATTTCAAAACAATCGAGGAAAATCATTAATAATTAATTTCTGCAATTATTAATTCTACTGTTTTGTTTATGTTATAAAAGTAAAAACTCTTCTTATTGAAAAATACCACAGCGTGCACAATACTGGTAATGAGTGGAATCTCATTTTAATTTATTAATTTTCAATCTTAAAGTATTTTGATTTTCAAAAATCGTATTAATAATATACATATGTGTGCTCAGACATGGGACTAATAAAAAAAGTTTCTTTTTTTTCAATAATTAAAATATGATCAGGGGGTTTTAAAACGTGTATTTCCGTAAAATAAATTTTACAACATTTTTTTTTCATTATGGGTACTTTGCTTATGTGCGCCTACATAGGTCGGAAAGTAAAAATGCCTGGGCAGTCGAGAATCTCGGCTCGAGAATCCAAATCGTATGCCGTTGACGGGAGGTCGGATTTCAGTTGTTTAGAGCGAGAAGGCAAATGTGAGCCTTTCTCTCTCGACTCCCACGAGGCGATCCGAAATTACTTCGGGCAGCTTCGGAGAATCGAGAAAGTGGGCATGCGTCAGTTTGCCTTTGTCGACTTTCCGAAACTCCACGAGCTCACGTACGCGTATCTGGCATGTGTGCGTGTGCACCCGGCGGTGCTTTTCTGGCATCTCTGATTCAGTGCCTAGTTTCTCAACTAACCGCCATCCATGAGAAGAGGCCGCTAAAATCAGCTCCGAATTTTCAGGTCGGTATGGCAGTCAGATTCGGCCGCGAAAGTCCATAAGGTGAAAGGTCTATTCATATATCTCGTCTGTGCTCGTATAACTCGTCTGCGTTAAAAGATTTACCGACAAAGAACGCGGCAATGCAACTGCCATCTTGTATAGCTTTCCTAAGTTACACCGATTACCACATGTTCATACATTAATAGTAAATATTTAAGAGGTTGTTTTTCATCAAGCCACAGGCGAGGTATAAATAAACACTTTAGAAATATATAAAGCACCATGGCAGCAAATCCAAATTTGACTGATATGACGGAGGAAGACGCGGCTGATCTGCAGTTTCCGAAAGGTACGTTCCGTTTACAAAGTAAAGGGACAAGTAGGAGTTTCACGACTGTTTCTAACCTCAGTTTTATGACGTTTGTCAAAAATTCGTTTGTAACATTTCACGTTTAACGACAAATATAACACGTCAAGAACGACTTGTATTTGATTGTGCGGCATGGCCTAAGGTAACGATTTTCCTCTTTCAGACTGCTCATCGAGTAGAACAGAAATGATCGAGTATGACGTAGAACTCGACGTGACAGTCGTGAAGGATGAAATCATTACTTCAGACCCAACATGCCGCGTATGCAAATCTGTTTTGACGGAACCGTACATTCGTTGTGCTGTATGTAATAACACGGAATTGTGCCCCTCTTGTTTCTCCAGTGGATCTGAAATCGACGATCATAAAAACGATCATGATTATATTATCATAAAGAATGAGTTTCCTTTGATTATTGGAAGCGGTTGGACAGCAAAGCAAGAATTAGAATTTTTAGATATAATACAGGAATGTGGTTTTGGTAATTGGGTAGATATGTCGAAAAGAATGCAAGGAAAATCTGCAGATGAATGTAAAAATCATTATCTTCAACATTATATTGATAATCAATCTTTACCAGGATTACCAAAAATCAAAGAAACAGAAACAAGTTTATTCTATTCTGAGCCTACTCCCTATTTGTACAAATTACAAGATTTGGAGGAACCACCTCGGTTTGCATCTAATACTCTTAATTGTAAGCTTTTGGCTGGGTATAATCCAGCAAGGTCGGATTTTGAAGTAAATTTTGATAATCATGCAGAATTGTTAATTTCTGACTTGAACTATGATGAATTTGATACAAACGATGGTAGTTATGGATTAGGTAAAGCATTACAAATAGCTATAGTCCAAGCATATAATAATAGATTGAAAGAACGTATGAGAAGAAGAAAAATTATACGCAATCATGGTTTGATAGCATTTAGAAGAACTATATCATGGATACAAAGATACGAATGTACAATAACTAGAACACTTGCTGAAAGATTATTAATTTTCATGCAATTACTGGGTGGTATAGAGTTCGACTATTTCATGGAAGGTCTAGATCGTACTGGAGAACTTAAGAATTATTTGAACAAATTATTTGAATTTCGTAGAAATGGTTTAAAGCATTTCCACAGTGTTCTAATGTTTCAAAAATTAAGTAAACTTAGACAAGAAAATGAAAGGGAAAGAAAGCAATACTTGAATAATCCTGAATATAGTTGGAAGTCTATATTACCTGGTTGCAATATTAACTCTAATACTTCGATATCAAATACGATTTCACAACGAAAATCGGCGCCGCCTCTTAGTATTAAAGGTCTTCCCGGGTATGAGAAACTTACCTCTGCTGAAAAAGAACTTTGTTCAGTTACGCGTATAGTACCTGCTAATTACCTTGATTTTAAACAACTTCTGATAGGGGAAAATAAAAAGAATGGTTATCTCAGGTTGGCACAAGCTAGGGTTCTACTTAAAATTGATGTAAATAAAACGCGTAAAATATACGATTTCCTTACAGAAAAGGGTTACATAAATAAACCAAATCAATGATATATGCTTCAGTAATATAGCAGAAATGTACAAATTTTATAGACACTTTATATTTTGTGAGTACTGCCAGAATTGTGATATTACATATTAAGATTTATTTTTTAAATTCTTAACCAAGTTTAAGAATTGAAAAAATCGACTGAAAATGAAGTGAGTATACATGATAGTGTGAAAATAATATGGTAACTAATAAAATAACGCGCATTTCAATACGTAAAATATGTGTAAATATATATGTGATATATTATTTATGCTTTATACAATTTGTAATGATAGGATAAGATGTATTTTATAACGAATCACGTAAATAAAATATATTTCAAAATGTTTAAATGGATATATTTAATAAAAAAAAGCACCCTACAATAATTTTAAATAATAGCTAAAATATTTTTCATCCAACTAATGATACTAGTTTTGTTTCTTTTTCTTTAGAATTTGAAAATGCAGAGACATTATTAATCTCGGAAGTATCGATGTTATTGGAACACAGAAAAGCGCAAAATGAATCCGCCGAAGAAGAACAAGAATTCTCCGAAGTTTTTATGAAGAGCTTAACTTATACAAATCGATTTCGTCGTTTTAAGAACAAAGAAACCATCGCAGCAGTTAGAAGGTAAGCGTAAGAACTTTTATAACGAATAAAAACTTCGTGCACTGGAAAAAATTACACTATTAACTACGACATTTCTAACGATTACTTATAATCATTTCTTTGTTGTAGTTTGCTTATACAGAAAAAACTTCATAAATTTGAACTAGCATCCCTCGCGAATCTTTGCCCTGAGACACCGGAAGAAGCAAAAGCATTAATCCCCAGTCTGGAAGGACGTTTAGAAGACGAAGAACTTAGAACGATATTAGACGATATACAAACCAAACGATCTCTACAATATTAAAAGAAACAATTCTTTGATCAATGACTGTGATCATTTTATATATCTTTCAATAAAACTTTACCTTCTTATAGTTGTGCAAATATAATAAAACCCCGTTTAATGCTGTTTCGTTATACGTAGATACAGGGTGTTCGGCCACCCCTGGGAAAAATTTTAATGGGATACCAATTTGTTGATGGTGGCTTCTGGAAAAATTATTTTCGGTTGCGGAGGTCAATTACTATCATTTTTGGTGAATACGCATACCTCCGAAATCCTATCCACTTTCGAGAAAAAAAATCGGGTAGGTGCTGAAATTTTTCGGCGAAAAAAATTTTTCAAAACGTTCTAAAAAAATTATTTTCGGTTGTGGGGGTCAATTACAATAATTTTTGGTGAATAGACATACCCCCGAAATCTTGTCCATTTTCGAGAAAAAAATTCAGTACGGGCGGAACTTTAAACGTTAATAACTTTTTAACGAAGCCTCCATCAACAAATTGGTATCCTTGATTTTCGTCTTATTTTGGCCTCTAGAACCCCCCATTAAAATTTTTCCCAGGGGTGGCCGAACACCCTGTATAACTGTGTTTCGTAAAAAAAATGACTCGACAGTCTTTTATTCAAAACAATTTATCGGAGCACGAGATACATTCTTTAATTTTGTGCCGTTTCATTAAGATAGGAATCGGTTACATAATTCTGCCACTCAACAACGTGCTGAAAGAATCTTACGAAAGAAAACGTTAATGTTACGAACTACCACACATTATCACTGAATAATTACAAATAGTTGACCACCATCTCATGCACTTGAGCTGTTAAATGGTCCTCGACCATTTTCTCTGTTGTTTTCCTCGGCAGAATAAAATGTTCGATAAGAATCAATGGCGAAATATTTTCGAAATTATGATCGAAATATTTCAACCGTAACTTTTTAAATGAACATTCTGTATTTAAATTTGTGCTACGTTAGTAGATTAAATGATATAATAATGGAAATCTTTTCCTTAAGCGTTCAACTACTTAACGATAATTGCGATGACGTTACCTTGTATCCTGATCTTGTGGAAATTTTTGTGCATTGCTTTAGGCCTTATAACGAAATAATTGCTTGTTATCAATTATGGCGCCATTGATAACGAGTCAGGGAGAGTCGAACAACTAGAAAACAATTGAAGGAATGTATTTATAACATTTCTTGCAATTAATCATCAAGGTGGATGAATTATTATTAACATTTTTACCTGCTTAAATTTTTAGAAGACAAATGTATATCTTATCACTTCTACGGAGTCGATGCCGCCCACCCCCTCCTCCCCATTTTGATAAATACTAAATCCGTAAAACGATAAAACAAAAGATATGTATTTGTTTTATTTATGTTTATTTTAGTACCGATAAGTTCGGCGCCACCAAATCAAAGATCCCGTTTTCTCAAGTACTAATAATTTTTATAAACACTTTTAAAGAAAGAATTATTTTCAAATTGAAATAAAATTCTTTTTAAAATTTGAACTCTAATGTATGTCCATAACTTGGAAGAAACAAGATGTGATTACATAAAATTACATGTCCGCGTACGAAACCCCAACAGAACTTAGGAAAGAATGTATTATTAACACAAGGGTACTGCATTTATATTATATAATGGTATAATTAAAAATGTATTTTTTTTACAATTTTTTCCTTAAACTTGAACAATAGCTTTGCCAGTATTTTTGCCCTGTAACATGCCAACAAATGCATCAAACATATTTTCAAAACCTTTTGTAACAGTTTCACGATATTTAAGTTTTCCTTCTTTTATCCATTGAGCATTTTTATGTATACCCTCTGACCAACGATCGGACCAACGGGACACAATGAAACCTTCTATTCTCAATTGATTGAACACAATAGCTGGTTGAAGAATAGTTGTTTTTGGCAAAGATGAAGCATCAGAATTGTACGATGAAATACTTCCGCATACAGCTGTGCGACCAAAGAGTTTCATCTGATACAAAACTGTAGTGGAAATATCTCCTCCCACCTACAATGATAACATAAACAAAACTCTAATTGCAATTGTATAACTCGAGAAGAAAATTAAAATACTGTTCTAATACGCTATTGCAACATACATTATCAAAATAGCAATCGACTCCTTTTGGTGCAGCTTTCCTTAATGCAGCTGCAATATTTTCTGTTTTATAATTAATAGCAGAGTCAAAACCAAGCTCTTTGACAAGCCAATCACATTTATCATCTGAACCAGCAATACCGATAACATTCATTCCAAGAACATGTTTTCCTATCTGACCAACATGAGAACCAACAGCTCCTGCTGCACCGCTTACAACAAGAGTTTCACCTTGTTTTGGCTTGCAAAGCTCTAAAAGGCCAAAGTATGCAGTATTTCTGAAACAAACAAAGTATCAACAATTAAGGCAAGTACAATAGAAGAAAAACAATATAGAATTGTCTCTTGAATTTTAAACAATTTTTTACCCTGGCATTCCTAGAACTCCTAAACCTAATGATGGTGACAAATCCCCAAAATCAGGTAAAAGATAAGGTTTTTGTAATACAGCATCATCTTTATCAGAGAATTCCTCTAGATTAACAACTGTATGTGTTCTCCATCCAAAATAACCAACAATTCTTTTTCCAATCGGAAAATTTGAATTCTTCGAATCGATGATTTTCGCCACTTGCCCGCCGATCATCGTAATACCCAATGGATATCTTTGAACGTAAGGACGCATGTAAGGATCCACAGAAAGATATTCTGCTTCAGCAAGGAACTCTGAAAATAGTTTGATATACTAAAGATTTGGAATTTCTATTGTAATTCTCAAATGATAGATCGTATAATACAATCGTACAATTTTACAATACGAAGGATATTGAATCATTATTGTAATTTATACAGAAAGAACTGTATGCGGCGCTCGTAGATTTGAAAACATCGAAAGATTGATCACGATCGATCATAATTACGTATATGTATAATTATTTCGTTCAGCAATAGATATATTCAATAAATACAATATTATCTTTATTATTAAAAACAGTAAAATAACAAGAATAAATCAACAAATGCAATCAATATTTTCTAGTTTATAAAATATCGTATCACGGCGATGATATGTTAAAATGAAATCACGCTTCAACATCTTGACTTTTGACTCATGAAATTTTCTTAGATATGACATATACGTGTATCCAACAATCTTTACCTCCATTTTGAAGAGATGGTAATTCTTCCTCGACTAATTGCAAATCCGTTGGTTTCGGATCTCCTTCAAAGTGTTTCACTACCACAAATTTCTTCGCTTTCACCATTGTACTTAGCTGTTCCCGGCGAATAGTACGGAATGATTTTGTAAAAATCTTAAAGGTTTGCTGTAGTTTTATAGGATTTAATGACCTAAATAATAACGTTAAGTGTGATAATTGTTATCGATTAATAATACTGTATTAATATAATTACGTGTACATGTAATACATATGCTGATTTATTGAGAATTCTTCGACCACGCCAAATCCAACGAAACGCTTTTGATAAACTGACAATGATAATCACAAAATTGCTTCTTATATCGTTATATCCCCTCTTTCTCTACGCAGTAGATAATAAACCGAGTAATTGTTGATAGCAATCAAAGGTTTTTTTCCAAACTTCGTAGGATTAGTACTTTTATGATAACATCGTAAATAAAGTTTTGTTACGTTTTTTGAAGTAAAATGAAATTAATGAAGTGCGTTATTTTAAATCGCATTTAAAATTTTTCAAAAATTTTTGCTTGAAATTACACAACGTATAATGTATAATATGGTAAATTACACATTTCTGAAGAATAATGCTCAAATTCCTGAATACTACTAATAGTATAGTTTTATTATATTACTATTCATATGTTATACAATATTATAATACATATCATTAAAATGTGTATTATTTAGTACATTAAATATAAAACTACTCTAAGACCAAAGTATAAATAATTCTATAATTTTAATGGATACAAGATTTCCACTAAAAATGAATGTAATTTTGTCAATGTAAAAATATAGATCATTAAATTAACACAATATCATTTCAATTTCAATGTGTTATACTTTTCATTAAATAAGTATTTCAAATGTCCCTAAAAGTTCTGAACATGCATGCAATCGTAATTTATTGCAAAAATTCACTCTTATAAAGTAAATTTTTCAATTAATACATCTATTTTTGATATTTAAATATTTGCACATGTATTAAATATATTTGAATAGTTATCTAGTGTAACAATAATGATGATACAATATCCTTCATGTTTTATTAGTAACTATCATACTAAGAGGAAGAAATCTTTCATGTTTCATAAGTTTAGTTGCATTTAATAGTTACATTTTACTCTATTGTCTCTATGTTTCTTTAATATCATTTATATGGTATTTTATTAATTTCATGACATATAATAGCATTTTTATTTAATTAATTTATCTTACAGTATACAATATTGTACGGTAGCCTGTATTCACCATAGTCACATTTGTATATAAAAGAAATTAATATCATTGATTTGTTTCATTAAAGAAGTTAAATTACTTGTACTTCTTATTAATAGTAAATTAAATTCTATAAATTGGTTTTAAGAATTATCTTGAACCAAACATTAAAAGATATTTAAAAATTACGAGAAACATAATTTTCATTGTTGACATTATACATTTCACTATACTAATAGTGTATTATATTTTTACATTGTCGACTCGTAGGAAAAATAACTTAGATTCATTGCATCAAATGTACTATAAAATATTTGCGATTTTTCATTATTTGTTTATGAGTTTCTTTTGTGCTTTAGATTAATAACAATCGCTGAGTCAAGTAGAATTAACAGAATAAGTTGATGGTTTCTACAAGGTTCAATTTTACATATTTAAATAAATATAAATATACAATTCTAATATACAATTTTTTTAAATGGTGTAATATTTTTCTACATAATTTAGAAAAATAATTAAAATTGTTGATCCCAATAATTTTCGAAATTTAGGAAAATATAAATAAATTGAAACAACAGAAGCAGAATTTCTGAAATAATAAATTATCTTACCAATTTCTTCTTAAAATCTTAATATTTGCTAAATAAATAAATATTAACAAATAAATTCCTGTTTGATGAAATTCTTGCGGAGGTAAAGATTCTCGTAATTAAAATATACCTTGTACAGAAAATATTGTGTTAGATTTGCTCTACTGATTATCATTTACGAAGTGTCAGCTAATGAATTAATACGATAATCATTTATTACTACTTGTTAATATTATTATTAACACCATTTTTAACACACTGTATACCACACACGAAAACGTTTATCGTACTTTATTTTTAAATTTGTTTGTATGGGAATATTTATGGTTCAGACTAGAAACTTCACTTTCGAAATATTATCTTAAACGTATTTATACGTAAATAGAATTTATGAAATTTTAAATAAAAATTAGCAAGCACAAAAGATCTGTTAGTTATGTTGTACAGTGCATAGCTTGCAGAGTAGGTATACAGTAGGTATACAGTATGTTAAATAATGCTACAAGAAATTTTAATTAAAATTTGAAAAATCTGTTTTGAGCTTAATGGATGGTGTAGAGATCTTAATTTGTGGTTTTACAAGATCTACTGGTCGGGTGTGCCTCTGTGCTTGTTGGTGAGTAGATCTCACGGCATTTTCTAACTTAGTTTTCAGTTCTGTAGATTGCGACATTAACGTTTTAAATTCCTGAAATAAGAAATAGATGCTTTGTATATTTATATATTTCTTAATACAAAAAGATAATTATTTAAACAAGACAAATAATATACCTGAGGATATTTTGGTCCTATCTTGTTGAGCCATTGAAAGCTCTGTTGATGAAGATTTAACTGATATTTGGAAGCGTGTTGAAGTTGATCTCCCTCCAATAAATAATTAATTAGAATTGGCACAAGTAATGTCAGCATCTGTATACCTAGTTATTTATAAACGGACCACGTTATAATCACTTTAATAATAAAAATGAAATTTTGTAACATGAAAAATAAAATAGATTTTATCCCTTAAATTTCTAAATACACTACTATTCTCTACACACCTTGGAGAAGATCTCCTGTATTGCATGTAACATAGTTTTTATCAGAATATTAATTCAATTTTAATAAACTAGGTATTCTTAGCGTAAAATAAAATATATAGTTATGAAAGTATAAGAATTATTACTTACGATGAGATAAATCGGCAAGCCCTATAAGAGCCTCAACGGTGCTAATACATTCCAAAGTAAAGGACATTTCTAAATCGTTTGTAACTTGTTTACTTTTATCGCTGTATAGATATTCTACTAATCTTGGCGCTAACGCATGAATATAAGGCGTACTTATTGTACGTTCTGGATGTAAAAATATTGTTCTCAAAGTTTGAACGCATTTTAATTTAACCTAAAACATTGTAAAATGTAAATAAATTATAAGTATCATTTTAAAAGCATTATTAAAATGTTGCAAAACTTACCATCGTATTTTCTGATTGGAATGCATGTCTAAAATGATTGATACAGGGAAACTGTAAGTTTGGTGCACTTACGACTTCTGAAGTAGCATGAAGAACAAATACCGCAATACCTAATATCATCGCTACTTCGTCCATTTTTGTTTCCTCGTTACCTATAAATGTATTTTTCATAATGCCATAACCATTTTAATTGTAATCATTAATTATTAGTTCAATTAAAATTTGGCCAATATTGGTTTTAATTGTTTGTACCTGTTTTAGCAAGGTCGATGATCTTAGCAAGAGCGCTTTGCAAAAGACTTGTCCATTGTTCTTGACTTCTATGATCCTTTGAATACTTATTTGTAGTAAGGTTCTTCATGCAGTGCAAAGCTGCATGAACCGGTATATCTGAGCCTGTTTTATTGCATTCATTGTCAGTCCGTATCGCAGTTTCTCTTATTACTCCAGTTGCTAGATACAACAATGTTGGTAAAATTGCTACAGCCCCTGTAACAGTATAATTTACACGTTAATCGATCAGCTCGAGTTTTTCCATTCTCTTATGTTGCCAGATGCGGAACCGTGACTTCGTCACAAAAGTCTTCGGGATTTACAACCCCTAGTGAGGAAAAAGAATCGCGATACAAGTACGGTTCGCGAAACATGTTTACCTTGAGGAGAGCAAAGAGTAGGCAAAGACTCCATTATATTAAGTGCAGCTGCTATCAGTTTTCCACTTTCTTCGGATGGCATGTATCCTCTTTGAGATAAAATTGCTGTTGTACCACCAGGATTAGGATTCAACGCCGGTATTTGTCGAACCAACAGGCACAAACACACTTCTAGAATTGCGAATACCAATGATTTGCCAGGTATGAGCTCGCCACTTTCTTCACCTTCTCCTAACAAATCTACTTCTTGAGTTTCATTGCTTTCTTCGTGTGCTGGTGCTATTTCTGTCATAATATAACGCACATACATAAATTAAGTATGTGACTAATTTTGTTTTTAATGCATGAAAATCAAAACATATTATACTTTACCTTTTAGTTTAATTTTTTTTCTTTCAACTAGATCTTCTTGTGCTGCTTTCATTACTTGTTTTAACACTTCCATTACAACCATTTGAATTACGTAACTTTCTCTCGTTAATAACATCCTAAGCAATAAAACATATGAACGTATACAAATATTACGTTTAATATACAGTTATATCTAAATAAAAAAAATGTACCTGTGAAGAACGTTACACAATTCAATTGGTAACGAACGATCCGTAATCAGTACTTTTCGAGCCCACGTGGAATTTAATAAAGTATATAAAGCATTTAAACATGTTTCTATATTTTGAGTAGATTCTGAAGATCGAGGGCTGCATAGAGCTTCCATACATATACCTAAAATATTCGATAAATATGAAGCACAAAGAAATATTTATCATCACGGAATAGTATTTATACAAGTTCTAATTACCAAATAATAAGTGAAAACGTTCAACATTAGTATTAGTTTTAGAGGAGGCATCGTCGTTGTTATTATTGTTAATATTATTGGTCGCGTTTGATGTTTTTACTTCATTCTTAGTTTCTTCTAGTCCGAACCCTTTCGCATTAAGCCAAAGTGTTGCAGCATGCAGAATTGGCGCCCACGATACTGCATAATGAGGTCGAGCAGATTCCATTGTATCTGTAGTATAAAAAGCACCCCCATCGTGTGGTAATTGACTGGAAAATTCTAATAATACAAAAAATTGATTTATCAACAATGTAACATTACATGTAATTTAACAAATTTTATACAACATGCAAGAATAATTATACCTGGTGGTAAAGAAAGTAAAGCATGATCTCTCAGGGCAGCTAACCAATACTGACTTAAACTCAGCAATTCCGGTTGTACCAAACTTAATAAACTTTCAGTCTGAAATTCAAACTTCCCAAAATCTTCATCGTTCCCATCATCGACTTGATTCGAATTTTGATTGAACGTATCTTTACTATTTAACGCAGCACCATCTCTTATCATAGCAACTACGTATACCTAAAAAAGAAATACAGGAATAAAGTAGAATAGTCATTACATGTAATATACTATTTTTACCATTAAACGTTTATTGCATATTTATAGTTTACCTCCGCCCAAGCTTTCAATATTGCTAATCTTTCGAGCGTTAATAAACTTTCATTATAAAGTTGAGGTCGTGTATGTCCCTCTCTTAATTTTTCCAGAGAAGATACAAGCAATTGATGAACTCTACGAAGATCATTCAAATCTCTAGCAACTCCACTTCCGATCCAAGCACTACACGCCTGACAAGCTGCAGCCGTAACATGCGATGCTGTTTCTGCAGAAAATGCGGGCCTCAACGCAGCGCCAACCTATAAATTAAATGATTAAATAAGGATATAAAATTCTTACAAAATACTTATAATTGTTGTGCTTGTGATTTATAAATTACTTGTGCTTGAAACTGCTCGAGTAATAAGTGTCCAGGAAACTCTGGTTCAGGAACTTTTGCAAATTTATCTATTATTTCCTGAAGTGTTTTTAGACCTTCGAGTCGTAATGGATCGCAGTCGCTTGTTGCGGCCATAAACGCCATTCGCACTAAGTCAGAAAGATGTAATACCAAAAAGTCACCTAAAATTAGAGGAGATTAGTGAAATATACAATTGTGATACGTGATTACGATGAATAGTCAAAACAAGTCATACTTTTTCCTTTAGACAGTTGGAGCTCCTTAGCTAAGGCGAGATCAAAATGAGCTTGTTTATTATTTACACAAGCAGCTACAATTCTTCTGACACACTGTGCTGCAAAGACTCTAGTTGGCCACCGTGGAGTGATAGTCGGTCGTTGTTTTGTGGATTCATCGGCGTGAAATTCAGCTTGATCATCGTCTCCTTCTGCATCTGCATTATCATTTTCCGCGGCACTGTCCTCGACATTGATAGTATTTCCTTCTTCGTTGGTACACGTTTCTATATAATAAAAGTTGAAAACTTTGTAGTCTCGTTTAATTTAACACCCTGCATAATTCTGTTACTACATCGTTGTACCTGAAGCTATTGTAAGAACGTCTTTACACAGAGACAGCCACTGAGATAAATTGTCTGCTGCTAAAATTTGTAACATGCTGGTTAACGTATCATGGATATCCTTGATCAGTTTACTATCGGTTTCTGTGTCCAACATGCTAAACAAAACACCCGGAAGACCAGTTTCTGTTATAACAAGACCTTCAACTATATTTGTGTCTCGACTTTCATTAGCTAATGTCATTGCATGTTCGCATACTTCTTTTGCTTCTCGTTGAGCAAGTTGACGAAGACAAGATATTGCAGCTTTACGTAAAAGCAAATGATTGCTTGACAAAGTCCGCTACAAATAAAATAATATTAATATAAAAAATACTGCTATTCGTATAGTTTGTGCATTGTATAATATGTCTTACACATAATGTAGGAACGAGAGACGATAAATTGACGTGTCTGGGCGCGAATAAATGTAATTGTTGAAGGCATCCTGTGGCTTCAGCTTGTACAAGAGGATCTTGATGATCTTGCATAATGGCGCATGCACATAAAAATGACGACCGTGCCATACAAATTGTTGACGTATTACCTGCAAATATAATCATGCGGAAGGGGATCTAAAATTGCCGTAAAAATATTTACTTATGAATAATAAAGATACCATAATGAACATATGGCATAGGATTGAACCTGAACAAACTCAATAACTTGAACGAAAGATGATATTGCGATAGAAACAATAAAATCGCATATACGTCTCAGCGGTCAATAACGGCCGGATAGTAAAGGTACGTACTAACCTTGTAATTCTGGTCCTATTGTTGTAATAAGTGCTGACAGTACTTTCCCTATACATTGATGTACATCAATATAGGAATGAGGAACATTGAGAAGTAGAGTTAATGCTAAAGATAATGTAGGTTCAACGTAGCCCCGAAACATTGGTCCGCCAGAATCAGCTATAAGCGCAAGAGCATGTAAAGCCCATACCTAAATAAGAGTATAACATTAAATCCTCATTTTTAAGTTTGACCATGAGTAATTATAAAAAATTATAGAACTACATACTTGTACTACAGGAGAAGTATTATCTTGGGCAAGTGCAAGTAGAATACTGACACTTGTGTTGAGATGTTGACTAGACCCCATCCCACCTACGTATTTATGAAGGCACCCTAACGCTAAAGAATGACCAGTTCTACTCGCAACATCGCGAGCAGATTTTAAACGATCGAAACTCGTTTGCGCCAACTCCGCTGTAAATTTAGGATCAGAAATAACTTGAGCCATTCTTCCAACTGCTTCCCCTGCTGCCCATCTCAGTATTGAATTACTGCTAACCAAAGCACTCTGCAATATAAAAGAGTACAAACGTTCGACGAAAATTCCATATTATATTATCCTTTGATTTCTTCGCGTAGTAAAGTTTAAAAATTCAATACTCCAATATAACCAATAACAAACACAGCGAATTCTTACAATGATAAGATTAGTGGCGGATTTCTTTACATCTTCTTGACCAAATCCAGTTTTTGCTTCATTGAGACCCTTCAAGCCACTTAATACAGCCGTGAAAACATTCATTTGTATTGCTTCTTGCCTACCAGACTTCGTATGTTTTATGCACTCGCTAAAGTGATCTAACATTTGTAATCTATGTTTGTTCGCTACGCGTGGAAAGATTTGACCAAACAACGATACTGATAGATCAATAACTGCAACTCCCAAAGGTAAAGGACCAGGAATTATTTCATCCTAAAAGCAATATTAATAGAATTGAAGATCGTACGATTTTATGTTTTAACATGACTCTAACAATGTTTTAAAATATTTACCTGTGGCACTGGTCTGTAAAGACAACATGGATTATGTTCCAAAGCTCCAGATCCTGCAGCACTGTTGGGTTGCAGCTGAAATAATTTCGCATATGAGGTAAACCATTATTTTTTATAAACAATACAAAGTAAACGAGTATAAATATTGATACCAACACAATCTATGAATAAAGAATTAATCAATATTAGTTTTTCGTTATAAATTAAAATCATTTTCATATAATTTTAATTACATAAAATAAATAAAGATGAAAGCAAAACATAATGTAATGAGTACTTAGGAAATTAAGAAAGACAGTGAAATCATCGGTTTTAGAATAAAAGGAAAGTATTACAAAATAGTGAAAGGCTTCATAGAACATTACTCACATGTTCCAAATCTGCCCTTCTGTTTGGTTCCATCTAGACACGAGTACAAATATTATACATTAATTTCAAACAATGTAACATATGTCACGTTGAAATTCACTCTTTACAATACGTCTGCTTTAATTATTTGATTACGCTTTTATATCAATAGATGTCGATAATGTTATATTAATAGCATGTGTTGTTATGCTGTTATATTATACATGTAATAATGTGGAATACCTTTAAAAAAATCTGGAAGCCATATTAGAAAATATACTTCCATAATGTTATACATATAATTTAAAGTACCTACTTGATCTTCGATTGTACGGTGATCGGTTTCTTGCAACCATGTACCAAGTATTACAGAATCATTAGCATGGCAAACTGCACGTAACAGTGATGTTGTAGTATTTCCAGGATTTTCAGTCAATGTAAACTCCGATACCAACATCCTTAGAAGATGCGTGTATGAACCTATTTAATTTATGATGCGTTTATACGTAACATTATAAGCTTAAGTGGTTTTCAAAACCATAAGTAATTATAATTACCTTCAAAAGTTTGTGGCGGTAGTAATAACAATGTTTCGTACAAACGTAAACGAACCATAGCAGCTGGAGCTTTCAATTGTTGTCCATAATTTTTTAACACAGGTGACAAACTAAAATATTATTTTTAATATGTAACAACGTAATATTATAAATGATTTCTATACATTAAGAGAAAGTATCGATTAACATACTTAGTTAACATTGCCAAAGCAGACTCAATTGGTGTCAGAAGTCGTCTTGTAATGTCATCGTTTAAAAGCTCTGGACAATGCAATAGAAAACTGTGCATTGCTGATAATGCGCCAGCTCGACCTTCCAAGGTTACTTGCCATGTAAAAGCATCACCTCTGGCTTTTTCACTTTCAAGTTCTTTGTTTGAACGGGGAAAAGAATTTCTCCAGAGTAGTAGCATCCTAGGCAATAATCCTTTTACTACAGCTGTACCTAGATAATTAAAACAATATTTTTGTACCATTTTATATGCGCAGATCTAGCAAGGTTATTCATTATATTTAGTAAATCCAAACTACTGATATCGTACCAAGTGTCATTATAGCTCCAATTAGAAGCCATCCAGCGTGTGTTCTATTCAGCGATAAACGACTGTTTTGGCTTGCGCTTCTTAGAAGTTCCTCTGCAGTATTAAAAATGATCTATAAAAGGAAATGGATGTTTATTTCATAATTACTTACAATATATAATTTCATAAATAAATATAAGAGTCTCTTAACAGCAATTACCTTTCCCTTGGTGTGAGGAACTCCAAGTGGCGATAAACGAACGCTACCGAGAACTGCAGCTAATGCACTGCTGTATCCAGCTATTGCTTCCGGTGAACTACGCATATTTTCAATTCCATCCACACAGCGATCAATTAGTGGTGTTATTTGACTTGGAGCTGCTACACAAATGCAACGTAAACACCAAGAGGCTGCGAGCCGGGCTGCTTGACACGGATGAATCAGAACAGCCATGATTGTATCAATTAAACCTGAAGCACCATAAATGTTAGTATAATTATTAAAAAATAAATAAGTACATAGAAATTTTGAATATAAAGTACATACTTAAAGATTGATCTGACAATAAATTACAAGCTGTTGTACCCAACCCTAAGATTAAGTTTCCCATTTCTTGCAGTGCACAGACTAATAAGTGTTGACTAAATAATGTTTCCTGGTTACAATCCTTAGCATTTTCTGGACTAAAATCTAAAAATTTCAAAGTGAAGATTAATATAAGCATAAATCATTCAAATATTGTAACAATAAAAGCGTAACTATTTTACCAATAGAATTCATTTGTTTCAGAATAATATGTGCTATTTCTTTGCATGCAGCAGCTTGAGCTCCTTCACCCAATAACTTTCCAACAGTGCCATGTAATATAAAATTAACACATTTTCTAGAATAAACAGCATCAACGTGTGAACTAGCAGCTTTTGGATTAGTTACAAGATCGAGTACATGGGCGACTAATGCGCCAACATTACGTTCAAGCCATGAACCTCCTAACATTTGAACAAATACCACATATGCCTGCAGAATGTTAATAATGTAAATTATTAATCATAAAATTTTATACAATTTCTATATTCTTTCTTACATGTGTGACTCCAACTCGAACATCTCTGTTTACACTGGAATTTCCTTTTATTATTTCTCCAGTGCCTTTTAAAAAACCTACTCCTCCTCTTAAAAATCCAGACATTAAAATATTTAGTACTTCGTCGAGTGAAATTTGTTTATAACCTTTGCTCTGCATCACTAAACAAACATAACAATTAACTTAAGTATTTCTTGCCAGTACACAATAAGTAGGGGTGCGCGGGTAGTCCGAAATACGAGCTGGGGCCGTCAAGAAGTTGACGAATTAGGGCAAACCGCGATACATATCGGGCTGAATTACATGGAATAGTCCACGTTTGATTGTCCAAAATGTATCAGACTTCGCCAAAATTCGTCAATTTTTTGACAATTCGAACCCTCGAATTTCGGGCTACGCGCAAAATCCTAATAATAAGTAATTAAATACATGTATTATCAAGATACCTGAAGGATTCTTCCCTTTTGGTGCTGGAATCTGGGTCATTGCCACTAATGTACCTAATAGTTTTGCAATGGCACATCTTACTTCATAATTTGACCCCTCAAATGCACGGAAACAAAGTGTAGCAACACTCTCTATTTCAGTGGTATATAAAAATGGTGCATGATTTAACATTTCCAGTAAACACTGCAAATATTGTAAGAAATATATATTTTCAATGCCATGTACTAAATGTCAAAAAAACAAGTAATAGATACCTTTGCAGCAGCACACCTTACAGCCATTACTCTATCTGTGAGATAATGTCTAGAAACTTTATATATTTCTTTATGAACATTCGTAATTGCAGATCCCATGCCAGCACATACCTAGTAAATTAAATTTATACAGTACGCTAGAAATAACCTTGCATCTTATCTAATCAAAAATGTATTACCTTCTCAAGCGTGTGCATAATTTCTATTCGAGTCTGTGATTCTGCAGAACGTAAGGACTTTATCAAAATCTGTACAGTTTCTTCATATGACCTACCCATCATTCTTCCTAGTTTTTCATACATACATCCTACGCAGCATATAGCAGCTCTATAAGTAGATGAAAAGTAAACATATCGTGCTGTATCATACACGAATAATAAATGCATCAACAAATGACTATTTACAATTTCGTTGGGAGAAAACTTGGAGAATCATCCTTATTTCTCAGAATATCATTGCATTTATTGACAGTATCAAAAAGCAAAAATGTATCGCCAACGCTAAACAAAGTGGCAAGACATCTTGCAATAAGTCGCCTTGTAGGAGGACCAGGAGCTCCTTGCATATGTTTAGTTAATTGTTCCACCAGCTTTTGCTGACATCCTTTAATATCACTCTAAAAGTATTGTTTCGTTGTAAGGTATAATTATGCATACCAATAAGTTATAATAAGAAAATATTACAATAGATAAATGTGTATCTAATACCTTTTGTGCAGCTATTAAAACCTTATCCAAAAATCGTAACCATTCAAATATAAAAACTGGTCGTTTAGCCTCAGGGATTTGATTAAGGGCATCCTCATTGAGGGTCAAACTATGACTCAACTCCATCATCATTTCAATAAGTTAGATTATAAACAGCTTTACTTTTTTTACTGTTCTTCTGTAATAAAATTACCATTACATTCCTTTCAAAACATATGTTAAATATCATGGTCACAGATAACAACAACATAATAACTTAATTAATGATTTTAGAATCAAGTAAAAATTCGGGTAACTTAAATAAACTAACATCTTGAAATTATTGAATTTAAATGAATTGATAACAATAACGAAATTTTTGAGTATATGTAATGAAGTACCAAAAACACTTCCGATGTCATCAGTGCGTAGGAAGTAACATAATTTTTCTTTCTTTTTTTATATGGTCTATTTACACTAAATCACTCAATTTCACTAACATGAAACTATGTAAATATTCATATTTATTTACGTTTCACGTTTAAAAATTGAACTATAGAAAATTAATCACTTTATAAATAGCTTATCACTGATTTTTAATAATAGCATAAATTATTAGAATAACGATTTATTTTCTTTGCGTAATTCAGAAATTTTAACTTGATTTAGGTTAGGGTAGATCGGTAATCATCAGGATGAGAAACGTTGACAACGAGTGACTAAGACCACCTACACACAGTCACTTTATCGCACCTACAACAGTTCAAGCTGTTTATTAATTTTCAATAATTTGTTGATAGTTATATTAAGAAAAAGCAACAATTAAATAGAAAAAAAATATTGCGAAAAATTGTGAAGACTTCGCTTTGTGATGCAATAAATTTGGATTCCGTAGTAAAATGTACTGGAGAATTTGTAGTCTCCATTAACGTTGAATTAATGACACAATTGTTTGTATTGTATTATTATCAACAATAAATTTATTTTCTTTTATACATACTACTCATAAGTATTTAAAAAAATATAATTATAAAAAAGAAATTTACTGAACATAAACTATGTAACACGATGAGACATAGAACCCATTCTGAATGGAAAAAAATTTCTCTCTTAAACAATTTTTTAATGGAGGAATTACTATTTAATATAAAACTAAAAAGAGATCATTTGCTTTTTATTCGATGATATATTCGAAATATGTATTATTAAACAGTAAAATTATTTCCTTCGATTTAATTAAGACTTAATTTTATTAAAACGTATCGAAAGAAAACTTTTAGATGTGTTTACTATTCAGAGCAACTGTTCACTCGATCTAATAATTTATTTATCTTCTATTATCGTTTGATATATGTATACTGGTCTAGAATGTTTTAATTAATATATTCATTTATGCTGTTCGTTAAGTTATTTATAATTTGTATACAATTTAGACAGATAATTGAAATATATGTTCTAACATTCCAAAATATATTCGTTGTTTAAAATACCATCTTGATGGAAAAAATACAATATTTAAATAGGATTAATCGACGATGATAGTCACCTTTTTTCAGTCGGATTGTTTAACGTTTATAAGAAGACTCATATTTAAGAAAGTAAAAGTCTACTTAAATACTGTTGTATTTTTTGTTCAAATTTGTTTGTTGAAATGAAATTAAGTGCAGATAAAGCTGTTGATAATTAAGGCTAAAATCAAACCTTTTATCGCTTAGAGCACACGAAGTACATTCCCTCTCAAAAATATTGGGACACTTGCTTGATTACAATAAATATTTTGGTGAAAGTTATAAAACCAAATAAATATTACATATTTTACTTTCTACCACGTTAGAATTTCTATTAAATAAATATATAATTTAATCTCTAGTTTATATCATAGTGTTTATAAAGCATCAATGAAATCTTACAAGTTTGATATATGCTGATAATCAAAAACATTGTTTTTCTCTTATCAATTCGTATTAATTTATTTTGTCTTTAAATAAGCATCCGCGAGGGCAAAAATATGTTTCTTATTTATTTACACTAATGCATGATGAGTAGTAGAATTCGATACGTTTTTGCTTTGAAATAGTCATATTAATCCTTGTTACTTGTTGATCTTTCCGTTTTATACACTGTTAGAAAATACGAGAATGACTCTTAACTTTCTGAAATTTTTTTACAAAAATATGTATCTCCTTATTAAGCTGTAGCAATATTTTATGCCGTAGTTTCCTTTTGAGATGGATATTTATTTTTTTTTTTATCTCTATACTTCGTCGACGTTGACATTATACATAAAGTGTGCAACTTCAAGAGAAAGGATGTAATTTTTCTTAACAATATCTAATTATATTACCACGCTCGCTGCCATCATTAATTTGAAAACTGTCTGTCACAGATCACGCTATATTTACAGTTATCCATATAATGGTTCATAAATACGTGACACGTGATAGAGAACGTGTTAAAATGTTAAAATATAATTACAATACAATTATACTCTAAGGGGTTAAAAATTATCCTTTATTGAGGGGATCTACGAGAAGAAAATCTTCTCTCCCGTAAATTGCCCATAATTTTAGCCAAAAAAGTTCTCTCCACACTTTCAGTATAAGTTGAAGAAATAATGTTTTGAGAAAATTATTCTATTTGAAATGCCTGGGGAAATAACTGAACAGTATATAATTTAGTAATTAATTCGACACACACATGAAGTATGCAGAGAATACATTGTAGCAGGGGTCAAACAGCCTGAAGTCAGAGAAAAGGATCTGGCCTAGGATCTCAGAAAATGTTTGCATATGCAGAATGTTTTGCAATGTCAGGCAATTTTATAAGTCGTGTCGTCATTATCGGAGTTTACGATTCGTGGAAAAATTAAATGAAAAGAGAAAATATGATTTTTTCATACGAGGCTTCGTTTTCAAGAAAATCGAGTTCGAACTAATACGGGATCGCGTGTAGATCAGTATAAGTAGAAACAATGGGCGATGAACAGACGCGCCAGCCAAATTGAAACTGAAATTGAAAAGTATATCGAGAGATGGGAGGAAGCCATTGATAAACGATGATCAGTACATCAATGATTAAAGATAAATTTAAGTATTGCTATTTTATATTTAAATGTAGCGTTAAAAAACGATACGACGTATGTAACGACTCAATATGTCTCCTACTTGACCTTATTTTCCGGTCGTGACCATTTTTGTGCAGCAGTAATATACAATTGCTTATCTTTGTAGGAAGTGTCTCAAACGGCCACCTCTAGACTGAATGCAGCTATAAAAAAGAATGTTGGGTAAAAAATGTTGATCGACGATAGCAGTGGCGCGTCCAAGGGTGGAGGGTGCAAGGCAACAACCCCCCACTGCAATTAATATTCGATTTTTTATTATTTTTAATCACTCAAGAACGTTCCATCGCGTTTAAAGTTAGGTTGAACGTTTTCCACATCTAAATGAAAGATGTTAAATTTATTCTCGTTTGTGAAAAGGGTATAATTCCACCACTCTCCTTCCATTTAAAAAGCATCGTTGTCACGGATAAACAGGGGCCGCCTTTCTTCAGGAGAACTGAAGAATACCAACACTAGTAGTATCTAACGATATTTTTGTGATATGTGACCCATTAGGGGGTCCCTGTTGAGAATCACTGTATTAGACTTGCTATTAAACTAACTAGACTGACTCGTGTAATGGTCAACAAGGTCGAAAGATAGCAAGAAGTTATCGAACGTTGTATGCAAACAGTTTGGTAGAATAAGTTGTACTAGCTGAATTTATGATTAATAATTACTGGAGCACAAAAAGGGTTATAACTTGAGAACAAGATTGTAAGGTACATGTTTCTATGAACTTTCTCCATTGTTTTATTATCTTTTGTCCAACATCAAAGCAGGTACCACGTACTGTAAAACATTCTGTATTGCGTAAATACCAGGATTCACATTTGGATGAAACGGAATGGCTAATAATGGAAATGAGAAGATAGCCAAAAGAAACTTTGTACCACCTGATAAAATTCATCTCGGAGATGCAATGACACGCACCCATAATACTCTATTAAGTCCATTTGTTGATGTTGTAGTAGTGAGCTTAAAATCAATCGTAGCAGTTAAATACATTTCTGTTCGTTAAAATTCTCGAATCGTCACGAAATTAGTAAGACATTTCTCCGATCCACTTACGGAATATTAATTGTTTAAAGAAATCTGTATAAATATTTACGAGAAAACACCAATTTGCCTCGAGTCTTCCGGGTAGCCACGGTATAGTTCTGGCAAAGAAACACACTTCAAGGTATTAACTTTAACGTAGGTCAATTGTACGACAGCGATTTTCATACATTATCATGCTACTCGATTAAACTGACACATTGTTTGGTGTAAAAAGCCGAAGCAAACTTTGAATATATGTTTTATTCAGTCATGGTTATGCGTTATTTATGAACCATTTAAGAAAAATTGCGAACCAGCGCTTCCTGCATCTTTAATTTATGTAATAAGTACATAAACACATTTTCCATGCGTTTCAACGGTTGATATATCTCCCTATCCTCTTTTTTCATTGTTGCATGATTTACAAATCGCGAATCGATGCAAAATATTCAGATTACGGTGCTCGAGGATTCGTGACTGGATTTGAAGAGAATTCGCGTCAGAGAAAACGTAATATGATTTTATTCCTGTAAAAATGTAAAGACTCCTCTTTAAAAGGAAGGAACACCTATAAAAATACACCTATTTGCCGAAATACTGTGATTCATAGGACAGAAGTGCTCGATCGACGATGACAGAGGCTGTTCCTGAAAGAAATCAAAGTGCAATTTAATAATTATGCAAATTATACTATGCGATGAACCTTTTCTCCTAAATAACAATAAAATAGTTTTGCGATGTTTCAGTTTTAGGATACGAATAATAAAGATAACACACGACGAGGAAAGAAAGTAAAAATCAACACACAAGCTCGTTCAACCGCGACTTCCAAGTATTACCATAACACAATTGTTATATAATAAATCTCTCTCCTATACAATAAATACTCTTTCTATCAAACCATTGATCAGAACCACTCCAACGCAACGTTGCTCGTACAATTTAAATATTTTCATTCAAGAATCTTGGTTACAACATAGGGTAATGCTCGGAAATAACAAAAATTGGAAGATTTTAAAATTCTTCTAGCAACTCGACAGAAAGAAAGACTTAAACTAAACGCGTTGAGTTATGTTTTAGCTACCTGTGAACTGTCGCCGGACTAGTATCGAACTCGTTACAATATTTAGTGGGGGGATGAACAACCTTAGTCGTTATTAGACGATTAAGACAGAGCTTCGGGGAATACTGTTTTCGAAATAGATACTAAGAACGACGATGAGTAATGTTTTGAAAAATAACCACTAAAGTGAAAGTTTCGGCTGGACCCTACAGTAAAACTTGGACCTAACATGAAATTGCTCATCGAACTCTATACAGGATGACTTTATGCAGGAAACAAGTCGACCTTCGATATTGCGAAAACTATCGAGTGTACAATCCCACGTTATTCTATTTAAACTAATTTACATGATTTGCGATACTTCGAAGAGGAATTTGTTGCACCTGAAAATATTAAACTCCTCATTTGTCATTTAATTAAAAAAAAAAAAAATTAAATCGACACCTTCGTCGACTTCTAAGAAACCAATTTGTAGCATTTCATTTGGACCACGTGGCATGCTAATTACAAGACCAATCTAACCTTGTAAAAAGACCACACGCGTAGAATTAGTCATAATAAAAATATTTGAATATCAGACGCCGGTTACACCATATCCTACTGAAATAACACGCTTTTAGTGCCAGATAATTATAATTAGCGAATTCAGCCAGTTCTAACGGTCACGGTACATGCAATGGTCTAACAGATTGTAACTTTTCTGTTCGGCTAACGGTCGTTCTCTTTTTATCATCGTAGCATGACTTTTACTTACAATATGTTTGTCAACATCCACGCGTGGGAATAGATCGAAATATTATTGTACGAATGTAACACGATCGTAAGAAATGCGATCGGTACAATCGGACTCATGAGAAAAAAAGTGATCACTTATCAGATACATCGATGATTGTGAAATGTTCGTAGCGGTAATGCACGAAGGGTAAAAATGAACGATTTATATAAAATCACAATATACATATGTATATGTAAGCCTATGGAAAATTTCTGTTGATTTTACGTATGCAATGTTTGACCTACTTGTGTTAAACAGGAGAACCTCCGAGCTACGCAGGGTTTTTCCAAGTTTGTTGCGTTCAAATTGTAAAATAGTGGAATTTCTGAAGAAGTTAAACATACATTTTACGGAATATCGGAGAGTGAAGATGTACTCTGGCAAAACGTACTCGCGGAGCTGCGTGTAAATGGGCAATATAAGATAACGACGGCTGTCAAAAATTTATAAGTTCGGGGAACGCTTGGTCGTGAACGTCAATTGTGACTTGTGAAATTTCGATCTGGTGATTTGTGTGCCGTGGATGATATTCTGGGACGATGTACCCAGGTCTCGAACTCGAATTAGACGTAATATCTGTCGAGGGGTCAGAAAACATTCGTTGTAACGAAAAGATCAAAATTTGGATAGCTCTTATCACAGTGATACCGATTTTATTTAAACATTTTCTGGCGATTCTAGAGCAAAAATATTTATAAAGATATTTAAATTCTGCGATGATATACAATCTGATGCATTGGTGCACCTACAAATGCAATTGCACTTTAAAATGTATTGAGCCATGTATACTCTAAATCTAATACTTTGAAAGTTATTACAGTTAAAAGTTTATCAAACTACTGCGCTGTGACCATTCATTTTCGATAAGATATTCTCGTGTACCAATACGCATTACTCTAATCTAAGCATTACAATGTTTGTAAACATGAGCCCACTGCTAGTATCAACCAGTGTAAGAGTCACTTTGCCATCGTGTAATTTACGAATCGTGAATGGTTGGATATGTTTGTTTACTTAAACGTAATTAGAATGATTGTAATACTACAATTCTACAGATTAAAATTTGATGTACAATACATTTCAAAAATTTATTAATTTTCTTTTAGTCGATTTTTAGCCGGATAGTATATTTTAACAATTTCAATTTTTTGCGATTTGAATTAACTCAAATGCAAACAGATTGCAGGTAATAATTTCAATTGAATAACGTGTTTAATTACACTGGACTATATAGCGATAGATCAATGACGTAGAATCAATTAAAAATTACCGTCAGTAATTTTCGTATTCAGTGTAATAACCATAATTACAGTCATATTAGAATGATTAATCATAATTGATAAATCGTGGATATCTACAAAAATGAGAGATTATGCCTACCGACGGAAACTCTTTAACAAAAATTAATTACATTGTGTGGTTGGTATTAAACATTAATAAGTTTTTTACAGGTCTCGGTAAGTGGAATATGCTGTTGAAAACTGATTTTCCTAGCACTGTCTGTGATTGACGCGCCAGAATACGGTTCGATTCTCGATAACACGATACAAAAACATATTGTTCGTCGATTTCATCGAGCATGTTATCATTTTATTCATAACGCTCCATTTAAAAAATTTGTTTGTCGTAGAAAAAATGGTGCAACACAGACAATTGTAAAAACTGATAAAGAAGCAGATCACAAACATGTACTCGGTGCCTGGGTACTAAAAAAAACCTTAAACATTTGTATTCCCAAAGCCACTGTGTCGTCTCTGTAGGACTTCCTTGAATTTTCATTAAAACGTTGCTCGATTTTTATCCACCTGTACATTAAAAATTCCACCACCAAAGTGCACTCGACTCTACCAAGTCTGTGACGTCTATTTCATCCTATAAACATGAATTATTCACAATCGCGATACTACGAAAAGATCCGTTCGAATTAAAATTTATGTATCAACGATTTATCAAGATTGGTTGAATAAGTATGCCAACCAGGTTTTATTATGTATTTTTTTCTGTAGGTACGATAATTAGTTACTACTTTTACCGTATTCTCGTAGTAAAAATGAGAAAAAAAAATCTTCATCCAACGTGAATGGATCCCAGGAACTACGATTTATCAACTATCATTTGTTAAAACTATTATGTAATTATACCAAACATTTTACAGACATTATTATGTATGCGATTAACTTACAAATAGTTCAATGAAGTCGACGTTCTTCGATCAACTGTTATCACTGTGCTTCTACTTCGACGCATGGCGGGCAAAATTCATATGCTTCTACTTCGATTTGCGGCGAATGATAACCATACTCAATAATCCACTATGACGCGAAGACTTTCAAAACTACTAATTATGAAACAGAAAAAATTCCAAAATTCAATTGCACGATCACAATTTGCTATTACGTATGAATTATCTGACACCATTGTTAGAATTTGATTTAAAAACCGCGCAACGTCCAATCGCGTGTTACCATAAAGTTTGACAAAGTTCGTTCGTTTATAAAAATGATGAATTTACTCGACAAATTTCTCTATTCCGGATACGAGACGTAAATAATTACAAGTTATAAATACTATCGTGTTCGTTACTAATTACTATAAAGAGGCCTTTATCGATTGTCAATAGGCCTTGAACGATATTTATGTACGTTTAATCAACATGGAATATATGATTTTATGAATAACAAAAAAACGATCTACCGTATCATTAGTATCATTAGTTTTACAAATATTTTTTTTAGACGCAACTAGCTTCTTGAACCCAACACAACGTGATATTGAAAGTGCAATTCCACATGAAATTTACTTTCCTGATCATCGAACGAGGACGACCGAGCAAGGCCTTATCACTGCATGACGTTTCAATGAATTTCTTACCAACATATCGATACGATTTATTTGTAAATTTCATCGTACAAAAACGTTGGCAATATCATGTAGAAAACGATGCTTCGAACCCTTAAAAGGGTGGACAATAGTGTATGTTTCTAATGTTCGATGCATTTGTCGCGTTAAAAATTGTTTAAACAAGTAATTATCGTAAGTTTTAAATTTACCACTAACGTCAGTTAAAATAAGATTCTAACACGGCAATATCTAGTATATTAAAAAAATATTTAAAATCCTGTTAGAAGGTTATTACAGTATTCTTTTCCCATATAATACGAAAGGTGCTGTCGTTCGTTGATGTTATAAAAAAAGAGCAAATCGTGTTGAAATCATGGACGAAAAAGTTGTCAGGTAATTAGTAAATACTCTATATTCCGTAATGAACAACGAATAAATGAATACTCGGACAAAACCAGTTCTGTCAGGGTTTAACTTGCTCGTGTTGTAATCTTTTCCAATAACCTGAGATTATAAAAATGGATAAAGGTGATCGTAGTTAAAATAATTATAATATTAGATTAATTATAGAAAAGAGGACGTATGAGAAATCTCCGTACTTTAATTGTAGAATCAGTGATCGAGATACTCAAGTAAACGGATGTTTCTGAAACGAAAATTTTCACCCTAAGTTTTAAATAAGAAGGAAAGAAAATAATTTTTCTAAAACTATAAAAAGCACATTTGCGCAAACAAACGAATAAATAAAAGCAATCGTACACGTAGGAAATCGAATCTTGAATAACGTTATTTATTGACACGAACAGTGATTTTATGAAAAAAAATAATAGTCGTTAAAAGCTTATCCGTAGACTCTAATATTTGATTGATTCGATCCAAAGGGTCATCGACCACGTTGTGCATTTTCTCTGATGTATTAAAAAAGAAAACTTGCGACAAAATTCGTATATGCCAATCTGAAAAGATTCTGTATCGAGAGAATGTAAGCAATTTGTTTAAAATATGTAGTAATCGCTGGATACCTTTAAGTATTCATCGACCTTAATTGATAAAAATTTGTGCGAAACTTGAATAGAAATTATCGAAGTCGATTTTTGTCAGCGTTTTCGAGACAAATACTCCACCGTGCGAAGTCTCGTTCGCATCGTGTCATGTGCTACTGGTACCGATGGCAAAGAGAAAAGTCTTGGACGTTGTCTCCACCGGCGTCGTATGGGGGTTAGTGATCAGGAGACGGTATAAAGCAGAGTGAACATAAGACTCGTGCTCACTAATAACAAGACAGAGGGAGAGCGTGACATACAAAACGATATAAAGCGTCTTCTAACGAGACACCGCGAATTTCCGATTTCCGTATTCGGCGCGATAGTCGCCTTACGTTTCTGGAAATATCAGAGGATCGTTTGCGCGAACGACTTCTGACCTGTATCATCAAAGGTTAATAATCATTCATTCGCGGAAAAACTGTGGAAGTGTGAACAGTGCAGTTTCGTTCGACCGATTGTCAGGTGTTTTATTATAGTGAATACCACGGAAGACATTTTTCTCGGTAAGTGATACCGAATTTCGATCTCCGTTCGGAAAATATCGCGATAACGCTTTCCCGAGTAACGTCTTCTCGACGCAATAGTGAACGAGGCTGCTGTTAAAACATTTAACAAATAACATTAGTGAGTGACAAATTTGTCAATCGCGTGATCGTCGATAAATTAATTTTGTAAACGTAACACCGTAACGTGTTCATTTCTAATAAATTCTTCGAGCGCGAAAGAATTATTTTTCCACCTCGGTCGGCGAATAAATACCGTGGCTCATTATAAATTTGTAAACGTCGGGAGAAAATTGCGGAAAATTAATTAAATATACGGAATATATGTATATTTCCGTTGACCAGCATTGTAATATATTCTCTTTGACCAGCTCTGATTCCTCCGAAAGATCTCGGTAGATACCCGTGTCACGCACGGTTCTGCATTTGCACTCTCTTTTCCTTTATGTCCTGACATTAATGCAAGACGCGTAATGAAAGATGACAAGATAGTTCGTATTGGTCAGGCTACTTAGTTTCTTGTGTTTCAAAGACGTTATCGGTCGTGTGCGTGTCAAGTAAATTTGCTTTGCTCCTGTAATGAACGCGAGAATCGAGCCACGGCCGGGAACATAGACCATCGATACCTACGAATCGCTGTGTACAAGAATTACGAATATGTTTTTCGTCAACTTCAAATTAAATGAAACAGTTAAGTGAAACAATAAACGTTAATGTGGTGAAACATGGAGTGTTTTCGTCGATTTACTATTTTGTGCGCGCGCGAGGAAAATTGAGACTTTAACGCTAGATTTCCTGAACTCGTCGATTTCACTTACAGTTACAGAACTCGTAAATATTATTTATTGGCAATTTCTGTTGAATTTGATTAATGTGACTGTCGAAATGCCCGTAAATCTACTGTTAATTAATTGTCGATGCTTGTTCGCATCGAGATTTATAGGCAAACGGAGATCGTCTTATTAAACGCTTTGCACTTTGTAATTACTAACAAATCTTTATCTCCGTAAAGATAACGCCAAATCTCTCCTTCGCGCAACGCGTCGATCGATTTGCGTATTCTAAACACTTTTGAAAATATATGATATCGATTTGCATGACGTTGATTGGAAATACCTAACGCGAGTTATTCTACCTTCGCGATTTCTCAATCGTGCTTCATAACGTTGCACGCTTCTCGGCGTAAAGGTTTTCGCCTGACCAAACGTTAAAATCACCGGATGAATTCGACTTCAGAACCGCCGAGTGGAATGCACGCGACTTCGACGTTCATCTTAATTTTCCAGTTCCGTACTTTTACGTTAAACACAGTCTGCGAAAGATTAGACGACGCGATTAAAAGTAACGTCTTCGTTAATGAATATTCATACGATTGTAAAGATAGCCGATACTGCATTCATGAATAACGTGACTACCACATTTTAACGCTTTTTAATAATTTTTATTTTCTAGCTTCTCTATCAAAAAGATTATTTTACTAATTCTGGATTTATCAAAATGAAAGTATTACACAAAAAAAACTGACATCTAACACCAGTGCAGACATCAACACGCATGTTTTTGTTAATGTATCTATTAATGATTGCAATATATGTGAAAGAAATAGTAATTAATATCGTATTAATCGAGGTAGAAACAATTATGAAACGGACTTAGTTCTTTATAGCGATAAAAAGAATTGTATTACTATATGCTATACGAGTGTCAACATCTATTAAATCACTAATATACAAAAGAAATTATAATTATTTCAATTTGTAAAATATACAGTCATGGAATTTAAATGTGCAAGAACACGAAACATGCAATCAAAAGTGAATCCTTTTACTTTCCGATTGGTAAAAAGTTTGCGTTCGATATTCGTAATTAATTTGTACATTTTTAATTAATTGACGCTCAATTTTGCCAATTTTATTCTTTCGTTCTAATGCTATAGTAACGATCGTCAACAACACGCATACATATTCAAAAATTGTTAATTAGTTTAACATTCAGTTGGTCGGATCTCTAGTAAGAAACGATCCATTATTCATACGTACGATAAAAGTTCAGAAGCTCCTCTTGAAGCAATGTTTCGTTGCATTATTGCTGCAATACCAGTCGCGATTAACATTGCAAATCGTCAATACACAACGGCGACGGAGATCTACATTAACGCGACGTAAATGCATCTTCGAGCCGTGACTCACGGAGAGCCATTGGACAGGGGAAAACGAAAAAAGGACAAAAATTAAGGAACAAAACCCCCGAATTGAGGAAGGAAAAAGTTATTCCGACCGGCGCGCAAACACAGACTTAAGCGTCAATAACTTCGACAAACTTCGCGGCGAGGCGTTTAGAAGTTGTACATGCCTTACAGTTAAATACCGTGTTTCGTACATCCAGACAGGAATTTCAGTTAACGTTTCGACGAATCATGCACGACACAACCTATTAGCGCTTCTTTATTTTGGATCTTCCTGTTCTATTCATTCATGGAGAGCAAATACGTATTTTTAACAGAACGTGTGTACTCGTGTTCTTACACTAACGAAAAGCATTTGTAAATTCAAATCGCTTCGCAAAAGAGTGCATTGTATTTCGGCAAATACAAGCAATGTAATGCTTATCACGAATATGTGAAAAATTAACTCCGGCTGTAATTATGTTAATTTTCGAACATCGAAGCTTCGTTTACTTTTGCATACGTTTACTGGTACCTTTCGAATCGATAAAGTACGATCCTTATCGCGTAATTAATGCTTTTAAGTGGCCCTAAATTGACTAATGGAATTGAGGTAGAAAAATATCGATTAAAATATATATATATATATATATATTCGTTTCTGTTTCAGGATCTTGCGATCAAGGAGACGAAAAAAGACGAGTAGGGACAAGTTAAACAAATCAGGTCATAACCATGAAATTGACGATCCCACTACAGCAATTCAAGAGTGAGTAATCACCTGCATGCGTGAACGTTAATACAGTGAACGTGTTAAAGAGAGGGAATATAATAATCCAGAATCTAACCCAAAACCATCGATAAATGTTCGTTTCGATGTTAAAACGTGTTTATCAATCTTTGATAAGTTGTTCGGGCACGGTATTTCATAATTTAATTACAAATACCGGAGGCTCTTGCTGCATTTGCGCAACGTACTTGGAAATTTGAATTATAAAGCGATGCATGTAAAGTGTTAGCCTAAAAAAATACATATTAGATGCGGACAAAAAAATATGGCGAGCATCACATAGAATAAGACGACAAATGTCAAGGTGCCTATGATTTACCGCGCATTAACTATCGCATATTGCCGTAAGGAAGAAGGATAGTTACATGTAAATAATCGTTTGAACATTTTCCTTCGATAAACTAGTTTTACGTAGACAGAGGCTTCGTTTTTTCGTTTTTTTACATATATATTATAATCTGAATGAATAATTCTTTGTATCAAGGAAGACCTGAACTGAAAGTAGAAACATTTATTGTAAACAAAAACATGTTTGCATCGATCGTATTCCTATTCCAATAAACATTGACGATAAATATAAATTTCGATTATCATTTTTAAGTTACGATACTGAAACCACTGATACGACGTCCCAATATAAATCAAAGTATTTTTACCCGGAAGCTACTCTATTGCATATTCAATAGTTTATTAATAAGTATATTTGTATACTTCTAAGGATAACATTTTTAAATCTTAAGGACGTACAGCTTTAAGAATGCCAGTTTTGGGATTTCTAAACAACTATAGCCTCAAATCGTTGATTAAGGAGTCATTCCACTTCTCGGTGAAAAAAAGATGCAAATTTGATTTTATAAAATCATAATTTGAACCTTTGGAAATAATATAGAACTAATCCACGACGCTTAAAGCGATAGTGCAAATATTAACGTGAAACCACGTTTTTATATCAGTGCCCCAGATAACACTAATATCGTAAATTCGATTTCGATAAAATTTAACTTAAAAAAGAAAAGAATAAAACCATGAAAGGTAGACACAGAGCTTGTTCTTAGAAACAACGCCATTTTGTTTACTCTCGTCTAATGTATAATAAATATTTTTCCTGTGTTATTACATGTTTTATTCGTAGAACTGAGACCGCCAAGGTGACGTAACCCCTTAACGAATCCTTGTATAAATTATCAAACACAGAATCAGGGAATGGTCCAAATATACGGAGTATCAAAGAACATTCCGCCAAGGTTGTCTGTTGCATATTCGTTGGTAAATTCAACTGATTTCGAATCCGACAACGCTAATCACGTAGGAACATCCCCGTAGAAAGACTAGAATTTCGGCTATCCAATGACACGCATTATTAGCATATTTTCTGAATACGTTATCGTATCGTATATACAGGGTGTTCGGCCACCTCTGGCAAAAATTTTAATGAGCGATAGTAGAGGCCAAAATAAGACGAAAATCAAGAATACTAATTTGTTGATGGAAGCTTCGTTAAAAAGTTATTAACAATTAAATTCAAAAATTTCAAATCGTTCTGGAAAAATTATTTTCGGTTGCGGGGGTCAACTACAATCATTTTTGGTGAGTACACATACCTCCGAAATCCTATCTACTTTCGAGAAAAAAAATCGAGTAGGTGCTGAAATTTTTCGGCGAAAAAAAATTTTTCAAATCGTTTTAAAAAAATTATTTTCGGTTGCGGGGGTCAATTGCAATCATTTTTTATCATTACACATACCTCCGAAATCGTACGCACTTTCGAGAAAAAAATTCCTTACTGAAAATCCAATTAGGTGCCTAAATTTTTCAACGGAGAAAAAAAATTGCAAATCGTTGTGGAAAAATTATTTTCGGTTGCGGGGGTCAATTACAATCAGTTTTTGTCATTAGACATACCCACGAAATCCTGCCCACTTTCGAGAAAAAAATTAGAGAAGGTGTGAAATTATTCGAGAAAATTAAAAAATTGCAAATCGTTGTGGAAAAATTATTTTCGGTTGTAGGGTTCAATTACAGTCATTTTTGGTGAACAGACATACCCCCGAAATCTTGCGCATTTTCGAGAAAAAAATTCAGTAAGAGCGGCACTTTAAACGTTAATAACTTTTTAACGAAGCTTCCACCAACAAATTAGTATTCTTGATTTTCGTCTTATTTTGGCCTCTACTATCGCTCATTAAAATTTTTGCTAGAGGTGGCCGAACACCCTGTATATATTTATACAATCAAAGAAAGTTGCCGTAGCTGTTCAAAAGTCTCAGTCATCGATCAATTTCGTTGTATATTATTTAGTATTCCCTAATTACACAACGCAATCACGCACAAGCTTTCGTAAAACATTACACATATTTAAGGGAAGTCATAACATTGTATACGTGTTCGTGTATAAATTAAATACCTCGTGTTATGACTGTAAACGATTCTGTGTATCCGTTAAGTGGTCTAATAAACAGCTAATGTCTTGTAGACGAGATAACCTTCCATGTTCAATATGTAATTTCATTCTTTCAGCGTTAGAATGTTTCCGCGCTCCCTTATCGCCGGGTATACTTTTAACTTTTATCGCGACGCTGGAAAAATCAGTTTGAAACTCACAACCTTGAACTACAACTGGAATAAATCAAACTTGGTATGAGTACGTCGCGATGCATTCGTCCCGTTCGTGTTATTAGCAAATACCAAGCACGTTACTTCAAAGTAAGCGTTTCTTCATGCTAATTATGTTCCATTAACTTCATTTTTTGCCTCAGTTTCGATGAAAAATTATGATCATCATCGATATTTTTTTTTTTTTGTGTGAAATTCATTTTCAGCTAATTTTCCCGTCTACGTAAACAATGTTTTTACGCGTTCTCGATTTGTCCTTATAATATCGGTAATATTGTTAATTCTTTAATATAAAACTTCGATAGAAACTCTATACATGTACATTACAACTATTTCTACGTACTTGTTTTTTTATAAAATTGTTTTAATAGTAATAAAACCACGAATGTCGAAGGGTGTAAGACTTTCATTATAATAATAGACGTTCTAATTTTTGATCGTGAGTAATCGACGAATATTGATCGAGAAACGTTTCCTATTCGGCACACGTGACGGAATTAAAAAAGTAAACGACATTTGTTAGCCGCGACAATTATAAGATCAAGCGCAACGACATTAACATACCGCGCTTTCGCTATGCCATTACAGCTTGATGCACGCGCTATTTTGATATACAAATACTTAGTAATAGACGGTGACAGCACGTGCTACGACTGCGTCCTGTCATAAAGGTAACATGAACGCCGTGATATAATACACATCTATCTTGACATCGAGGCGTTAAAACGAAAGCAAAAAATAAGTTATCGAAGAAACGAGGAATTAGAGTCAAGTTATTGCAATCCTTGCTTTCTCATATTTATAATAAATAAACTGTCAAAAATGCACCGGTTTAATATCACTCTGTCATTCGAATCTATACAGAAATTTAGTTGCTTTTTTTCATGTGTTAATTTATTAAGCTTTGATATTTGGTCACGTTTTCGAGTTTTTCAACCTACTGTGTGCATCGTGAAACTTTTGCACACACTTTGCCGTTATTCGTATGTTATAAGACAATCTTAACTCGTAAATAATCGTAAATTGCAGCGCGGACACGCGTAGAGATTAACCCGTAATCGACGAATACTTAAAGGAAAAAAGAAAAAAGTACGCGTCGTTAAGTGTGTCCTTACTTAACCAGATCGCGTCGCCATTAAACCGCAATAAAGATCCTGCAACTGAAAGTAAAAGCCAATACCGAACAGCCAGTGAACCGGCGCTACGTGACGAAGCAGAACAATTTTTTTTTTCCCCCCCATTTCGTTTGTAACCGATTAAATCAACGATTTTGATTGTAAACAAGTCTTCTTTAATTGATAGCTATCGAATAATCTGGAATTTGAGTCAAGGTGAACCGGTACCTGTGAATCACATAACGTGTCGTAGGGCATGATTGACACCCATCAACGGCATTCGCATTTTGAATTTTCAAATCTTTCCATGGATATCTTAAAATCGTTAAACATTTGCCAATTGACGAGCGTGCGAAATTTTTACATTTGAATCTGCATTGTAATGTCTGTCAAAATGATTTAGAATTATGTGACGAATTAAACGGAAGCTTCAAACAAGTATTAACACTTTGCAGTGCTTGAAACAATTATATTCTTTTTTTTCGCTGTTGGCTAAAGTCAGTAGACGAAAATATTTAATAACTAATAAAGTAGAATTGGAAAGTAAATTGGAAGCAATTTCCTTCGGAATTTTTAAAACATTTTAACATGTCGAAAACCTTATAAGAATTTATACGATCCGGTGAAACTACTAATTACTGGAGTTATTTCCCTCCTGGCAAGAATTATGCGATGTTACGTATTTGATATTTTGTCTTGGTCTATTTTAGAGCTACATTCTAAATTTTGTTGCAATCTCTCCGAGCTGTTTTCCTACAATACGGTTACAAGCAGACACAACTGTGTTGTATTTATAATTGTGCAATAGTTATCTGCTTTGAGGAGATCCATACTTTTGATACGCATATACAGAATCAGAATAGAAATGGTTTAATTGAAATCAGTTTAGCAGATAATCAGACGAATTAAAGAGAAATGAAAAAACAAACGATATATAAACCAGACCTGGTCATTATCCAAATAAATATATTATTTTATTTGAAATAACTATCGCTGTTATGGATCATGTTAAACACGTATCAATTTGCTTGTATTGCAATGACTATGTAAATATCAAACGTATTATTGGCAGGCGTAAGAATGTAAGGTGATAACTGATTTTCAATGCAACGAGATTTACTGTTTTGTCAAGGTATCGCGGGTTTCCATTGAATCGGCCATAAATTGAATCAGACTTTAACATCGCGACGACCTCAGAAGCTAGACAACACGCACGAAAGCACACTACACTATTTTTCCTATTTTCATGGAAAGAGCAGTCATTAAATCAGCAACCTTCGTATATTATGTTCTATCGTGTTTTACGATAGAATATGCGAGAAAGGACTCTGATATAACTTATTACGAAACGCCGCGGAATAATAAATTTATCTGACCCGATCTCGGATGTAAAATATAATTTTTTATCGGTTACTGAATTCACTGATAAATTCTCTTTCAAATGATTTAATATTCCAATTCCCGATTTATTACGCAATTTCTTTCCATTGATTTCATTCAAAAAAACATGATTAGATATTACGTGTTCAAATTTTTCAAGCTAGGATTTCGCTTTCAAAGAAACGAAAAAGTATATTATAAATGCCGTCTGGTTGAATCTAATGCAGCGTGAATCTAAATGAAGTTATATGGGATAGCGAAGCAGTTCACAAACTGCATTTTAAACTGGACTGCTGGAGTGCTCACGATACATAACAAATTTTTAAGTTATTTAAAGCTGACTATTAATTTTTCCTGTTGCAGAGTGTATACTACTGTTCCTCCTGGGCACTAGTTGCAGCATCTTGGCATACATATTCTATATAATTCATCCTGTGAAAGCAATATTAGAATATGTAAGTGTTCTCAAACTTTACGCAATTTAACAAAATTTTTTTGTCCATGATTCGTTACAACAATTATGAGCACATGTGTTTCAGAACCTGCACTTAAGGCCAAATTCGCTGATTTTCAATTTATGGAGAAAACCACCCATCAATGTATACATTCAAATGTATATATTTAACATTACCAACGAAGAAAAATTCCTCAAAGGCGAGGAAAAATTGAAAGTCGAAGAAATTGGACCCTATGTGTATCAGTGAGTAACGTAACATCTATAGCAATAGCATTATACATCGATTATACCAGCTGAACATTAATAGAATACACATGGCACAGTAGACTGCACAAGTACAATTATAGCTTTACTCAATTTGTTTTACCGCGTTTAATGTAGCATTTGCAAATGTCAAACATGAAAATATTTTCCAAGCAATTAAATCCATACTTTTTATACGTGTTTCGCCAAATAATGTTGCACTCTTAGTTTGTCAGCAAGTTACAATTTATTATCTCCTCGACATAATTTATGTATGCACACACGACTTTAATTGCGCAAATATTTCGCGATTTCTGCTTTCAGGGAAATCTTAGAAAATCAGAATGTCACGTGGCACAATAACGGCACGATTTCGTACATACCTAAAAGAACGGTAGTGTATGTCCCAGAAATGTCTGTAGGAGATCCAGAAAAGGATTTGGTACGCGTCCCAAATATACCCATGTTGGTAAGTGAATTTCTTTTCTTTCCACGAACCCTTCTTTCGCAGTTTAATTGAATTTATGAACCATTTTTATGCAACTTATGTTTCTCAGAATATTGAGTTGTGTAATAAATTTATCCACGTTTTTTCTTATAAATATATTAAACCCTGCCAATTTGACGTAAAACTCGATCAATGATATAATTTGCCATTTTGTTTCGTCATCTGTTATTTAAAAAAAAATTATAAACGAAAATAAAATTTCTGGTCTGCAGACCCCTCAGGTTAAAAACCACTGATCTAATCGTTACTGCACTTTGCAAAGGTATAATTAAGGAAATAAAACCTTTCGTGCCATTGAATCATGACGCGAGTCATTCATAACACAAAATTGATGATAATCGTCCGACATGCGTCAAAAGTACACAAAAAAGTAAATGCTGCGCATTACAATACTGTCTAAACGAGAAATAAATGCAAATTGATAAAAAAACTACAAGCTTTAGTATTACAAAACGTATGATAATATATTCATCTAATTTGTAATATTAAATACTATGCTCGAAATTATGGATTTTATTTTTAATAAATACTTGTAAATTATATTTTAATAAAGACGTATAACGAAGCATAGTTATAAAGGAAAACGTTATCACGTATTGAATGACAGAAGAAGAAGTCCGACAGTAATATATAATTTATGGAAAGTATCTATTAATTTATTAGCAATTATCGCGTCTCGATAATGTCTGGACATTAATATGATATGACGAATCCTCATCAATTGCCATCGCTAAATTTGCATATGGAATACTGTCTATATCAAGATTTTTTACCACTATTTTTTGTACGCCCACTTCTGTCAACTAGTTATTTTCTTTTATTCGATTTCCGAGCGCATACTAATCATACAAGAATAATTATAAATTAAAACTAGACTACAATTCACGGATTGACGAATGCAAACTCGCATTATTTACCTCGGATACAACGCACGGAACGAACACAATTATAACTGTAACAATCTTTAGATAATAAATATTTTGCAACGATTACTATACAATTAAACAACACGTGTTCACCTTTTTATTGTCATCGAATAAACACCTAGGAACACGATAAAGTTGCAGTATCATCGTGCCGCGGTAGTCGTAATTCGTTTTTCAAGGTTTTCTTCCTTGAGGAATAATTATTCATAGTTACTTCAAAGTTTAAAAAAAAAATGACGTTAATGATAATGTAAATGTAAGGAAAGGCACATTTACGCACCAAACAATAATTTGTCGTGATCGGTGTACCACTATAAGTAGAAACGTACTACAAATCTAGAATCAAAGATCAATACAAGCAGCACGGATGTACATAAATAGAATTCACTGAATGAATTACCATAACAATTACATTTAAAAAAATTGTTTTCTTTAAATTGCACGCCCGTGATTACTAGTAATATTTTTACATGATTTGTAGTGTCGCGTCGTCAATTGCGCTTCTAATCTCATAAAGCTGGTAATCAAAGTAGAATAAGTATTTCTATTCTTGCTCTTGTTTTCACGCTGTTCTTAGGAATTATTAAAAATATCTGTGAAATTGATAGAATTCTATTATCACATTCGAAAAAGTATTTTACATAGAAAAATCGCTGAATTGATAAACAGAAATCGAAAAGTAGTGAGTTTATTAGATCCTTATAACAAAAGAAAAAGGGTGCTATACGACCTCGAATATAAATGCTCGAGATATACTGAAACAGATGGTGCAACAAGTCTCAAATTGGACTCTAAATGTTTACCTGTTAATTTTGGTCTTACTATTGATTTACTGAATTATATCTTTAAAAATTAGTATCTATATTTATAGATATTGCCAAATATTGTGATCTTCCGTGCTAAGAAATTCTAGTATTTTTGAAAAGTGTTTTAGCAAAATAGTGACGTAGTACTCTAATGAAGATGCAACTTGAAATTTTTTATCTGATAATTTAAAAAAGTGTGAAACTAAAACTGATTACAGGGTCTATCTTCGACATTGCACGATGCCGGATTTTTCGTAAATTATCCTTGGGCGAATCTAGTTAATTTGCTGAACAGCAAACCTATTCTGAACATCACCGTTTACGATTATCTTTGGGGCTACGAGGACACTCTGGTTAATGTAGCGAGCACCGTCCTGCCAAGCTTCATCGACTTCCGGAAGTTTGGTTTACTCGACAGGGTAGGTAATCAGTTTATAAAAACTTGTATTTATAATGATTGTGACGACGAGCGATTCTAGATATCGGATCGCAAAAAAAAATGGAAGCTGTGATGCAGTCTCCAAATGTTTTTTATCGTTTGACGGAATACGTCAATCCGTTCTTTGAAAATCTATTAAAGAAATGTTTACGAGATCTCTAAAGACGCTATCTTATTGTTAGATAACGAGTAAAAAGTAAAAAATAGTCCATTAAGTAATCACAAATTAGTTCTGTTTGACTTTTACCACGAACATAATACGTCATTTCAGAACATAAGTGATGTTCATGCGATAATTTGTCAGGTGTATCTTATTACTGGTTTAAATGCGTCTTCGATTCATCTAAATAATTATGATAATTTGTCAGACGTAGCGTGATACTGGTTCTAACTCGTCTTTGATTTAATTAAATAATGATCCGTATATCCTTCGTAGAAGTCTTTGTCTATGAAAATAATAATTAAACGCAATGTTATCTCTGTGATCGATTGGAAACGACTTAACGAGGAGTTATAAAATTTGGCAAGTACTTTTCGAAAGGATCAAAGTAGGACATAAAATTTCTGAATAATTAATTGAAATGTCAAAGGACCGTGGTAAATTTGGCTTAACATAATTATTCAATCAACTCGTCGTATATCAAAAACAATTTATGTTACCTAAATGCGATAAATTTTTCGGTAATCTGTAATCTACGATAGAAATAAAACTGAAAGGGTAATGTCCGTCTGTGAGCGCATCGGTTGTAAACTCAATGCAAGGATACAAAATTTTTCAGTTATCTTACGAGAAGATCCGTGCAAGTTTTAGCAAATTCTACTCTTACAGCTTTCTGCGTAATAAATTAAAATTGTCCAAGGGGGCCTACGAAGAATTTCTCAACTTTACATAATTATTCAATCAACGCGACGTATCTGAAAAACGATTTATGCCGCACAAGTGCAATAAACATTGCAACAACCTATAGAAGCTTTTGTTCAGCGATTGTTTACAAACTACAATCAAGCTGCGTGTCATTCGGTTACACAGAGTCGCATAAAAATAATTTTACACGCATCGGTAATTTTGTTTCATTAACAACGCTCACGTACGGCAGAACCCGTTGAACAAAGAAACAAGTATTTGCTGTTTGCAAACATTTCTCGGCGCAAAGTGGAATTTTTGTTACCGAACATAAATTTTCAGAAACACTCGTGTGTCCTTGCAGTAAAATATTTAGACACACTTTTGCACGAAAGCATATAGACAATTTTTAAAGGAATACGCAGATAAAATAGTCGATTCGACACGTTTACACACTTTTTAAACCACTTCGCTTTATCAATATAATCGGTAGTATAATAAAACGTGAACGACCAAAATTATCATTTATGTTTGTGATTTGCATTTACAAGGGAGCCACGAGACGTGTTATTTTGTCGCATAGATTTTAATAAGGCTTCGTACACAGATAGAAAATCGAAAATCATTTGATCTTTATTTAGCCGTTTATTTAAATATTCAACAATTTACGAGGCATTAATCAACAAAGAACATAGTAGCTAGTGTGCTAAATATTTACGACATCACAGGTTTTTTCTCAGTCAGAACACATCTTATCTAGATTAATGGTCGATAAAATGTTTCTGTTTTATAACGAGGTAGACAAATAATCGTACATATGATAAATACTAGAAAAATAATTTTTTTAAGGAATGTAATTGCTGATTATTCCATCAATTACGACGAAGAGTTTATTTTAAGACTACTTCTTGCCTACATAAGGGAGAGGTCTGAATATTTTTACATTTTCTATAGTCATCGACTTTTAATTACATAAAAGAATGACAAAATACAACCGCAACAAATACAGGACTTATATGAACAACTTATGTTGTGACAAATCCAAGTAATAAGTAAATAATTCATGTTTTCATTTACCCGTCACTTCAGGATCGGGGTCTTGGCCGACCAGATCATTTTATGTTTTGTATAGATAGCAGTAAGGTTTCCCAAACAAGAATAAACGTTTCCTTTTTGTTTCGTTTATATAAATTTTCTCATCTAGTCTCAACAATGTTTAAGAAACTAGAAGCGACTCTAAAGAACGGATCTACTTTCACGTGCTTTCATCTATTTTATTTATCCAGACACAGTTTCGAGTTTCTTAAATAGTTTCGGTCTAATACAATAATTTTAAACATTGTAGGTAATTTATCAAGAACGCGATCGCGTACGGGGCAGATTGAAAAAAATATTCAAGGAAAATGACAGGGTAAAGCACGATAATTAGTCACAAATGCAGGCACGAGCTTTAGACCATTAACTCGACGCAAATATACGAGTTTAGAGCTCGCTCGTATTGCGTACGAGTTAAACTATCGACGTTCAGAAAAACGACCTAAAAAATGAAGGAAAAAAAAGATATACCGGTTATTGACACAACCAACTAACCTTGTCCACACATGAATCGACCAAATCATTTTAAATTTCCTATTGCTAAACACACCTGCTCGCGTGAATGATACGCACACGCTTCCGCGGTCTGAAATCGCGATGGCGAACGGAGTAACGTTCTACACACGCACGGACAAACAAACGCGACACTGCACCTCGGCGTTTGTACCTGCATACTCGTGCCAGGACTGTACCGAACTCGACAGTTTTCGCAATTATTTCTAGCAGTTGATCCTTTCACTGTTTACGCATACGTTTCAGGGTTCACGAGGTTAGTGTCAACGACTCTTGCACACACAAAAAAACGATTATGACAGACACGCTACCTGTTCCCAAGCTGTTGGCGACGTTAAGAGGGTAGTCCGATAGCAGAGAACGGAAACTCAACATTTGCGTACTAATTTGAACAAAAGTAATATAGGATTCTCCAAAAAGTAATTGCATTTGAGTCTTTTATAAAAAAACAAAAACACTAATCGACAATGTACAGGCGATTTTGTTCGATTACATTTTACCATCGAGCCATTGTGGATTCGAGCAACTTCATGATTCCGCGTTCAAAAAAGATCTTATCTAAATTTGGTATCTGGTGAATATGGTAAATGAAGGACAAGAAATACAATTACCTTACACGTAAATCTAATTATTATCAAACGTCTACTCGTTTCGCAAAAGTTGCTAGTTTTTCGTTCGTATTTATACGATTTAATATGAATTACTTCCTAATTTAGCAAGCCATTAAAGTTCTACTACAGCCAATTCAATCTGCAGCAAATAGAAACGATAGGGTTGTTAGTAGAGTTGAACTGATTTTTTTTTTAATCGGCCATTAAGTGGTTAACCGTTCACATATATACTAAACCCGTGGTTCTTAATGTCAGATACAGTAAAATTCCGATTGTTCGGCATACTAGGGACTGGGGCAATGCCAGAAAATCAAATATGCCGGATAATTGGACTATACCTACATATACAGGGTGTTCGGCCACCTCTAGCAAAAATTTTAATGAGCGATAGTAGAGGCCAAAATAAGACAAAAATCAAGAATACCAATTTGTTGATGGAAGCTTCGTTAAAAAGTTATTAACGTTTAAAGTGCCGCCATTACTGAATTTTTTTCTCGAAAATGTGCAAGATTTCGGGGGTATGTCTATTCACCAAAAATTACTGTAATTGAACCCTACAACCGAAAATAATTTTTCCACAACGATTTGCAATTTTTTAATTTTCTCGAATAATTTCACACCTTCTCTATTTTTTTTCTCGAAAGTGGGCAGGATTTCGTGGGTATGTCTAATGACAAAAACTGATCGTAATTGACCCCCGCAACCGAAAATAATTTTTCCAGAACGATTTGAAATTTTTGAATTTAATTGTTAATAACTTTTTAACGAAGCTTCCATCAACAAATTAGTATTCTTGATTTTCGTCTTATTTTGGCCTCTACTATCGCTCATTAAAATTTTTGCCAGAGGTGGCCGAACACCCTGTATATGAAGTAATAAAAACGACGAATTGTGCCATTTTTATGGGGGTTTTCTGAGTTTACGAGGTTAAAAAACAAGTTTTCGAATATTCCTAGAATTTCTAAATATTCTTCACCAAAATACGCGTTGTTTGCATTCTAAAACATCAAAATCCTTCAATCCGTGTAGGAATTATGATTTTTTAAACATATGCATGCAAGAAAACATTTCTGGTCACACATTATATTTTTGATAAGAAATTTTTTTCTCGAAAATGCGTAGGAATTTGGGGGTACGTGTATTCACCAAAAATGATTGTAATCGCCCCCTGCAACTAAAAATAATTTTTTCAAAACGATTTAAAATTTTTTTTGTTCAGGGTAAGCAGACAGTTACGGCCAGACATTATATTTACAGTAATGAATTTTTTTTCTCGAAAGTGAGTAGGATTTCGGGACTACGTCTATTCACCAAAAATTATTGTAATTAACCCCCGCAACTGAAAATAATTTTTTTAAAAAGATTTAAAATTTTTTTTTTTCGCCGAAAAATTTAAGCTGTCGATTTTTCTTAAAAATCCGTTTTTCATTTTTAATAATTTTGTTTGACACGCTACGAAAATTTTGTTTAATACTTTTTTGTAGGTACTCATGAGCTCTACTTCAAAAAAAAATTTCATTGAAATATATTCACTATTATAGAAGTTATGGACATTTGAAAATTGGACCATTTTTATGAGATTTTTCTAACTTTACGGAGTTGAGAACCAACTTTTCGAATATTTTTGAAATTGCTACATATTCTTGGTCAAAATACACGTCGTTTGCATTTTGAAACATTAAAATCCTTCAATCCGTTCAGGAGTTATGATGTTTTAAATATATACTTCAGGGTAACATTTCTGGCCTTAGATGATATTTTCGGTAATGAATTTTTTTCTCGAAAGTGCGTAGGAATTCGGAGATATGTCTATTAACCAAAAATGATTGTAATTAACCCCTACAACTAAAAATATTTTTTTCAGAATGATTTGAAATGTTTTAATTCTTCCGAATTTAGACACCTACCTCCTGTCGATTTTTGTTTTTAATAATTTTGTTTGACGCTCTACAGAAATATTGTTTAATACTTTTTTGTAGATCTCCATAACTCTACTTCATAAATAAATTTGAATCAAATACACTCATTATTGTAGAAGTTATGGTCCTTTAAAGATTGGACCATTTTTATAGGATTTTTCTCCCTTTACGGGGTTAAGCAACAACTTTTCCAACATTTGGCATTATAAAAGCTATAACACTAAAATAAATTCTTCTATTCAATTTCCTGAAATCATCATTATGTCTCGTACAGAGAACTTAGAAGCTCTCTTAGCTAATTTATTAAGATAGAAAGAACAGAAATTAACATTCATTGGAAACTTTTAAATGCCGATGGAATTACTTCGTTAAGGCGTAGTTAAAAATATTAAAAGGCGGGGGGTTTTATGATTATAAGAAATTATAAGGTTGGCGGTGACAAATTATTCCAATTAATTATAATCCTGTTCGCGGAGACGATCAAAAGATGCGTTAAGAATCTTATTGCACGTTCGATTGATTTCATTATCGTTTCTCAACTATGGTAGGATTCATTTCTTGGCATTTTGCAACTCGATCTTTTCACTCGTGAAAGGGATCCAGTTAGACACACTTCGTGAAGTCCATGCAGGATAAATCTGACTTTCTTGTCGACTATCCTCTCGTATTCCGCGTATTTAGTTTCGTTTCTTTGCTTTATCTATTGTGCTCATAGATTCGTTCACGCTACAATTAAATCTACATTATCCAAATGTGTAACTATCTGAACATTCTATTGTTTGAACGTCTACTATTTGAGGATTCATAGGATTCTTAAAATTGCATTAAAATATAATTATTTTAATAAAGAAACGTATGATTCACGTACAGATATACGACGAAGGAGAGAATGTCGTCTTCATGAACGTCGAGGGTAACAAAAATATGACTGACGAGAATGGACGTTATCTCAGTATCGAAACGTACAATGGCAGTCCAGGATTGGCTCAATGGGGATATAATGAACCGGAAGGAAACGAAACACACCCAGAGTAAGAATGCATGGAATTATCATAATCGAGAATTTCCATCGTGTGAAACAATGTGAACCGGTCCGTATCACAAAAATATTATTAATAATCACTGTGAATCGTTCGCGTTGCAGGAACACGATCTGTAATCGTGTTCAGGGTTCCACCGAAGGAGAATTGTTCCCGGGGAATTTAGATAAGCGCACCGTATTCAGAGTGTTCAGAAAATCGTTTTGTAGAGCGATACCGATCGTTTTCAAAGAGCAAGTGTTGCTGGAAAACGGATTCGAGGGATATCTCTACAGCATGTCGGACGATTTCCTGGATCCGCCGGATCAGAATCCGGAAAATAAGTGTTTCTGTAGTAAGTTGAAGAAATGCCTGAAGAAAGGACTTTCCGACATAACACCATGCTATTACAGTAAGTATATCATTAATAACAATATCATAAATAAATAAAAAGACACCTTTGCATTCGAATACAAATAATTGTTAATGTGAATTACATTATTTATTACATTGTCAAGAAAAAATGATTTTAAAAAATTCTGATGCCTGCGTTAGAAAGAGTATTAATATAGGTGTGCCACAAAATAAAACAAGTTAAAAATCGTTGCAATAAAAGGTTAACTATGAATCGCACGAATTAAATATCGTATTACAATTTTGACAAAAAAAAGACTCACCAAACGTTGATTTCCCTGAACTCCTCGAATTGCCAACCCACTGCTTATCGAGGTCTCCGCGTAAGTAGCGCATTTAGCATCCTAAACGGAATGGAGGAACTCCGCCAGCGAACCTCCGCCAGACTGGAACATCAAATGTCTAAGTTTGAACTTTACAAACAGAGTTTACAGTGCGAATGCATGCTTAACATTATTACAGAAGATTTTGCTGGTCTAATAATTTTATGAAAAGATCTCTTCCCTGAATACGTTTTAGGAAATAAAATATAATTCACAAAACGAATATTGATCGTTTATCGCTAAAATCTATCCTACAGCCTATCTTGAGTTCTCTGATACTTCAGAATTCTTCCACGTGGGAATAACAAGTTACTTCATAAAATTGATATTTGCGTACGTAATCATTCTAATTGTACACAATCTTGCATCGCTTACAGGTATCCCAGCAGCAATGTCTCTGCCACATTTCCTCAATGCCGATCCAAGTTTACTCGAAGGAGTCGAAGGCCTCAATCCCGACCCCGAGAAGCACACCGCGAAGATCATTCTGGAACCAGTAAGTAACCTTACAAATGAGTAATGAAGCAGTTTGCCTAGAACGTTTATCTTCTTATCGGATTGCATGCTTGTATCCTTTTGTTCAGGAAATGTGCTAAATTTATTTAATAACGGGACATTTAAATAATAACACCTGAATACCTCCGTTATTCTTCTACGAAAAAGCTAGAATAAAGGTATACAGTTTAAATTTAAGGTCATTGATAATTCTTTAAATGCTACCCTATAATATGTTTCGATATCCTTGCGAAGCATGGAAAAACAAATCCAACGACTTTATAAACCATACTGTTTCGATCATTCGATCTTGAGAAATTTACATTAATATGTTCTAACATTATCAAACAGTTACTCCGATAAATTTGTACTGAAACGTTTGCTTCCTATCCTATTTAGACGAATATAGTCACACCCTGATTTACGTTTCCTCGACTTACATTGTTTGTACCTCCAGAAAAATTTCTCTTGAAAGTAACTTCGGATCAGATAAGTAAAATGAACATTTCTTGAGATTGAATGATAAGAAACAATATGGTTTATAAGGTCGTTAGATTTGTTTCTTCATACTTTACGGATAGGGGTAAAAAACTTCTCCACCAAGAATCACGAGAGTCCCACTACCAGCCAACCAATTCTCCCACCATTGAACAGCCCGTCTGATTCTATACTAGTTAGATGCCCTGGCGAGCTCTGTGCAGTAAGCGTAGTGGGGGCAAGATCTTCTGCGCACGAGCAGAACAGAAAAGTAGGGGAAGGGACCACACTGGCGCGCAAGCCTCCAATTCGCCACCCCTGATCTACAAAGATATCGAAAGAAAATTATAAATTGCCATTTAAAAATATACCAATGACCTTAAATTTCCGTTGAAAAATGATCCAGTTAACCCCGTTTTTACGATGAGTTACTCCACTACGGTTAACTTGATTTTACAGCAGATTGTAATACTACAATATAGCAACCCAACTCGTTAACTACTAACCAAATCAATTTTTTCAAAGTTTTTGACGTTTCAGGCGTAGAAAATATCTATTATAGTCTTCAATTTCTGAGAAAAGATTGATAGAATCGGTGTTATCGAATGCCCAATCTGAAGTACATATCTTTCTCTTGATCCCTGACATTTCGTACATCACAATAAAATATTTTGTTGCGAATGGCCGGAAATTAATGTGAAACTGGTCGTACGTTGTCGTTTTATGCGTAACTCGGTTTTTGATCGTATACTTTAAAAAATGCAAATCACTGCAAAAGCTTGAAGTCGCCCGGGGTTTTTATCAAGATCACATTCTCCGCGACAAGAAACCCGCCGTATTGCTAAACGTTTCACAAGCAAAAACACGATATGCAAGAAGAACGCATTTGAAAGCCAGTCGAAGTCTGTTAGTTACCTAATCGGACACCGATAACACCTGACTGCCCGTAAAACCAGGAGCATTAACCATTGCCAATCATCGACAACGTCGACCTTGCAAATCGTTTTCAGAAATTTCAGTCAACTCAGACAAGACCATCCGATTCGAACTCCTTTTCGAATCAACGACTAATCGGTTACGTTTTGCCTTCTTTTCCATAGACGATTGGCATCCCGATGAAAGTTAACTCGAGAATACAGGTCAACCTGGTTATGTACCCTACGAAGTACAACCACAAAATCAAGGTTTTCAACGACATGACGATACCATTATTTTGGAGCGATCTGGTAAGTACCTTTAATTATATTTCCATTCATAAGGAAATTTTTATCTTAAGAATATTAGCAGTTGTACAGGGTGTTCGGCTATCCCTGGGACAAATTTTAATGGGAGATTCTAGAGGTCAAAATAAGACGAAAATCAAGAATATCAATTTGTTGATTGAGGCTTCGTTAGAAAGTTATTAACGTTTAAAGTTCCGCCGGTACTGCATTTTTTTCTCGAAAGTGGGTAGGATTTCGGAGGCAGGTCTGTTCACCAAAAATTATTGTGATTGACCCTCGCAACCGAAAATAATTTTTTTCAGAACGACTTGAAATTTTTTAATTTTGTCGAAAAATTTCACAGCTTCTCGAATTTTTTTCTCGAAAGTGGGTAGGATTTTGAGGGTATGTCTAATGACCAAAAATGATTGCGATTGACCCCCACAACCGAAAATAATTTTGTCAGAACGATTTGAAATTTTTTAATTTTGTCAAAAATTTCACATATTCTCGAATTTTTTTCTCGAAAGTGGGTAGGATTTTGAGGGTATGTCTAATGACCAAAAATGATTGTAACTGATCCGCGCTACCGAAAATAATTTTTCCAGAACAATTTGAAATTTTTTTTTCCGACAAAAAATTTCAGCACCTACCCTGTCGATTTATCTTAAAAATTCGTTTTTCATTTTTAGTAATTTTGATTGATGCCCCACAGAAAAGTTGTCGAATACATTTTTGTAGTCACCCATGAGCTCTACTTCAGAAAAAAGTTTCATTGAAATATATTCACTATTGTAGGAGTCATGGCTCTTTGAAAATTGGACCATTTTTATGGGGTTTTTCTCATTTTGCAGGGTTAAGGATCAACTTTTCGAATATTTTTGCGATTTGTACATATTCTCCACCAAAATACGCGTAGTTTGCTTTTTGAAACATTGAAATCGCCCTATCCATTCAGAAGTTATGACATTTTAATGATTCGCATTTTCGGGGAACCATTTCTGACCTCAAATTAGATTTTCGGTAAGCAACTTTTTTCTCGAAACTGCGTAGGAATTCGAGGGTATGTCTATTCACCAACAATGCTTGTAATTGATCCCTGTAACTAAATATAATTATTTTAGTATGGTTTGAAATTTTTTAATTTCGTCTAAAAATTTCAGTACCTACTCGAATTTTTTTCTCGAAAATGGGTAGGATTTCAGAGGTATGAGTATTCACCAAAAATTATTGTAAGTGAGATCCGCAACCAAAAATAATTTTTTCAAAATGATTTGAAATTTTTTAATTTAATTTTTTATTTAACTTTTTAATGAAGCCTTGGTCAAGAAATTGATATTCTTGATTTTCGTCTTATTTTGGTCTCTAGAATCTTCCATTAAAATTTTTCCCAGGGGTAGCCGAACATCCTGTATATGGAATTAGTAGGACAACCGTCTGTGTTATGAAAAAGAAGAATCGTCACATTTTAAACTATCTTGAAAGTTCATCAAGTAAGCAAATTCAAACTTGATTACAATTGCTGTCTTTTTGTCCTGGACTGGGCGTAATTTATTATGCAATTCGAACCAGGTTTGGAACTTCATATAAAAGAGATTACAAAAGTAAATTGACTGTTCGTCCAGGTTTTACTGGAGGGCTCGTTATTAAGGTTGATCCAGTAAACCTTGCTCTTATTAACGGTGTTGAATCAGTAATACATTAAGTTTCTGAAATTGGTTACACGAAACCACTTCGATGACTACGTGAATATAAATTTTAACAAACACGATTAATAAAAAAGACTAAATCCTTACGAATCCTGATCTTGAATCCTTAAACAATATCAGTGACACGGATATTCTAACAACGGCCCCGTGTGAACTATGCAATGTTATTTTTATCAATTTTTATTAAAAGTTAAAATGATCAAAATAATCTTCAAAATTCAAAGGCACGTTTATTTAAACTAAGAAAAATTTTGGTAAAATAACGTTTTATAGTGAGTTCCAGTTTAACGATACAAGGTCACCGAAGGCGTGTAAAGGTCTCAAGGGCATATTGAAACGATATTATCGCCCATTAAGCTGAAATTTGAACCACCTATTACGCAATGGGCTGGTAGACGGTACGCTTTCAAGGTCGTTTTTACTGTACGCATCTGATTTCCAACGATCTTGTGTGACAAGTCATTGAACTTGTCTTACGAATGATACAACATTCCTTTTAAAGAAACGAAGTTGACCTTGACACCTCTACGTCTTTACCTGAAATGCAAATATTTCGACGTCCTTTTTCGGATCAAATGCAATTCCCCTATGCGCTTTTAGCATTGGAAAAGACTTTATGTACCATCATGCTTATTATTATTTTTGTGCGTATAAAATGCTGGATTTTCCGTATTTCCATACATTAGAAGAAGATCCGCGTGAAACGCCCAAAGAATTTTTAGAATTCAAAAATCTCACCCCTAAAAATTATAAATAACAAAATGCTACAATTTTAATGAATGTTTAGCAAAGCAAAAAAACGCTTGAAGGGATTAAAATTCAGATAATAAATTTTTTTCGCCATGGGGAGGTTTGAATATCTATGTCCTTGTAACCGTCACTGAGTACTACAGCAACTGTATACCATAGAAATATTCTTATAACAATTTAGTGAAGTTTGACCTACTGGTGTACATTACACATCATGAAGTCGGTAAAACCCCGAAGGTTACGTTATAAGATAAATATCGAGGACGGGAAAGAGGCCAGATTCGTAAAGTCACCGAAGTGGAATTGTTCTGTCATGGCGGACGACCTATTTGACGATCAAAACCACAATTAGACATTACAGCGGGACTACTATAATTATTTATATGGAAACCACTATATCGTTAAAAATTTGTTTGCAGACTATACTTACGATGCCGGACGACATACTTCTTATCATGAAATTGGCCGTTCATGTGCTTCCGATAGCAGAGACAGTAATAATGTGGTTACTAGCGATCGCAGGGGTCACGATGATCGTGTCATCAATACCAATCATGGTGAGGACCATCAATCAACAACAAACACCGCTTCTATATGAGAGGAGGGACAGCACCGATTTAAGGATACCGTTGAACTACGGCCAATACACGACAATGCGTATTTTACCAGCCATCAAAAAGATCACGTCAAAAACCGATCTGTTTAGTTAATCGACCGCCTCTCGCGAGTATCTACGGAGCTAAAGGTCGTACAAAAGTGTTACAACGTTAAAATTAATAAAAAATATCTTTGCATTCCTTAAATAAAAAAAAGACAAAATAATAATAACGAGATAAATGTAAGCCCTCGTACGCGTTTGTCCTCGCGGTGTTTCTCGACTACTTTTAACAGACTCGGAATACGGAGGTATAGGGTGTATTCTACGTTACGGTACACATTCAGGGTTTCGTGCTAAAAATATTCCCTTTGTGGATCGATATTATTCTCCCAGGACGTTATTACCGTGTGCCTCAACCCTTTTTTGATTCTGATTGATTCATAATATTTCAACTTATTTTACTTTTCTTTTCTTTTTTTAATGATAACCTAAACGCATTCGATCGCATCTGCCAAGTTGGGATAATTGAAGCTACACCAACATCGCCTTTTTTTAGGCAGAAAGAGTCGCATAAATGTTAATGATGGATTTAAACTTTGAGGGCATAGATCGAAAAAAACAATGTTGTCAGAGTTAGTAGGGTTTCCGATCTTGATAACGTAAATGATTTCGTCGTATACGATTTTGAAAAATGGAATTATCTTACCCGTAAACTTTTGATATCTATAAAATGTCCTTCCGTTTTCACGCATGCTTCGTATCTTCGTACTTATGTATTATATGATTTAGTGAGTACTATATGCCCTCAAAGTTTACAAACATTTGTTTTAATATTCCGTGTACATTTGACAGATTACCGGGTGCTCCATCTAGGTACACATGTATGTAGCTACTTGTATGGGACTAACCGAAACAAGAATTTCTCGTATAGAAAAAGATTGGAATTTTATTAATTTGCAATCTGACATCTCGTTTACAAGATATAATTGTGTTAAAATGAGAAATTTTTATATTTCGATTTGTCTCGTTCTTTTGTGACATCCTTAACATAAGATGTAACATAATCAACATAACTGCATGTACATAGATAGATATGTATTTACATGCACATGTATAATAAGTTGAAGAAAAAATGAATATTATTGGCAATATACTCTAATGTGACGATACAACAGACGAATATTATAGTTTGTTGAAAAGAAAAGACTTTACTTATATGTATTACTGATTGTGCAATCGCAAGAACAAAAAATTTTAAAGTAATGATCGTTGATGTAATTACATTCTGTTTTCGTTGATGTTGCTTATCGAAATTTAAATTGTCTTGACAAATTTCCGTTTTTCCTTGTAGTATTCGGACGAAACATTTTTATACGTATTGGTGCATTCTGTATTTTATTTACTTTTCAACAAAGATATTATTGAAAAATTTCTACTTTTTAACGAATATAAAAACTCAATTGAATATTCAATTTTACTACTAAATGGATTAGTTGTTAAAAGTAATCGTGTTAAAAATATAAGAATATACTTCAAATTTATAAAATATAATACTTTCAAATATTGTTTTCCATATCACAAATATTTTAAGTAAACATTGAGGGAAATGTTTAGATAAATATAACTCTAACTTTTGGTTAATCTTTTATGATTCAGAGTACATATTACAATTAATGAAATTTGAACAAAAGTTTGGAAAGTTTTTATAGTACTGTAGTTTAAAGATTTTTTTTAATGCAATTAAAATTGTATATCATGCTATTTTTAATTTATTATCATTTTTTTATACCATATGATTTTTTTAAAAAAACACAATATGTTTCATAATAATATTATCATTAATATGTTAAGTGTTTTAAATAAATAGTTGAAAGTTGAATAATATTTAAGCTTTTTTTTTAAGGAATCTGTATTTTATAATTCTATAAAACATTGCATCTATTCTTATTTATCATTCAACATATAGACAAAAAAAAAATTGTAATGCAATATTTCATTTCATTGTTGTATTACATTCTTCATTACCATAATGTCATTCATATTATGTAGTCAATTTATCATTGTATAGAGACATAAATATAAAATTAAAACTACATGTTGTACAAATTTTAGAAAAAATATATATACTTATATATCTATATACTGATGATTAAAATTTCATAATAAAAACTTAAAATATAGTTTATTACGTATTTGTTCTAATTTGACATGTCTTTATACAGCCTAAATTACTTTCATGATTACTTATATTCTATATAATTTTCTACATCCAAAAAAAGAGTTGGGATACAATTGATAATTTGGGCAAATATTTAAAGAAACATTTTATACTTATACCAGTTCTTTTCTACTCAATTAAAACTACTAAACCATCACTTTTACGTTCTTTGTATTCTTATGCTTAAATACATAAGATTACAGATATTTTATATACTTATTTAACAATGTCGATGTTTATTTAAAAAATATTTTTATTATATACAAAATACATACATTTCTGTGAATAGTTCTACAGTTTAAGTGTAAATACTACAAAATGAAATAAAATCTGCTTAGACAAAGTACAAATAAAAAGAGTATTTACAAATTATGTATAACTCATAAAGTAAAACTTATGCCGACGACAAAACTAACACAAGCCATGCAATTTGACAAAATTACAGAGAAGAATTCCATAGGAATCGGTAATAGTTTGTTAAATAAAAACGTATGTGATAATGTAACAATAAAATACATATTACAATATCAAAAGTAATATCATTTGCAGAGTACATGATATCAGAATATATCAGACGTTTCACACAGTAGATATCAAAAACTTTAAAAGGTGATTCTAAATACATGCCAAAATAAAACGAAAATTAAGAATGACTATATACTTTCGTGTGTGTGGGTGTGTGCGTGCAGTGTCCCATCTAACTTTATTGCCTGGAATAACTTGCTTGTTTTTAATATCAGTAATATCTGATAACTCATCATATGTATTCTCAAACTATACACGGTATGCAATATTCTAAATGCACTTTTAACAACAAATAATATCTTCCTACAATTTACAGTAGAAATAAAAGCACAATAAAATTATAAATCATTCAATTTTTTAAATACATAATCCATTTCAGGCCTATTTTGTGCCATGCGATTAGCACACCATTTTCCCAAAACCATTAAATTATTATAAACCTGTCTGTCTTTCTCACCTGCTTTGTTATCAATTAATAAAGGGAGATCTCTATCTTCCCAGCTGTCAATAAAATCTTTCAGAAATTTGTTTTCTAACCTGGATTCATCATAAGCGGGCAAACCTGTAGCCAATTCAAATAAAACTATACCATAACTGTAAGTATCTACCTTTGTAGATAATTTTCGTCCATGTAAAAATTCTTCTGGAAGGTATGGTCTAGTACCATGAATTTTACTCACCTAGAAAAAATATCACAAGTAAATAGTAAAGGTTATTAAATTTACTTCATAGCAACATGTTTCTTAAACAGAAAAAATTACTTTTATGGAATCTTTTTCAGGGCCCTCTCTTGCTAAGCCAAAGTCACCAATTCTGGGTTCAAAATTTTTATCAAGTAAAATATTAGCACTTTTTATATCCCCATGTATCAAGGGCTTTCCTCCAATCGTATGTAAATATTGTAAACCACGTGCAGTTCCTTTAGCAATTTCGTGACGCTGTATCCATGTTAATGGTTGACTTTTCTGTTTCACTAATAATCTGTCTTCCAAAGATCCATTCTTCATTAGTTGATATACAAGACAGGGTGCTCTACCATCCAAACTATATGCGTATAATGGTAAAATATTTTCATGTGGACAAGAATTCAAAATCTTTATCTCCCTAAGTGACTGCTGAAGCTGTAGTATATAACTTTCATCTGAATCAACTCCTCTTTTTTCTATCTTTTTAATAGCAACATCTGTATTTTTCCAAGTACCTATAGAATAGACAACTGATATACTGTACATATAATAAACTTAATGATTAAAGAATTTCATAGTTATATTTTTTCCTATACCTCTATATACAGTTCCAAAACCACCTTTTCCTAGTATATTATGCTTATTCCATTCATTGGTAGCTATGGATAATTCATTATAAGTAGCATGTGGTAGAGTGGCTTCTGTGCGAGGAATAGTTATATCGTTATGTTTTCCATTACTTGATTCATTCTGTGCAGAAGGTGGTAAAGGATAGCCTGCTGCCAGAGAAGCAACAAGTAAGTTATTGGAATTACTTGGAGAAATTCCAATTTGCATAGCTTGCATAGGCTGGTTTAATATTTTAAGAGATTCTTCCTTGGTGTTTGATTTAATGATAAGTTTTGGTACATTCGGTTCTGGTGGTACGACTTGATTAAAATTTTGTGTACCTATCTTTAAATCTTTAGTATTTTTATTGAGTCGTCTTCCTAATACTCTCTGAAGGTTACCTTCTCCGTTATAAAGTAACTTATGAAATTTAACTTCAACAAATGGTTTTAAAGGCACCATAGATTGATAATGTTGCATTCTGGATAATAAAACAAATAATTCCAATATTGTATGATTATGATGGCCCCACATTGTTAACAATTCGTCGGTTGGATTCTTTTCCTTTCGCAAACATTGTATTGTCAATACATCGTATTCCATCCATGTTCCTGTAAGACAACTATTAGTAATATATTGAAACATACGTGAATAATGTTAAATGTTTAATCTCTACAATATACCAGCTAACTCTTCCCACTTGTCATTTTGATTAAGTATTTTGCAAAATTCTGATCGTTCGAAAAATGGCAATTGATAAATATATTTAATTTTATCTGTGCAGCTTGATGAAGTCATATTGTATAACAGATTTTTCCTTATAAACTACAATTATACTTGTTTTAAGGAAAATTATTACATACAGCTCATACTAAACGTAAATATATATTCGTTTAAAGTCACTAGATATAAATTGTTTACAGCGTCACTAGACCGGACACTGGGTGCACCGGTGTGGTAACACTGTAAACGATGTATATTATTATAAATATAGATATATCATATTATTAAATATAATTATTTTCTATACAGTCAAATATGGGCCTATATGAACAGCTGTCAAAAGGAACAACATGGTTCTTGCGGTAGGATATGCTGGCTTTCCCCACGACTCCGTTAGATGCTAAGGAGGTTCGTCGTTACTAGTGTTGCCATCGATGCACTCAATGATGCCAAATCTGGCCACACTGTTTTTGTAGTTACAATCTAGAATACTGCCAATCAGATTTTGAAACAACTTTCGCTCTCTATCTGGAACCATAAATTTTCTGGTTTCTTGATGTCAGTCACTTTATGGTATTTCCAATACGAACTCTCTTTACACACACAATCGCATGCATATATGTATAATGAAGTTTTACAGAACAATAAATTTGTATGCCCTCTAAGGGTAAAATTTTGAACCTTCAACAATCACTAGCAAAGTTATTAAGTGAGCGTTTTATAACACCGCATACGCCATTTTGAAATCGGAGTCGCACGCAAAACGTTGTGTATGTTGTGGCAAAGCGGCTCTTTGCACGCTTTAGAAACCATAACATCATTGTTTTTAAATACCAAGAAGAAATAAACAATGGCAGAATACTTGGCATCAATTTTTGGTACTGAAAAAGACAAGTAAGTTTTATTATTTAATTGGTACGTGTTTGAATTTTTCATATTAAATCTCAACACTATTACGATTCTTCATTTTTACAGAGTAAATTGTTCATTTTATTTCAAAATCGGTGCCTGTCGACATGGAGATCGGTGCTCACGGATTCATAATAAACCAACTTTCAGTCAGGTAACAAAGTTTTCCTTAACCTTTTATTTTTCTTATTTCTGTAAGACTATTCCAAAGTTATAGGTCTATTTTTCTTAAACATCCTGTTTTATATTTTCTTTTATTTATTCTTAAACTTTTTATCAATAATTAAAATTTGAAAAGTGAAAATTATTGATTGTACATATATTCTTACAATTATATTCTTAATGTGGTTGAATAAACTAACATAGAGACATGTTTGTTTCAGACATGCTTATTACAGAATCTTTATGTGAACCCTCAAAATTCAGCAAAAAGTGCAGATGGATCTCATTGTGAGTTTAATATTAGTGGTACAGTTTCACACATAGTTGTTGGGAAACAAGTGATGCTAATGAAAACAATAATTTGTAAAATTAATTGTATAAATATTATTTTTTAGTGGTTGCCAATGTATCTGACGAAGAAATGCAAGAACATTATGATAACTTCTTTGAAGATGTCTTTGTTGAATGCGAGGATAAATACGGTGAAATAGAGGAAATGAATGTTTGTGATAATCTTGGAGATCACTTAGTTGGAAATGTTTACATCAAGTTTCGAAGGGAAGAAGATGCAGAAAGAGCTGTAAATGATTTGAACAATAGATGGTTTGGTGGTAGACCAGTTTATGCTGAACTTTCACCAGTTACCGACTTTAGAGAAGCTTGTTGCCGTCAATATGAAATGGGGTATGTACGCATGTAAAATAATATTTTTTTAAATATTTGATTATGAAGTATTGCAATTTATCATGCACTTATCTTAAAATACTTGTTTTAGGAGTGTTGTTGAGCATTTAATCCTTTTCACATAAATCAAATACTTTTTATTAACTACAAAATTTAATATTGTTTCAGAGAATGTACGCGCTCAGGATTTTGTAACTTTATGCATTTGAAACCTATTTCACGAGAATTAAGACGTTATTTGTATAGTCGAAAGAAAGGTGGCAAAGGTCGATCGAGATCACGTTCACGATCCCGCGGCCGTGATCGCAAGCGAAGATCACGTTCTCGTGACAGGAGGTCCAGATCTAAAGATCGTCGAAAAGGTAGAGACGATAAGGGCCGAGATGGTCGATCCGGGAGGTATTAATTATACTAATTTCCAATTGTAATAATACTTCATAATAAAATGATCTAAATGGATCTGTTAATCTTTTGACTATCTTGTCAAACAAAATGTATTCACTGATACATTTTTTTAAACTTTTGTTCATTAATTCTGTAACAGTTTCTGGAAACGTTAATTTCTGCCCTTAAGCAATAAGTTGTATCAAATTAATAAAGGAAAACTTAAAAGATGTACTTTTCTAAAATAGAGATAAAACATAATGTAAACAATTACTTTCGAAATATGACGATCGAAGAGTTAAATAAGATGAAATTGTTTAGTACATAATTGCGTTAAAAACATAGTAAACGTTTTTTCTTTCTAGATGTTATATGTTAATATTAACATAAATGATTTTCTTTGTATTCACTGAAATTTGTTTAAATTACTATATGATTATAAATAGATATGCTTGAATGTAAACTGAATTATAATAATTTTCATTGCATTAGTAAATCTTTATATGTGACCATTGTGACTGTATAAAGTTATCACAGTATAAAAAAATTTTTGCATGTGTAATAATAAAAATAAAAAAATTTGAAAATCATGTTTACTTATTTTTTAAATCCATTGGTATAAACTTCAAATGAGAAAATTATTACATAATATGAACACACCAGTAGTATTCGAACACAAGACAGTTTTATATATCTCACATTATATTTAACATTACTTCCAACATGAAGCAATTATTACTACAATGTGCAAGAAATTATGCTGAATGCTCCTAGTATAGTGTCGATAAAAAATATTTATTAGCAGATCAATATCAGACTAAGTCTCTATTTTTCCACCAGGCATTCAAAATTCTACAGATTTCTCAAACTTCTTTCCACAAGCAAACATCTCTAATTATATAGGCCAAATTACATTGTATGTTATACACTGGCAGAATTTATATCAATGTTTCATGTTTTATTATAAAAGGAAATTATCAATTTAAAATGTTTACAACTCGTAGAAATATCTTATACATAGAAAATGCGTGGAAATTATTGGAATATACAAAACAAATAAAAGCCAAAAGTTATTTGACTGGAAAGAAATTCAAGATTGTAGTATTATACAACAAATCGTATAGTCATGTTTTGGAAAATGAGCTTTCAAGAAATACTTTAAGTATTTCACATTTCATTAAATGAATACAGCCATAAAAATGAAATACATAGCTGTAAAGAAATATTTATGAAAGAATATACTTTACACGATTTAAATAAATTATCCAAATTCCTTTTATAAATAATGTTGAAATTATTATATAGATCGAATTGTAGATATATGTTTTAACGTTGTAGCTGCATGTATAAAATTGTGATATGCGAATGTTAATGAATAACGATGTAATGGGATGCACGCAATCGCCATTTAATACAGTCGATATTATAAATCTATCTATAAACTATTGCTTCTTACTTCGAAATGACACGAATTTCTTAACAACTTCGTTAATGTCATTGCATCGATGCACATGTATACATCACAATGTGTTCGTGAATATCACGGATAAAATATATTATGTCAACGTACGTCTTTCGAATTAATCGCTTTTTTTTTTAATGCCGACAATATTAAACGCATCCATTTGATCTTACAATGTTTTCAGTGTCTATCTTAATAGACAATACTTAAAAACATCTTAATAATTTTACAGGAATTAAGGTATCATATTTTGCGGACATTAAACTATAATATACAATAGACGCATTTATGTTTCTTCCTTTTTTCCAATGACTATTAACAATTACCATTATATAGTGTAAAAAGTATATTAAAGTGGTACAATTAAGTCCGACGGAAAAGACGTATTTTGTAGTTTATTCTCATCAGAATTTCTCCAAAATATACTGTATACAATATTTTACTTTACGTATAAATATATACAGTTTCATTATGACAGCGCACTAGGTATCATTTAGTTACTCGGACATGAGATTGAGCAGTGCGCAACATTCTACCTTATATGTTTCAGAAGATAAGAATTATCTTCCTTAGCATAGTTTATTTTATTTTTGTGGTAGTATAGTGCTCGTGTTATCCATTTACTTTGTGTCTAAGCACAGAGGTATAAATCGATTAATTAATTTCATCTTTTAAGATAACTAACAGCTTCTCTGTAATGTCCCGCCCGCATCACTTGTTGTATCGTGAAAATATTTACATTGTTTAGGTTACTAATTAATGATTACGATACTCCATAGTAGGTTTAGTAGGATATGAGATCATTGTTTAGGGGGGCTAATCGGCATAAACAATGAACTGTTGGTTATCCACATCCGCAACTTCAACTTGAACAAACTGAGGCTGTTGAAGTTGTATTTGTTGTACTTGTCTCCCAATAGCATTACGTGACCTGTAAATTAATATTTGCACCTTTTATATGAAAAATACTTAAATTGATATATACGAAACAAAAATATATTCTTACTTGGCTTTTGCATGTGTTAATATATGTGACTTTAAATTCGTTGATTGTGCAAATTTTTTACTGCATCCATCAAATGGGCAAACATAAGGTCTGTCTCCAGTATGAATTCTAACATGAGTACGAAGATTGAAGTCAAGACTAAACCTTTTGCCACATCCTTCAAATGTACATTGGAAAGGCTTTTCTCCTGTATGAACCAACTGGTGCCTCTTCAATTTTGAACTTTCAACAAAAGCTTTGCCACATTCTGCGCATACGTGTACCCTTGGCCCATGAGTGTGCAAATGTTTACGCATCGCACTATTATCTCTGAACATTTTTGTGCATCCTTTATGTGGACAGGCTATAGTACGCTCAACACCATCTAAAACAGGTGGCTTGCGTACTTTCAATTTGTGACCAGGCCTAGCAAATTCTGCCAGCTGTTTTGGATCCGAAAGGTCAAGACCAGGCATTCCATCAGAAATGGAGCTCCCAGAATGATTGAATTTGGCATTGGATTTACCAGTCATGTATTCTGTGTAGTCTGGATCAGGCTCTGGATTTGAGCCTTCATCTGGAACATCCACCAGGTGAGGAGCTAATAGGACACTCCCTTTAACAATAACAAACAAGCAGTCCCAAACAAAAGCTACTGTATTTATTTTTGGTTACAAAAATTGTGTATTTTTTATTTATATTTATTAGTAAAAACCTTTATTACATAACAACATAAAACATTATTTTTCTTAATGTAACATTGTATTTAATGTAAAAATGAAAAGAACAGCAAAATATATATACGTATTTAACAATTTAATAATCAATCTCTTTTTATTTATCAATAATGTAAATTACATTTCAAATAAAAATAGAGAAGTTCGTATTTTTGTTAGGCTTATAAAGAAATACAAAGTTTAAAATAATTATATATATATTTAAAAACCTTTTGTTTGCTCTTTAAAAAGAATATAAGTTATCAAAAAATATAAAATATTTACAAATTTTTTTAAATTATTTTCGAACATTCAAATACAGAAATATTAATTACTTGAAGAATTACATATAATAAAAAAACACTAATTTATATCCAAAAAATTAATACAAAATGTATTTAATCATTAACTTCAATATTATTGCTACCATTATTACGAACTCTAAATTATCAACAGTTAAAAGCAAAAATTAATTTGTACTTAAAAAATTTATACGAATATAATCTGTGAATCCTATTGTATTATATTATATTATAGGAGTATTAGGATACATTTATTACATACATCCAATTATTCATATATATAATAAAGAAGCGCGACAAAGATGAGGTCGATTTGTGCGCCTGTGAATCTCCACTATAATTTCATTTTTAAATGATATTCCATCTATATGGCAATTGAAGCATCCAACTGCATGATTTGTGAAAAGAAAAATTAAAGTCACAATTACTGTAATTTTGAAGGTGTTTTTAGTATCCGTGAATGCTCAACAAAAAATTATGGATTTTACATTGAATGACGTAAGAAGTCAAAACACGCTTTATATTTGAAAGAATAAATCGAATATTTAAATAATTCGCCTCATAAAACAAGGAATTAGATATTTTATTCGATAGAAATATGCGAAAACTTATATAGATAAAGGAAAAAAGCAAAGGAACAAATAAAGTAGCGTGTTTAAGAAAGATATCGTGAGCGTAAGAGTTCTGTTCTTTCTGCTGTAAGTACGTCTCCGCCATTATCATTCGAGAGGATAGATCACGTAAAAGAAGCCATTTTCAAAATATGGCTGCCCCCTGGCAGCATAATGGCGTTCTCTTGATCAAAACAAACAACGCAAACTGTCAACGAAATCGTTGATAATAAAAAAAAACCGAAAGCATACTGTAGATGAACTTGACGATCCCATAAGAAAACCACGGTATTGATTCAAGCCCACCGGAAGTGCGTACCAACAGTGTACACGGAGAGATACTCGTTGCGAAGATTTTCGACCAAGTAGTTCGGTGTGTTTCATTTTAGTTATCGAAAGGTTAGAAACAAACATAAGACTTACCGTCGTCGGTACCTGAGGCCCACATCGTCACCGAGAATTCACCTTCAAGCGTCTTGATTTGCACTTGCTTCTGCTCCCACTTTCTAGCCTTCGTTTCCGAACCCATTTCCCCAAAAATCGTATGATCGGACGTTCTGAATCTCGATGCACCACTCTTTCTGGCCTTCTTGGGACCTTTTCTCGATGGTCCAGGACTCGACTCGACATAAATATCGTTCTCTGGAACTGGGATTTGATCGTATACGCTTAGTGGATCACTGCCGACGATTTCTTCTTGCGTCTGTAGTATGATTTCTTCGCGCCCTGGCTCTGGAAGTGGTTGAAGAGCTATCATCGGTTGCCCATCCTCTCCCTCGATGGTAGTTTCTACGGTCTCACAGGGTATTTCCACCGGTATTGTTTCTATTTCAACCTCTTGGATATCTGGTTGAATCTCCACTTCGGTTATTATGTCCGAGGACGCCATATTAATCTCCGCTGACGCCATGTTACTAATCAAAATGGCTGGCCCCGGATACTCGCGCGACAAGCGGGGCGGTAAGTTAGCTGATCACGTGACTCACTCCCACCATTACGATTACTAAAGTGGTGTTCATTCTGAATTCGTTATTTTTTTGTAAGCGATTCTTTCTTTGAAATTTTCTTTTCAATTTTACGCATAGTTCTTAAACATCATTTATGAGTTATAATAGTATAATATGAATAACTACGTTTTATAATATAGCTTATATTTTTTAAATTTGTTATGCGTTTAGTGTGCTTCTTGTGAGAACCATTAAAGCGTACCCTTCCTCTTCTTTTTAATATACGTTGTGCCATCTTCTGGGAAATGCGAGTAACATATTCAGTGTAGAAGAAACTTTGGTTCTAGTTTGACTTATCATAAATGTATTTTATGTATTATTTACAAATTTGTCCCAATACCTTAATTGATTATTTTAACCGTACACCGATATATCTTTGCAATATATAGAACTATATTGCATGCACAGGTTCGAATCTTTAAAATAAAAATATAGGTTATTAATTTCGGATTGTTATCACGATGGACTTATCGAAGACAAAAAATGACAAAAAATTATATCTTTGTAAATGGTATTTTCGTGGTAAGTGATATTCATTTAGTTATGATATTTTAATTCTTTATATAAAAATATATAAATATTTTGTTTGTTTCACAGCTGGATTTGTTTTTTTGCCATTCCTTTGGGCTGTGAATGCTGTTTGGTTTGCCAAAGAAGCTTTTGTCGCGCCGCATTACGAAGAACAAAAGCAAATCAAAAGATGTAAGTTTTTACTTATTATCTGTTTTAGTGTATACATGTTCAACATGAAGTTTTATTACTATTTAGAAGAGAAAAATTTAAATTCATTCTACTGTTTTATTATTTATTGAATTTGTATGAAGTATAGAATATATGTTGACAAACATCAAGCTAGAAGTATTACTAAAAAAATATTATGCTATTTAATTGTTGTAAATTCATATATGTATATATGTATATAACAAATATTTTGTTAAATCAAATTTTCAGACGTGATATTCTCTGCTATAGGAGCAGCTTTATGGTCGGCTGCTCTTTTAGCATGGATCATTACATTTCAAACACAAAGAGCAGCATGGGGTGAATTTGCAGATTCTATTAGTTACATAATTCCTATGGGTGTTCCATAACATTGTGATAAAATTATTTTTATTTAATTATTAATTTGTAACCATAGTAAGCTTCAATTAAATTGGTAAAGTCTAGACTGTTGATAAATTAAATGACCTAAATACCTTGCATCTTTGATATTCACCGTTCCTGATGTGAACCACTCAGCATACCAGATACCTTCTCCCTGTATACTTCTATTATTAGAGTTGCAAAAGAAGGGAGCTCCTTTGGGGATAGTCCTTGGAGATATCCATTATTTATAAATCCAGCCCAATGATATCTATGCTAGAATTTTCCCTCTGTCCATTGATGAACACAGAAGTTCCTAATAATTGTTCCGGTTACCTTCATGATGAACCAGAAAAGTCATGTAGTTTTAATTTAAATTTTATTGGAAAAACTTTGTCGATCCATTGATAACAGAAGTGTTCATTAATGAACATAATTGGATCTTGCTTACATGGTTCTTATACATTCTAGTATGAGAATTAATAATTAATATTTGTAAACTGATTATTGGTCATACTGTTGATTTAAAATGAAATTTGATAATAGAATTAAATCAAAGTGAAAATATAATGAGTGTCTGACTTCAGAAACATACAGACCAATATGTATAGGTTGAATGCCAGTAATGATAGTTGGGATGAGGAAAGGTATAATGTAATACCACTTACTAGCAGGGAAATGGTCCTGACTAAACAATTTAATTGAAGATTACTTTACTATGATATATTTGTAATATATGCATTAAAAAAAATTATATTAAAATTAAACTTTTGATATTTAAATAAATCACAATACTTAGAGTTATAAAAAATATATTGTTTATTTTAATGCACTTAATTGAAATATTTCTAAAACTTAATAGCACATAGTACACAGTGCAATATTATATATACTTTATAGCATTTGTAAAAAAAATTGAAATTGCAGGTGCAAATTCGTAAAATTTGTTTATTTTCATATTTATTCATTATTTATTATCTGACATAAGAGAATGACGTTAAACAATTCTACGTCGTTGTCTATGTACTTGTATATCTCTGTAAACTAATCTTGATAAAAACTGAAATAATAAAAATTGAGTTAAATTTGGAAATACTTATTGCCGTTTAAAAATTTAACATAAAGGAAATTACCAATAATGCCAGCATATCTGCAACCATAAGCATATAAAATACATTGTGCCAACCAGCCCAATGTGATACCAAACCTGCTAATAATGGACCAACTGCAGCACCAATACTGCCTGTTCCATCAATGATAGCAGTAACTGTAGCTAAAGCTTTAGAATTATTTCCTAGACTAGGATGAGTTCCAAGTTCAGCAGATACAGCAGTTGTTATCAAGGCATAAGGTCCATTAACTAATATTCCTACTATTGATAGTAATATCATATTGACGTATAAGCTAGCGCTTCCAATGTAGTCATATATAAATAACTACACAAAGAATCATATAAAAAAATACAAATCAAAGAAGTAAAGATGTACGAACATAATAATATGTACAATTTATTTGAAAATGAATGCAAAATATTATTCTAGATCTTTCTTGTTTAATTGTTTTATTTATTTTATATTTCTTGTTATTTTGATAAATTACTTAGATAATGTAATTTACTTGTTTGCAATAATTACTTCATGAAATAGTACCTACCGCAGGAACTGCAAATCCAAGCATAACTGCACATGTTAGGGCACTCATACCACTGTAATCTGATAAAACACCAGCTATTATTGCACCTGCAATACCACCAACATCAAATAAAGTCGAAACATTTGCGCTTAACGTTGTACCATAAGTAGCTGAAAAAAGATTAAGATATCTATGACTTGTTCTAATAATAATTATAATATTATAAATACTAACTTGATGCTGCAATGTACAATGGTAACCAGTATAGGAACGTGTAGCTTACAAGCTTTGCAAAGAATAAAGAAAGAGAATATTCTATAACTCCAGGTATACCCATAGCCCCTCTAAATCCAACGGCATTTTCTCTATGATGTTCTTGTAAACGTCTATGCCTTGCCAATATTGGACTTGTTTCAGATCTTAAACTTGTCAAATCCTTTGAAAGTAAATTTTTTATAAATATCAATAATAAGTAGAAAAACTTACAGCTATAGCTTAAATTTATTTGCAAAAAATGCTGAAGTAACAATGTAAATATTCAAATAATACAAATAATAGAGTGCAACATCTGTTAATTTAGTTACATAAAGTGCAGTATTAATTAGAAAATAAAGCATGCACTTACTTCGTCACCAATTTGTTCGCGGTAGGCACAGCGATAGATGAGACGCTAAATACAGCAAATGGGTTATCTTTAGTGAGCTTATGGCATGTGCAAAAAAAAAAGAAAAAGAAAATATATGAAGATATTCTAATATAATTGTTTATACAGCAAAGCGATTAACGTAAGTATCAGAAAATGGAAAAATTGAATTTATACTGAAATTTGAAATTCATAATATTATATGGAGAAAACATCTTAAAAAAGGGTTGTCTACATTCCAGTGCTAAATACAGATTAACAAAACAGTGGTTATGTGGTAGATCTATTAAGACATTTCATGCTGATAGTCATACAAAAACCCTATTAAGAAATGAAACATATTTTTAACTCACGTCTTCGATATCATTACTACAATTTCTACAAATATCTGCATCATTCTCTTCGTCTGAACTGTCGGTAGCATTGAATTTTCTATACCTAGGAGAAATAGGTGGAATACATCCTACATTTATAGGATTGGGTTCTAGAAATAGAAATATTATAAATCCTGCCAAGCCCATTGTAACACCAGGTACCATGAAAGTTAAACCCCAATCAGATTCCACAAACTCAGCAGCTATTAAAGTACCCAAAATGTTTCCTAATGATGTATGAGAATTCCATATTCCAAAGATTAATCCTCGTTTTCCTTTTCCAAACCAATTTCCAACAACTGTGACTACACCTGGCCAACCTGATGTTTGGAATATACCACCCATTGCCTAAAAATGAATAGTAAATGATACAGTTAGTCTTAGAAGGAAATAACTATATAAATCAAAAACTAACTATATTTGCGTAAATAATAAATTCCTCTTTGTACACTTACTTGGACCAAAACAAAATACCATAAACTATGGATATTATATGGCCTAGCAATGCCAAAAAGGTAACAAGATATACCCGATCCAAGCATACCAAATGTTAGAAAATACCGTAGGTTTACTCTTTCTGCTATGAAACCACTAAACAGATAAATATAAGGTTATTATCAAAATACTTTCTGCAATCTGTACATCATAATTAAGCTCACTTGAATGTGTCACCTGAGGAACATGGCTGCTGCATATGAAAACAGAAATGCTGAGTCTAACATGCCAAGTAATGCTGGTGCCTCCGAAGTATCTGTAAATAAAATACATTGCTTAAACAATCTTTTCTATAAAAATAATTTCTAATTAGTATTCTTCAAATTATTTTTTATGTATACTTATGTATACTTACCAAATGGAGCCCAATCACACCATGTATCTTTATTTGTGCTATTAATTAAAATATTATCAGGTGGTGACAAACTGCTACAGTTCAGGCTCAATACATTTTTTACAACGGATATAGGTTTCCTTGTCATATGATAACAGGTATATGCTAAATATGTAAGTGCCAAGATGCCACCTTGATGCCATGCTATTCGATTGACACGACTATGTGGACAGTATTTGAAAATTGCATATTCTAATAATTGTAATCCCCACGGTTTATCTCTTAATACACCAGTCATATTTGGTACAGAATATTTTCTCTTTTCTTTTTTAACAACTGAGATATTGTAAAAGATAAATATGTTTCAAAATTTATTACATAAGCAATACTTTATATGCTTATTTGTACTTTTTCAGTTTGATGTTTATCTCTTTACAAATCACTATTTATAGTTTTAATCATATCATTTAAAATGGTATAAAAACTAGTTTCAGCTTCATTTTAATACTTTGGACAGAGTTTAGAACAATACTGTGCATCTTCTTTTTAAGAATAATTAGAATTCACAATGTTAAATATTTGTATTCTTATTCACATACATTTCTATTCATTAACCATAGTGTGTTAACACTTCAATAAATACCTAATTGGTATAAAAACTTTACACAATACTATTTGTAAGTACACTTTATAATAATTTCATTATTATAATATACTATAAACATTTCTTTATACACACAGATGTAACATTGATAATCTGTATATCTTTCTTTTTGATCTTCTGGATATCAACAATGTTATTTATCTTTTGTACCTTTCTTTCATATTGATATTTTTATTATATTCGAGGATTTAAATTACCAATAGAAGAATAGGTTTGATATAAAAGCCACAAATATTGAATACGATAAGAAAGCAGACTGTGACTCATAACCTACAACAAAGAAAACTAACACAGCACCAAAACAAAGAAGAATAGTTTACTGCACACTGCATATGGATTACGATGCAATATTGTCACTTTTTTCACTGTCTTTAAAAGAACTAAATATAAGAAATGCAACTCTATTTTAAATTTAGTGGAATGTTTATTATCGCAAATGACAAATGATAGCTACGTGTACAGTAAACTTAACACATATGTACATTTTTATCTTGACACATGGCAGCTAAGATATGGTACAGTATAATGCACTGAAGATCAGTGAGTATCAATTTCCGTTCAAGGTTAAACATTCTAATGATAATACTTATGCATATTAGAGATAATACTTATGCATGAGTTTACTACAAATTAGCTACGAGTTAGTTACAAAAAATTTGAAAATAAAATATATTGATACAAGTTACATTTTATTAACACTAGATTTACGGGCATTGATCTCACGTATATTTATTGATACCTTTTATGTTGACGATTACCTTAAAATACGATTTTTCTTTTAATTAGAATATGTATTCATGCCATTGCATCAAACAAATTCAACATAAGTTGTTAAAAAATAATATTTACGCGTTCTGCAATTTTAAATATGGAATCTGACATCCGTCAAATTGACGGCTTCCGTAAATCTAGTGTTAATTTTCACTTTCAAACTTTTAGTTGTTACAGTAAATTATAAATATAAACCTTTAAGACTTATTAAGAATTAAATAACACATTGAAATTGTACTTCATTTATAATTACTTAATTTGTTTTAATAAATAAATCTTGTATTATTTAATATTTCGTTATAATTTTAGAAAAAATAGTAAAAAATATGTAATATCAACTATGATTATTCTTGATATTTACTTATTTATTCATCTTAAAAAACAACTCGGCGAAAATACTTTCAACATAGGAATTGAGCAAGAGGCTCCCGCTCACAGTGACTGTCATTTAAATTCGAAAACTTAGAGATTTAAGTAATTGTTTTCTATAAATCATGAAAATAGTATTAAACGATTGAAAATGATATACAATCATATAGATTAGTGTTCCTTTGTTTGATATGTTACAAAAATATTATAAAAACGTTGGTACTATTTAATACATTAAATAAAATTTATTGTTAGATATAAAACTCATAGTTCGTTTATACAATACGGTCCTTTGATCGATTTGGTCATGTAATTGAAAGCATTAATATTAAAGTATGTTTAAATATATGCGTAACATGATCTTGAAATGATCTTTCACTCTCAAAATTAAAATAAACCGACTTTTCCTAATTATTTAATGAATGGTATGGACCATAGATGCCAGAAAAGCACCGCCGGGTGCACACGCACACATGCCAGATACGCGTACGTGAGCTCGTGGAGTTTCGGAAAGTCGACAAAGGCAAACTGACGCATGCCCTTTTTCTCGATTCTCCGAAGCTGCCCGAAGTAATTTCGGATCGCCTCGTGGGAGTCGAGAGAGAAAGGCTCACATTTGCCTTCTCGCTCTAAACAACTGAAATCCGACCTCCCGTCAACGGCATACGATTTGGATTCTCGAGCCGAGATTCTCGACTGCCCAGGCATTTTTACTTTCCGACCTATGTAGGCGCACATAAGCAAAGTACCCATAATGAAAAAAAAATTTTGTAAAATTTATTTTACGGAAATACACGTTTTAAGACCTCCTGATCATATTTTAATTATTGAAAAAAAAGAAATTTTTTTTTATTCCCATGTATGAGCACACATATGTATATTATTAATACGATTGAATATAAATAGCTGAATGAATTTAAATGAAACTTTACATTTAAGTTTTATGTTCTCATTTCAAAGGCGTGTGGACGGATTCAAATACGTGAACACTAAACGTAACGATGTAATTATATTATTTAATATTTACTAACTATTTAACATAAAGAACATAAAAGAAAGACATAAAACGTAAACGTAAAACTGTGATTGCTCTCGACTAACGTTCGATACAGAGTGACGTTCCTGCAGTCAAAGTCGACCCTTCCTTATTCCTATCTTATAATAATGATCTAAACAAAACGCACGTTCGAGACGCAGTCTCTAAAACGTATTTCAGCTTAAACCTAAACACCTCACTCGATACCTACTCTAGCTTAGACTAAACACTCCTATCGACGCAAACGATAACGGTTCTCCTAGCCACACACATACACTCCTTACAGATTATACCTCTTGTTTCATAGTTGTTCCGATATATAGGCATAATGTATATAAAATCTTTTAAATGTTTCATATAAATCTTAGGACGAATTAAATGTTGCAGTAACTTTTATAAGACAGGGTCTTTAGATTTATTACGGCACACACCTTATTCGGAATTTCGTTACACTCTTGGAGTTACACCTGCTCTCGATTATGCTACGCTTATTCTTATCCACGCTGCTAGGCACGCCGCCTGTTTATATACATTCTCTCTCTCTCTCATTCACACTCGTCTCATTCACTCGTCTTCGCATTCGTACAATGTCGCGGGGTTTTCAAACAGTCCACAGTTCGGCCGTCCTGAGTCGATCAACGCCCTCGTTGCTGGATCATGGTTAATCGGTTTCTAATCCCATTTGGCGTCGTGTAACGGGACGTCGGTAATTCCCTGCCTTAGCTACCATTTTCATTCGGTCCGCTGAGATTATGCCACTGTATTCTCTGTTGCTCTGCTGTTCGCCTTCAATGTCGGCTACAAGATACCTGTCGTTGCCTAGAACCTTTTTAATTTCATAGGGCCCGCGGTATTTAGGGCTAAGTTTGCGACTTCCGCCGGTCGCTGTGGCCTCGCTTCGGATAAGAACGATATCTCCTTTGTCGTACAAACGCGCTTTTCTTTTATGTAAGTCATACTGTTCGCGCATACGATCGCGGTTCTCTTCCAGGAGTTCCGCAACGTTTCGACGCTCCACCTCGTTTCCTAAAGTTGAGTTAAGTTCTCTAATCTCGCGAATCAACGGGTTATCATTCGGTCCTGACACTTGATACGCCAATACGACCTCGAACGGGGTGCGTTGCGTGACCCTGTGGCGCGTGTTGTTTATTGCAAATTGTATTTCGTGTAGCCGGAGGTCCCAATCGTCGCAATCCACCCCTTTCGTGGTCGTCGCCAAGCAGTGCAATATTACCCTATTTAAACGCTCGATTTGACCATTCCCTCTTGGCGTCGCAGTTGCAATTTTTACGTGCGTTATTCGGAGTTCTTCGCAAAATTCTTCGAACGCCTTCGCGGTGAATGCGGTGCCACGATCCGAAATGACACGCTCGGGCCGTCCGTAGTGTGCCAACACTTCGCGCAAAAATTGTATCGCGTCGTTTGCGCCGCTGTCTTCTACTGCCTTCAGAACGGCGTATTTGCTAAAACCGCAGATTAGCGCAATGATATATCGGTTATTCGCTGTCGTAACTCTAAAAGGCCCTAAGTGATCTATGTGTACGCTATGGAAGGGTCGATCTCCCTTCGACAGTGGGTGTAGCAACCCTTCCTTTTTCCCTGTCGGCGTTTTATAATATAGACATGGAACGCATCTATTTACATAACGGGTTACAAAATCTCGCATGTGAGGGAAATAATATGTTTCTTCTAATTTCGCCAGTGTTTTGTCCACGCCGAGGTGTGCGACTGCACGGTGTGCATCGGATACTACATCAAATCTTACATCGGTTGGAACGTATAATCTCCAGATTCCTCGGGTGGTCTCGTACACGCGCGCCTTATACATAGTGAATTGCTTATGCGTTTTCTGATCCCCTGCTTCTAATTGGTCGCGGATTTTTAGAATGAGCGGATCCGCCCGTTGCATTGCCGCAACCCAGTCGGTGGTGATGTCAACCCCTAAAACGGGTAGTCCTGCTAGTGGTACGTCCTCGCCTGGTTCGACGGGGTTTCTACTGAGTGCGTCCGCGACAGAATTTTGTTCCCCCTTATGGTACTCGATTCGGTAATTGAATTCGGATAGCTTGAGAAACCATCTCGCGATTCGTGGGCTCATCTCGCGCTTGCCTTCTAATAGTTTTAGACTATTACAATCAGTGCGTATCACAAATTCAATACCGATTAAATATACCCGAAACCTTTCTAATGCGCAGACAATTGCTAGAGCTTCCAGCTCATACGAGTGGTATTTCGATTCTTCCGGCGTCGTCTTTCGACTATAATAACTTATTGGGTGCCATTTCCTGTCGGGTTGTTTCTGCAGTAATACCGCCCCGAGTCCTCCACTACTCGCGTCCGTTTGAACTTCGATCTCCGCAGTAGGATTATACATAGCTAAAACAGGCCTCGACAGAAGCCTTCGTTTTATTTCCCGGAACGCGGTGTCTTGGTCTGCTCCCCAGTTAAACGCCCTACCCTTTTTCAACAAATCTGTGATTGGATTCATAATAACGGCGAAATTTCTAATGAAACGTCTGAAGTAATTCGCTAAGCCTACGAAGCTCCTCACGGCTTTCACATCTCCCGGAGTAGGGAACGACTCAACGCTTCGGAGTTTTCTGCTACCCGGTCGTATCACGCCTGTCTGTATCTCGAATCCGAGGTATTCGAACTTGGTTTTCAAAAAGTGACATTTCTCTAGCTTTATTGTCAAATTCGCACTCCTCAGCGCCTCGAAAACCTGCCGTAGTCTCTCAAGCCCCTGCTCTATGTCTTTTGAAGGTATCACGATATCGTCGAGGTACGCCATGGCTACGCGGTATAATAATTTAGCTAAAACTACATAGATTAATCTCTGGAAAATAGCCGGGGCATTGCAAAGCCCGAAGGGCATACGCTTAAACTGGAAATGCCCATCCGGCGTGGTGAAGGCTGTTTTTTTTCGCGTGACTCTTTGCTCATTGGCACCTGAAAGTAACCGCTAAATAAATCTAAACTAGTATAATACATGTTTCCCTGAAGCTGATCCAGCTGATCGTCAATTCTCGGCAACGGATGCTTGTCTCGTACGGTGTTTTTATTTAAAGCGCGGTAGTCTATGCACATTCTGACTTCCCCGCTCGTCTTTCTTACCAAGAGTACCGGACTCGCGAATGGCGACGCGCTATCTTCGATGATATCCGCGTCCTTGAGTTCGGATATCGATCCCACTTCTGAAATTGTTGCAGTAACTTTTATAAGACAGGGTCTTTAGATTTATTACGGCACACACCTTATTCGGAATTTCGTTACACTCTTGGAGTTACACCTGCTCTCGATTATGCTACGCTTATTCTTATCCACGCTGCTAGGCACGCCGCCTGTTTATATACATTCTCTCTCTCTCTCATTCACACTCGTCTCATTCACTCGTCTTCGCATTCGTACAATGTCGCGGGGTTTTCAAACAGTCCACATAAATTTTATAAACTTTTTCTCTATCTTCTCTAGAAAAGAAAACATTAAATGAAATCTTATACATTACATGCTTACTTAAATCGCATTGAAAACGAATACTACAAATGTTTTAGAATAATGTGCAAAATGTGATTGCGATTTTCGCTAAGACAAATTGAAAACTCGTTTCTAACAAGGAAAAGTTGGAATGGTACCAGGTTTTGGGTTAGGTTTTACTTTGAGATATTATTAAAGTTATTACAGGTACTTATTTTCAGAAATAGAACTGTGTTTACCACTAGTTAGCGTGTCGTGAGTGATGAGGTCTTTGCCTGCAAGTTCCGAACTTCTTCTGCTCTGCTGGTTCGAACCCTGCTTGAACTTTTTTTTTTATTTTTTCAATCATACTTTAATCGTACACTAAATATGACATTATATTTTTGTCTGACCTTCGAATATTTTTTTTTAAAGTTAAATTTAACCGATTACATTTAACATATGTTATTTTCAATGTACGAAGTACATGAATCTGGATGGTACTTTTCACAAAAACAGTCAAAACATAAAAATTTCAAGCACCACGTACATTTACTGAAAGTTTTGTTTTCACAGAAATTACAAAATTTTGTATTTAACTCTGATGGAAAGGCCGCTTCATTTACATTGATAAAATGTGAACGATTTTCGGATAGTCGTACCTTGTAGCTCGTACTTTTTACCTTATACTTCAGTTAAAAAGGGATATAGCTGGGAAAAACAGTTTTATGACATTACCTGCTAACTTATGTTACTGTTCTACAATGAAACGCTATGTTTTGTACCTTTAAAAATATTCGACTATGTGCTTTTAAAATTTAAGATACAACCCATACTTTGTATTAAACTGGCAAACGGGATCACTTTTCCTTTGTTTCTAGTTAGTTCTATTTAGTTCGTCATAACCAATTGATACGGTTATTTCAAAACAATCGAGGAAAATCATTATTAATTAATTTCTGCAATTATTAATTCTACTGTTTTGTTTATGTTATAAAAGTAAGAACTCTTCTTATTGAAAAATACCACAGCGTGCACAATACTGGTAAAGAGTGGAATCTCATTTTAATTTATTAATTTTCAATCTTAAAGTATTTTGATTTTCAAAAATCGTATTAATAATATACATATGTGTGCTCATACATGGGAATAAAAAAAATGTCTTTTTTTTCAGTAATTAAAATATGATCAGGAAGACTTAAAACGTGTATTTCCGTAAAATAAATTTTACAAAATTTTTTTTTCATTATGGGTACTTTGCTTATGTGCGCCTACATAGGTCGGAAAGTAAAAATGCCTGGCCAGTCGAGAATCCAAATCGTATGCCGTTGACGGGAGGTCGGATTTCAGTTGTTTAGAGCGAGAAGGCAAATGTGAGCCTTGCTCTCTCGACTCCCACGAGGCGATCCGAAATTACTTCGGGCAGCTTCGGAGAATCGAGAAAGAGGGCATGCGTCAGTTTGCCTTTGTCGACTTTCCGAAACTCCACGAGCTCACGTACGCGTATCTGGCATGTGTGCGTGTGCACCCGGCGGCAGTGTGGCCAGATCTGGCATAATTGAGTGCATCGAAATCGACAACAGTGACGACGAACTTCCTTAGCGTCTAATGGAGTGGTGGGGATAGCAGGCATATACTACCGCACGAGTACCGTAAGAGCAACAATGCACGATATAACGTGCCAGCTTAATCGCAAACGTCCTATTCCAACATCCCATCCTTTGGAAATGTAAACAATTATATCATTTTTCCATTTTTATGGCTCGTGTGTATATTAATAAAAATTAATTCATTCACGAGTTAGTTTTTCATTATATTGTAATTTCATTACATTAATAAAAACATTTTAATATACGGCATGTGATAATGTTACAAAGAAATAACAATTTTTTACATTTCCCTCCTGATGGAAGTGACCACCACCTTCCCGTGGTTTCCATTGAACGGTAGCGTGCACGTTATTGTTTTACCTATCGTTACAATTATTTTGTTATGTAAAGTTAAGTCAAATATATAACATTTGATTGTGTGTAACAATTTGATACGGTTATTAAAAAACATAGTGGGAAAAGTCAGTAGTAATCTATTTCTGTAGCGTGCACGGTACTGGCTAAGAGTTGTTTTTTCATTTTAATTAACCCTTAATTAACCCTTTACGAGTAAGACTGCTATGAACAACATTATTCTAAAATATTTGTGGAATACGTTTTTTATGTGCTTTAGGTAGGTATGCAAGGCATAAGATTTCGTTTAATTTTTCCTGTCTAGGAAAGATAGGAGAAAAGTATATTTGATCTTAATCCTTCTTAAGATTTATATAAATCGCTTTAAAAATTTGTTACAAATGATGTATATGTATCGAAATAATTATAAAACTACAGACGTATAATCATCATTATATGGGAACTGATCACGCTTAAAATATAATGAGACCTTAAAACGAGAACATAAAACTTAAATGTTAAGTTTCATTGAAATTCATTCAGCCGTTTAGACGCAATCATGTCAATAGCATAGGAACAAAAAAAAAATATGTTTTTTTGTAGTAGTCACAATATGATGAGGGGGTCCTAAAACGTGTATTTCCGCTCAAAAAAAATTTCGAAATTTTTTTTCCATTATGATACTTTATAAATTTCCTTATACCTTACATAGGTCGGAAAGTAAAAATGCTGGAACAGTCGAGGCTTGGAATCGTATGCCACTTATCGCGAGGTCGTATTTCAGTTGTTTTGTCTTTTACAAGAGCAAGAAGGAAAGGCTCACACTGACGTTCTTTATCAATTTCCCGAAGTTGTGCGAAGTGCCGAGCTCACGTACACGTGGCTCGTGCGGTAGTGTATGCCTGCTATGCCCACCATTCCGTTAGACGCTAAGGAAGTTCGTCGTCACTGTTGTCGATTTCGATGCACTCAATTATGCCAGATCTGGCCACACTGCCCGGCGGTGCTTTTCTGGCATCTCTGGTATGGACGTATAACGTGGCCACCATATTACATATACATATAAAAGATTTTTGCATCTTTATTGACTAGAAATTTTATTGTAATATAACATAATATATTTCTTTTTGTTTTTCGTATAATTATTCCAATTACAAGTCATAATTAGCAAATCTGTACTTGTAGTCCGAATATTTTTGTGACTAAATACTGTATGCACACTGATGCATACAAGGTGACAAAACTGTGCTTCTCAATTTGAAAGAATATATGTACACCCTTATGTATTTCTTCCAAAGTGTTATTGTTATTTGTACTCGCATAAAAATATGACTTATGTAATACTGTGAGTTCTAAAATTAGATTTTTAATAAATTTTGATTTACAACTTAGTACAATTTTTCGATTATAGGTTAAGGTAAAGACTGTACCAAGAATATATTAATAATTAATTTAAATGTTAGTATTTATTACTTTTTTTTCATTATGTATGTATAGATTTTTGTAAAAAAAAATAATATTTTTTGAAACGTTTATTTGCAGTATGACTTGTATAGAGGTATAATTATCTTATTACAAAATCTGAAGAAACTGGATATAATTAATCAAAACTGATGTGGATGTATTTTCTATAAAAAGTAAAAAGTAATTAAATAAAAATGATTCCTACTGATTCTTCCAAGCCAACATTACAAGAAGAAAATAAAACAGGAATTTTTATGAATGATGAAGATTGGGACAAGGTAGTTCTTTATTTTGTTGGCGCTCAAAACAGATTCAGAGAAAATATTATAATTCCAAGAACTGATGGCCCCGTACAAATTAAAACGAATGAAGAGAAACGCATAGAAAGTATAATGGAAAGTTGTACTTTTAAAAGCATCTGCAGTTGTTGTATAGGTATATTTGTATTATGTTATATAAATTAGTTTTTATTTGTATTAACACGATTAAAAAGAGTTATATTTTTAGGTTTTTTTGTGGGAGCTGCGGTAGGTTTGTTTTCAGCTAGTGTAAACCCAAATGTAGCTACTATTGAAAAGCAATTGACTGTCTCTGAAACATTTAAAGAACTGAAAAATTCAACCACAAGTTATGGAAAAAACTTTGCTGTAATTGGTTGTATATTTACAGCAATTGAATGTACAATAGAATCGGTAATGTTTTTATAAATTAAGTATAAAATTTGTATTTTAATTCACATTTAGACATGTATTTCCATACTTTACAATTTTATTTTAGTATAGAGGTAAAAATGATTGGAAGAATACTACATATGCTGGTGGCTTCACAGGTGGAATATTGGGACTAAGAGGTATTATTTCACATATAAAATTTGGACATAAAGTTAAATGTATCCAGTTTTGAATTTGACAATTTTATGTTTCAGCTGGTGTAAAAGCAGGTTTAGTTGGTGCAGCAGGCTTTGCAGCAGCTTCAACTGCAATAGACTATTATATGAATCATAGACAATAAATTTTACAAAGTATAGTAGATATATTGGTATAAAAAAGATATAAAACATACTCTGAGCAAACCTCGAGAGTATATACGAAAACACGGAAGTTTTCTTAATACAAAAATGCATATAAATAAGTACAATGGTTAAGAAGTAAAATAAATTCACATAATACACTCATATTTGCTTCTCTTACATTATTTAAATGCCTTCTCACACATTCCCATTCTTTGAATATAATGTATTCCTTGAATTATCTAAACTTTTACGACATAAATCGTAACATGAATTAAATGGCTAATATTATTTAACATTAAGTAAAAATAAAATACATGCTGTTTAAAAATAATACTTTACATATTGCAAAAACATAAACACGTTCGAAATTGCATTTTGTATTTGACACTGTCTATCACAGTAAAAAATAAATTTTTCAATTCTCAAATACAGTGACTCGTCAGAAGTATGACCTAATTACCTCCTTCACAATTGACGATACGAAGAAATGTTTCAGGCATAATTACGGTAGTTTCAAAATCAAATTAATGAAGTAATTGATGTCATTGATGTCAATTGATGAACATTTTTTTGTATCATAAAAATAAAGCAGGTAATTAGATGTTTTGTTTCTGACGAAATTACCTGTATACTAAATGATTAGCGACAGTGTGACACTGAAACAGTCTTAAAGTCTTTTTTGCATTACTTAAAAAAATATACATGTTGGAACATTGGAAGATATGGCTTGCAAACTGTATGTTTTCAGTTTGTCGATTATGTAAAATATTAATATTCATAAAACATTACTATATATATGTATCTATACATAGAAACTGTATAGATTATTTTTCAATTACACAGATTATTTGCGAATTATTCGCTATTGGTTTCGTTTTGATATGAGATTTTTCATATAATATTTAAAAGATTGTGCATATTTTGTTACACACTTTACATATACGAGTACAATACAACTACCACAATAATTTACCAAATCCGAATTGTACTATATTTGTTGAGAAATATGACATTTATAATAACTTGTTACATAAATTTATTTTTATAAAATGGATTATATCATATTTGATAACTGTATTTCAGTAATGAAAATTGTAAATTTTTCTATTAAAAAGGAATACACAAGGCACTTATCGCACATTTCTATGTTGTGTGACTATAGATTAATATTGTTTGTCAAACGAAATTCATTTAATATTATGGTATTGTTTCCTGTACTTTTCATTTATGGTCTTATTTTTTTACTTTTTTAAGACACTGGAATATGAACAATATTATTTATGACTTAGTATTTAAAAAAAATACTAAATAGAAGAACGTATCTTTTATAAATACGTTTGTCAAAAATAAGTTTTTAAAAATTATATCTTGAATACCACATTAATCAGTTAATATAACTTTTTGGCACCTACAATGGCGAAGAATTCGTCTCTTCACGCATTTGTGCATAAATCATATGTAATTAGGGTTGTTGCTGTTGCATTTGTGCCTGCATCACTGCTAGAAGTTCTTGCATACGTCGTAATTCTGCTTCTTTTTCTTGCAAAATACGATCCTTTTCTGATACAGAATTAGCTTTCTCAGATTCCACTATGCTGTTAGTAAAAAGATTCAATGGATCAATAAATATACCTTCAATATGTTTAGAAAATATATCATTATATTTACGTTTGTCTGCGAGGTGGTACAGGAGCTCCTTTTGCTAGTCTTTCACTGCGATAATTTTCGTAATGTACCTCTTGTGTTACTTCCTGTAAATCCTGCATGTGCGTGCTACAAAGAGATGGATACAATAAATAATACCGCTTTCTTTAATTTGTTGTTTAACTTTTTGAAAAAATATCACATACATTAACATTGTCCTTAACTTTATAAAATCACAATGATCAGGATTTTCAACTTCTACCACGCCCCATGGGTACAATCGACCACGCACTTTTCGTCCTTTTACTTCTAACAATGTGTTCGCTCCACATACTGCAAATGGAACAGCTTCTTTTAACTGTCTAACTTGTTCTTTATAATCTTCATCTTCATCGCTATCGCAATCTGGCAAAGGGTAAATTTTAATGCCGCTACCCTCAATTTCTTCCATAACTCGTTTTTTTAACCGCAGTACTTCTTTTTTTGTAAGTACATCAGCCTTTGCAATTACTGGCACAATATTAACTTTATTGTGTAATTGTTTCATAAACTCTATATCCAAAGGTTTTAATCTAATACAAATTAAACAGACATATGGAAATTAATACCTTTATAATTGTTGAATAAAATGAAACTATAATTAATATATTTTACCCATGTCCAAATGGAGAAATAAAATAAAAGCAACAGTGTATTCTGTTATCTACTATATTTCTTCTATTCAAGCCACTTTCATCTCGTAAAAATCTTTCAAACTGGTCATCTATATATTGTATAATAGCCCTAAAACTATCCGTATTATCAATTGCATCTCCATAACCAGGGGTATCAACAACAGTCAACCTAAGTTTGACACCTCTTTCTTCGATCTCCACAGTTGAAGCATCAAGCTTTACAGTTTGATTAGTTTTTTCTATTTGGATAATAGCAGTACATTAATTATAACATGCAAAATACAAACAATATATATATATATATATATATGTATATATTATCATAATAAAATTTACCAGTAGCGTCAGGAATAACACGTTCTGGATATAAATCAGTAAGAAATAAACTATTTACTAATGTAGATTTTCCCAGTCCAGATTCTCCAACAACCATCAGTGTAAATTCAAATCCTTTTTTTACAGATTTTCTATGTACTTGATTAGGTAAATTTGCAAATCCCACATACCCAGGAGTTTCGAGGCTAGCAAACTACAAAAAATAGAATGAACAATTTTAATTAAATTATAATCATGACTTAAATACGTATTTTATATGCGGCGAAGAAAAATATAAACATTCTTTTATAACAAAAGACATAAATTGTTAGTATTTAAATTACATTGTACCTACCGTTTTTACGCTTTCAGTAGACATTTTTTTGTTAGAATGTAATTTAATGGGAAAAAAGGAAATTTGCGATTGCGTGAATTTTTTAAATATTACCAAGAACAACCCAAAACTAAATTTTAGGTAAATAGGCGCGGTATTGTGACAGAAGACGATATTACAACCATACCGAAAATGTGTACATGGAATGAAGCGAACGATAGGTTATTTTACTACAATATCTTATGCTTAATCACCATCACATTTCCGTTAGTACAACGGGTTAATTGGTAAATAAAGTCATAATTAATAAACCGGACGTTTTTATTGTAATTTCATTGAAATATGAAAAGAAAATATCGCACCGACTGTATAGGAAACGTTACTGTATGTCCGTATAAGGAGGGGGGAAGAGGATAACCCTCAATTGGGGGAAATTTAGGCGTGGCAACTGAAATACTTCTGTTGTCCCGTTAAAAATGTGTTGGCCATTTTAACTTTGTTCTATATCTTCTTGTACATACTAGCGTTATATTAAATTATAATTGCAAGTTATCATTGATTTCATTATATTTCTTCTTCTAAATATCTAAAATAGATAAAAATTTAGCATTGCAAAATTTTATGAAAAATTCTCCAAATAAAACATTTCAAATATATTTAAGAGTAACTTACAAAATATATTAAGAATATTACAAGTCGTTCACAATTCAGATTACACATAAATTTTATCGCCATTATCACTTAATTTTCTAACGATGTATTACACGAGTACGAGGCAAACGACTACTTTATTCAGGAAATAATATCATATACAAGCATAGTTTTACATAATATTTGTCATTATTTCGAGTTTTTCTTTATTTATTATCTCATAAACATTGATACTTCTTTCAAATGATCGACATTTATTACTATGATAGTTAATTAATTCATTACATAATATTAATGCATAGTGATCGACACATTATCTTCATACCATTCGGTAATGTTTAAATTTTTCAATCACTCAAATATTTTTACTTCTCGTAATGGTTTGTTATTATCTTATGAGCATGTAAACAATTGTTTAATACTGTTAATCAAATGCGATTTTACCTATTAAACAATCATTCACGAATCATTTTAACAAGCACATACAATGATCAATATTTAAGTGAAACATAAAAATTATAAGGAAGGAAATGATAACAGGGACAATGTTTTGTACTCGTTAAAATGGGGATTATTCTAGAGTACAGCTTCAAAAGATTCGGCTTGCACAGGATCAAATACACGTGCAATGACAGTACATATTTTTAATAATTTGTACACATACCCTCAATATTATTACAGATCGATAAAAAACAAAACATGAGATTGACATGAACATTAAAATGTATTTTCCGTGTCATCTCACAATTATGATTTGTAAATATATATATACACATACATAGATGTATGTATGTATGCATATACATACGCCATTACTATTAAAGCATGCATTGTGCACAGTTTTTTTTACTTTAAATTCTCACGTTACTATTACATTTTTTTAACTAGGAAGTTAATGTAAATAGAGAGGGCATTAGACAAGAAAATTTTATTCCTAATTAAAAGTGCCAAATGCGTGGAACTTAAGAATCTCATTAAATCAACTTTTGTCTTTATGTATTTTCGGGGAAGACTCCCCCTTAGGGGCAAATAAAAATTATTGTAATTTCTTTTCATTTTTAAAGAGATTCTTTCCACCGTATTTGAGGAGACTAAGGAATCTCGTATGGTTTCCAAATTTTTTGTTGGGAAAGTTCCTTTCCCTGCAATTTAGGGAATCAGAAACTATTAATCATGATAATAGTTTTACTTCTCATTAGTTTTTTTCTCCTCTCGAGGTTTTGCACCACCGTATATTGAACTTGATTTACTTGATTCAGCAATTGCATTTACAGGAGCTTGAACTGTTCTTGGTGTTAACACCAAACGTTTCCTTCCGCTTGTGTCAGCTATAATGTCAATATTATAATAATTTACACCATTTTAAGTACACTGACATTAACATAATATTTATACATGAACAAACCTGGAGGTGGGTTTGTAGCATACGATTCATCGTGAAATGGTTTTCGTTCAGGTCCAGGTCTACGGGATGGTGGTCTATTAGCACCGTACATTCTAGGTGCTGGGTTACGCTGCCAGTCTCGACTTCCGCCACCTGCGTCATCATTAAATTGAATATCATTGCCCCTGTTACCCCTCATTTCCCATGAAGTACTTAACCTACCACCATATTGACCTCTATCGCTGTAACCTCCTGTAAATTTTTACATTACAGGAATATATTTAGTACATACGTATAAGCTCTGACAGATTAGTTTATATATACGTAAAGAAATTTGAATTATTTATTATATTCTATTACATATTATAATATAGTAATCAACCAAATTAAAATTACTAATCTTAAAATAACTCATAAGTGTGTTATGCAAAGCATAATGTTTATTTAAATACATAGATTTTGTACCATAATCGTCATTGTATCCACCTCGGGCACCATCTCTTCCCCTATAGCCGCCCCCACCACCACGACCTCTTCTGTCAAAACCACTTCCTCGATCATTTCTTTTTCCCTCTGCTACATCTATTTTAATGAGACTTTTATCTACTTCTACTGCCCCATCCATTTCCAATGCGGCCTCCAAGTTTGCCAAATCTTCAAATTCAACATAACAGAAACCCTTAAATCTACAAGGAAAAAAAGTCTCAGCAACTTCAATTGCAACTCTAAAGTTTGTAGTATAATTGGTAATACTGAAAACTTATTAATTTATACCATAATAAAACTCATTATGGCACAAATGAGATTAAATGATACAAACCTATCAGTTTCCTTATCTTTAACCAATCTGATTCCTTTAACATTAAGTTTATCAAAGATTTTATCAACATCTCCTTGAACAACTCCATTTGGCAAATTTCCCACATATGCAGTGAAAGGTGGTTCGGTTGGCAATGGTTTTCTACCACTACTGCGATATCCACCTCCATAATCTCTGCACAAAAAATGAGAAATTATTATTAAATCATTTTCAATAATTAAAAATCATCAAGAAAAGCAATAACAAATAAGAAACAGTTTCATCTATATAATAATATACAAAGAATTGTATACAAGCAGTTCACAAACATTATTTTGTATCTTTGTTTAATAAAAGATGATACATAACATTAAACACTGGACACTTTTGGCACTTGAATATGTAACTTTTATGTTTGCATTTGAAAATTAAATGCATAATTATAATAAAACTTAAGAGTCTACGATCCAGGACTTCATTTAGATATTAATTTTCTAAACGCGAATTTAACGAATAACACAGATCCAATTACGTTTGTGTGTTGCATCAAGTAATGTTTGTAAGTAGACAGGTGGTGTATTTTGCACAAATGGTAAGGTGTAATGTTTTCGCTAATAGTGCTACGAAAAAATATACAAGTGTTTAGCCGGCCAAAATAAAGCCGCGTGTCGAAGACACCATATCTGCAAGGTACTATGATACACTCTAATCGAAACTCACTTAACCTTAAAATCATAAGATAATCGAAGAAAAGAGGCGTTCCTTCACCAACTCGGTGCACCGATAAAATACTATCGCTGCACTGTTTTTGAGAACCTCAATAACTGTTGTAAACGGAGGAAATTGTAGCCTATACTTGCCTTGAATCTTCATAACCACCTCGACTAGCCATATTGGATGCACGAGACTGACTGGGACCGCGCGGGTCGAGCGAGTTACTATGTTCAAGATGGCACTTTCCTAACCATCAGAGATGCCAGAAAAGCACCGCCGGGTGCACACGCACACATGCCAGATACGCGTACGTGAGCTCGTGGAGTTTCGGAAAGTCGACAAAGGCAAACTGACGCATGCCCTCTTTCTCGATTCTCCGAAGCTGCCCGAAGTAATTTCGGATCGCCTCGTGGGAGTCGAGAGAGAAAGGCTCACATTTGCCTTCTCGCTCTAAACAACTGAAATCCGACCTCCCGTCAACGGCATACGATTTGGATTCTCGAGCCGAGATTCTCGACTGCCCAGGCATTTTTACTTTCCGACCTATGTAGGCGCACATAAGCAAAGTACCCATAATGAAAAAAAAATTTTGTAAAATTTATTTTACGGAAATACACGTTTTAAGACCTCCTGATCATATTTTAATTATGGAAAAAAAAGAAATTTTTTTTTATTCCCATGTATGAGCACACATATGTATATTATTAATACGATTTTTGAAAATCAAAATACTTTAAGATTGAAAATTAATAAATTAAAATGAGATTCCACTCTTTACCAGTATTGTGCACGCTGTGGTATTTTTCAATAAGAAGAGTTCTTACTTTTATAACATAAACAAAACAGTAGAATTAATAATTGCAGAAATTAATTAATAATGATTTTCCTCGATTGTTTTGAAATAACCGTGTCAATTGGTTATGACGAACTAAATAGAACTAACTAGAAACAAAGGAAAAGTGATCCCGTTTGCCAGTTTAATACAAAGTATGGGTTGTATCTTAAATTTTAAAAGCACATAGTCGAATATTTTTAAAGGTACAAAACATAGCGTTTCATTGTAGAACAGTAACATAAGTTAGCAGGTAATGTCATAAAACTGTTTTTCCCAGCTATATCCCTTTTTAACTGAAGTATAAGGTAAAAAGTACGAGCTACAAGGTACGACTATCCGAAAATCGTTCACATTTTATCAATGTAAATGAAGCGGCCTTTCCATCAGAGTTAAATACAAAATTTTGTAATTTCTGTGAAAACAAAACTTTCAGTAAATGTACGTTGTTCGGTAAACGAAAGCTCGCTCATTCCGCTGGCCAACTCGAGTTGTTTCCGGTCCTTTATGTTGCCAGATGCGGGATCGGTACTACGTTGCAAACGTCTTCGAGTCTCTCGCATCTGGCAAATGTGAATGTAAAAGAATAGCATTTTTGGAAAACGAAAGAAACGCGACACTCGAGTTGACCAGCGAAGGGCTATATTGTTCCGCGGGTGGTACGGTCGTCGAGGCCAAATGTAGGCACCGACGACAACGGCCATCGCCGACACGCGGAACAATATAGCCATAAAAACAGACGTAGACCAGACGCAACCCCTTGTTGCGTGGATAATCCGGAGTTCCGTTTCTTCCTCGATAAATTAACGCGGCCGTCGACTTGGGGAGGAAACCTCGGCCACCCTCGCCAGCGTGGCCCGGGACTTTCCTCCACCACCGAGGTGAAGGAGGAGTTTGCTGCCAAACTGGGGCAGGAAAATGGGTCCTCCTCTCCCACGCCGATGGCCAATCAATCGACTCACGATTCCACAGAGGAATTTGCAAAACACCCCCAAGTGTACCTCTTGGAGGGGATCTAAGCTGAGGAGGAAACGGACTCCGGACACAATTGCATTCTAGTTTCAGTCGTCAACCGACAAACCAGTTTCAATTCTCGGTTCAGTCGTTAACCGACTAAGTCTAACTAACAAGTCTGTAACAGTACAGCAGTTTTACTTGAGTTGAACGCATTTTGTTAAAGTAAGCGCGGGGGAAACAGTTCCCCCCACAGTTCAACGCGCTTGAAAACATATCATACAGTCCACTTTGTTATTGTTAAAAATAAACTATTTGAAAACTCTCCAACACGACGACATCGCATTCACTCCAATCCGACCAACAAGAATTCGGGCGCGAACATACGTGGTGCTTGAAATTTTTATGTTTTGACTGTTTTTGTGAAAAGTACCATCCAGATTCATGTAAGTACTTCGTACATTGAAAATAACATATGTTAAATGTAATCGGTTAAATTTAACTTTAAAAAAAAATATTCGAAGGTCAGACAAAAATATAATGTCATATTTAGTGTACGCTTAAAGTATGATTGAAAAAATAAAAAAAAGAAGTTCAAGCAGAGTTCGAACCAGCAGAGCAGAAGAAGTTCGGAACTTGCAGGCAAAGACCTCATCACTCACGCCACGCTGATTAGTGGTGAACATAGTTCTATTTCTGAAAATAAGTACCTGTAATAACTTTAATAATATCTCAAAGTAAAACCTAACCCAAAACCTGGTACCATTCCAACTTTTCCTTGTTAGAAACGAGTTTTCAATTTGTCTTAGCGAAAATCGCTATCACATTTTGCGCATTATTCTAAAACATTTGTGGTATTCGTTTTCAATGCGATTTAAGTAAGCATGTAATGTATAAGATTTCATTTAATGTTTTCTTTTCTAGAGAAGATAGAGAAAAAGTTTATATAATTTTTTTTATATAAAATTTAATTCGTCCTAAGATTTATATGAAACATTTAAAAGATTTTTTATAAATTATGCCTATATATCGGAACAACTAAGAAACAAGAGGTATAATCTGTAAGGAGTGTATGTGTGTGGCTAGGAGAACCGTTATCGTTTGCGTCGATAGGAGTGTTTAGTCTGTAAGCTAGAGTAGGTATCGAGTGAGGTGTTTAGGTTTAAGCTGAAATACGTTTTAGAGACTGCGTCTCGAACGTGCGTTTTGTTTAGATCATTATTATAAGATAGGAATAAGGAAGGGTCGACTTTGACTGCAGGAACGTCACTCTGTATCGAACGTTAGTCGAGAGCAATCACAGTTTTACGTTTACGTTTTATGTCTTTCTTTTATGTTCTTTATGTTAAATAGTTAGTAAATATTAAACAATATAATTACATCGTTACGTTTAGTGTTCACGTATTTGAATCCGTCCACACGTCTTTGAAATGAGAACATAAAACTTAAATGTAAAGTTTCATTTAAATTCATTCAGCTATTTATATTCAATCGTATTAATAATATACATATGTGTGCTCATACATGGGAATAAAAAAAAATTTCTTTTTTTTCAATAATTAAAATATGATCAGGAGGTCTTAAAACGTGTATTTCCGTAAAATAAATTTTACAAAATTTTTTTTTCATTATGGGTACTTTGCTTATGTGCGCCTACATAGGTCGGAAAGTAAAAATGCCTGGGCAGTCGAGAATCTCGGCTCGAGAATCCAAATTGTATGCCGTTGACGGGAGGTCGGATTTCAGTTGTTTAGAGCGAGAAGGCAAATGTGAGCCTTTCTCTCCGATTCCCACGAGGCGATCCGAAATTACTTCGGGCAGCTTCGGAGAATCGAGAAAGAGGGCATGCGTCAGTTTGCCTTTGTCGACTTTCCGAAACTCCACGAGCTCACGTACGCGTATCTGGCATGTGTGCGTGTGCACCCGGCGGTGCTTTTCTGGCATCTCTGCTAACCATCGAAGAATTTCGAATCATGAAATCATGCAAATCTGTTTAATTGTATGAATGAGTTTCAATAATACTTTATTAAATGATTGTAAATGTTCAGTTAAAAGAATGGATTGCTAATTACTACTATTTTTATCATAAATTTTCAAAAAATTTAATTACGATGATGCCCTGGTAGGAAAAATAACTTGTTTTTGCATTTGTATTGTACAATATTATTAAAAATTTTTATCAATAATAATCCAAAAGTTTTATACAAAAATACGAAATTTTGAAAGAAAACGATTGACAGTCTATGCAACACAAAAACGGGACATTCAATTTTGATTTTATAATATATTTATTATTCGTTTCATTTAAATAATTATTATTAAAAGATTATTAAAATATTAAATTGTTCGTTTGTTTTCGTATTATATTTTTAATATAGGTAGCCATTAGATTAGCGTAGTTTATAGTTAAAATGAGGCAAGATGGCAGGTGAGGATATGCACATGGTAGAGGTGGTTTCAAATGACTTTAAAATGAAAGAAACGAATAAAATGAATTGTACAATTTTGGATTATTTTAATAAACTCAGAAGTGAAGTCGAGTCTGAAAGGGCAGTTGGTGGAATTGAACTATTGAAGTATTTACTTGGACAAGCCTCAGTAAGTATTTATTTAAAGGTAACCTTAAAAATTTACTAGTTTTTATATAGAATTCTTTATAATATTTTTGTTATAAATATAAATTATTTACGATTAATGATGTTTTAGGAACAGAATGATAGTAAGGAGTTTAAATATGCAATAAAAAGACTTATTCAAGGTTTAGGTTCATCAAAAACATCTTCTCGGGTAGGGTTTTACACTACTTTGACAGTATTTTTAGTAATGTATTCAAAAGTGTCAATAGAAGAATTTTTATCCATAGTTGATAATGAATTGCATCCAGTAAATAGTAATAGTAAAGGTGTAAGTAAATGATCTTCTGTTACACAATTGTATTTAACATTGTACATGTACTTTATTAAATAATATCATTTTAGGAAAATGCTGATATTTATATGGGACGTATATTAGCATATGGTGCATTAATACGATCTAAAATGCTTTCTAAAAGTACTGTTGATATACAAATGCAAATTGTACAAGAACTCATTAATAGGGGGAAGCAACGTAGTTATTTATCATTTCCTTCTACTTCGTTTCTTATTGAATTTGTAAATCAAATTCATGCTGATGATATTAAAAAAGTGGTTTGGCCAATTGTTGAAAAAGAATTTGGTAAGCCATGGACAGAGCAAACTATAGATACATTTTATACCTTATTGTCAATAAAAGGTAAATGCCCACCACTTGTAAATCATGAATTTTCAAAAAAGCATTTTGGTACAGAAGATATTATTACCAAAGAGTCTATGAGCAATATAACGAAAGTGCTAATGGTAAGTTTCTATTAGAACTTCAGTTATACAAAACATTATATGATGATATTTCTAAGAATTTTTTAACTTGTATATTATTAATGTTCAGGATTTGCCTAAAGTTATATTGTGTCACCATCCAGTGTATAAATTGTTTTGTGAAAACCTAACATCAGCTGAGCTTGTTACTGATTTTTGGTCATGTGTAGACCAGAAATTTACAAAACCAACCAAAATCGATGAATATATGGCTGTAATAATTCTTAAATTAATATTATCAAATAGTATGGATAAATCTGTACTTCCATCATTGTTATCTCCAAACTATATGCAACATATGTTAAAAAAGTTTTCTGGTTCTAAAAGGCATAATAAAGATGAAATACTTTTTAAATTCAAGGAGGTTTTACATCTGTTAGTGTCAGCTACAAATAGTAATGATACTAACTCAAAAACACAATATGCTGTATTAAAGAAATTAATATTATATCCGGGTGATTTAATGATAGAAAAAAAGACAGGTATAAAAGTAATTCAAATAATTACAGGAAATTTAAATTTAGATAGTATTAAAAAGGTGTCAAAACTGTACAGAGATATTATAGAAAATAAAATGCCTAAGGAAAAATCGAATATGAACACAGAATCATTTTGGACAAATGCTGAGAGAATTTATGCTGCACACTTATTAACAAGGTACTTAGTATTTTTATGAAACACAGTTAAAATTGAATCTTTTCTTCGACGTAAATAAATATGCATACACTTAATTTGTTATTAAATCTCTTTAGATTAATGGGACACAGTGCTACTTTTGTTGACCAAAAATGGAGATTAAGCCAATTAAAATTCCTATTTACTCATGGATTATGTGAAATGTCAAATGTTGGAGTAGATCTCGCTCGTAAGTTTTATATTTTTTTTTATTTTATACACATATTATACATGTATTTTGTTACTTATTTTTGTAAATTGTATTTTTGTTTTTTATAGCGCAACTTAAAGAAACATTTTATCATGCACTGGATCACAAGTTACCAAAGTTGAAAGATCTACGAAATATATTGAGTGAATTAGTTCATTATTTAAATATTCATTTAAAAAATAAAACATTAAAATTAAGAAATCCATTAACAAATGAAGCAAACATAGCTTGGGAAAAAGTGATATGTTTAATTAAAAAATTAGAGAATAATTCGAAAAAGGCAGAAGCTGTGCCAGTATTTCATACAATGAATTTACATATGGGTTTACAATTATTTTCCGACCCACGACTGGCAATTATGGCTATCACTGAACTTGAAAGCTGTTACGAAAGGCTATTAAAAAAATCTAAAAAATATAAAGGGGGAAGTGACAAAGACGACGAAGATGAGCCCGAATGGGTGGAAGTAGTGGTTGATTTATTGTTGTCCTTTTATTCTAGAAATGATCATTTGCTGAGATCGTTAGTAGGATGTGTGTTTCCACATATTTATCCATATATAACACCGGCAGCTATACATAAAATTTTAGAAGTACATAAATATTATTATTTTATTTTAAATGTTAAAGAATATTGTATTTCAGAATTTTTATTCTAGGTCTTGGATGTAAGAAATGAAAAAAAACTGTTTGTAGCGAAAGACGATCTTGACGAAGAATCATCAGGCACAGAATCAAATTTTGATAGTGAAGATGAAGAAGAAACTAGTAATGACGGAACGGAAAGTTCGTCAGATGACAATGACTCCGATTCGAATGAGGAATCATTGAATGAAGACGAAAACGAAACAGTAACTGACCGATTACGAATGGCGGTACGTCAAGCATTAGGTGATGCTTCCGTTCAAACTGAGGATGAAGATATAGATGTGGACGAAATTAATGAAGAAGATGGGAAACGATTAGATGAATCATTATCAGCGGTATTTAGAAATCTTCGCGAAAATCGTCAGACGCGATCTAAAAAACAAGAAAAGTACGCGCAAGCTCTAACACACTTCAGAATTCGGGTCATAGATTTATTAGAAACATATTTAGAATGTGGTCCATCGATGGCAGTTGTACTTGATATGCTGCTTCCTCTTTTTGCATTATTGGAATATTGCATAAAAGATCCACATCAAAAACCTCTTCAAGATCGAATTCGATCTTGCTTAAAAAAACTAGCGGCGGTGAAAAAATTTAAGGATACGGAAAATATCGACGAAGATGTATTAATAACTATATTAAAGGTAGTTCTAATTAATCGTAATGCATAAATAATTTTATACTGAATATATAATTAATAATTTTGTACTTTTAAGGCTTTAATAGAAAAAGGAGAACGAACTACGTCAGTTTACCAAGAAATGAGTGATAAATTAGCAGAATGTTGTATATTTCTTGTGAGGTGTGCACAACAAGTGGATATATCGACTGATTCCATAGTAAACATTTATGTAGAAAATTTAACCGCTTTCTTTACAAGAAGAGATTGTGTATTACCACCTATGTTATTCAAAAGTATATTACAATTACATTGGGAGGGTAACTGGCAACTAGCCCCCTTACTGGTATATTTTAAACTTTGTACTATAAAACATGGTTATGTTGAAAATATATTTCCAGATAATATTCATTTATTTTCGTAGGTGAATTTTGCTTTTGACAATACTGTCAGATCTTTTCGTCGAGGACATGCACTTGATCTCTTAACAACTTTTTATAACAATGGTCGCTTGGTTCGTTTGGATACAAAGCACAGTGGCATAAGAATGAAGATGGAAAAGAAGTTGTGTAAAAATGTCATAAGCACGCTTCAAGAATTATCTAATGCACATAAAGCTGAAAATGAACAACCTATTTTAAAAAATGGCAATGAAATAGGTAAAGAAGTTAAACAAAGGTATGTTTACCTTCTTTTGTCATTGTTGCGAAATGTTTATACTCAGCACTTGCCAAAAGCGTGGGATTGGGAAGCTGTTGGAAATGCACTTACGACATATAGAACTCATGCCTCACTTGCAAAATGTACGAAAGTGGCGTGTACTAGATTAGCTGCACAGATTGGAATATCATTTAATATGTAAGTAATAATTAAGAGAACTACAATAGATTTTTAAATATCATTACATTGTGATTTTAATTTATGTTATTTATGTTTGTTTTAGATCAAAGAAAAAAGATAGAAACGAGCGAACTTCCAAAATAAATGGAGAAACGATAAATACAATAAATGACATAGAAAAGTCTGACATTGTACAAGAGAATGGAAATAGTCATAGTGATACAGATACAGATACTCCTACATTAACGAAAAGTGAATTGAAGAAAAAGAAGAAAAACAAAAGCAAAAATGGGAAAGATAAACAGTTATTAAAGAAGGAAGCACGGACCTTACGTGAAAAAGCAATGTCTGAAGGTTTTGAATCATTTAATTTTAGTTCTTTTAGTTTACATGACAAAAATAATGAAAGTGAACCACTTCAGAATGGAAATTCACAAAACGAACGATTTAGTTCTAATTCTTCACAAAAAAGGATGCTCAAACATACGTCGGATGGCAACAAATCGAAAAGAAGAAAACACCTGGAAACTGCTTGATACATATAATAGATTCTTCGGAATTAACCGGGTCGTAAATAATTGTTATTTTTGTACATGCATTTATAAAAATATGTATCACAAAGTTTGTACAGCTTTGAAATATATAAGTCATTAACATGAGCCCATAATATTGTATTAATATATAAATGGAGAAGCAATTTTAAATTCGCAGCTATTAGCTCAGTGTTACAAAGAACTTTTCATTGTGGGTAACACCAATTACCAGGTATCACTACGAGGAGGTTACTGCGAGCGGAGACCCGAAGAGAGATAGATGGAATGCGAGTTCTATTTTGTTTATGCCAAGCAATTATTTCGTTTAAAAAGGATGAAACTAAATTAAAGGAGTCGCGGCGCGACGTGATGCTGCACCGTGCAGCTGATTTTAGGATCAAATTGATTTCCACTTGATACTTGAGCAGGAAAATGAGTCGCACCCCTGAATCAGGTCTCCGTTTCTTCAACGCATCCCGACGCGATCCAAAAGGACCCGACTTAGGATGCCTGAGAAAAAAAAAGTATTTGAGACAAAGACTTTCGCTGGAAGGTGTGCGTTTCCACACCTTACAGCGAAGCATCTCTAAGTCTGAATCGAGATACCAAGGGAAGAGTGGTTAGATCTTTGGGATCAGCTGCACGATCAAACAGCGGTGATCGAAACAAGAAACGAAAGAACGGGAAGCTACTTATTTTATAATTGCTTGACAAGATACGGGGGCACGTACAATAAAGACGAGGTATACGAGTAGACCTTACACCTTATGGACTTTCGTGGCCTAATCTGGCTGCCATACCGACCTGAAAATTCGGAGGTGATTTTAACGTCCTCTTCTCATGGATAGCGGTCAGTTGAGAAACTATTCACTGAATTAGTATTGATGGGCAGCAGCTGCAATGAGTATGTAAATACATGTGAATTGACTATGGAAGGGATTGAAATTCATTTCTGAATCTGTTGATAATGTTGCGAGTGGCACAAAAAGGGTAATGGGGTTTCGAGACTCCATAAAAGTGGGCCGAAAAAATACATTAGGTGAAAGATCTATTCGTATACCTTGTCTGTGACAATACTCTAGAATCTTTGATGAATCAATAAGAATCAAAACTAACTTAGTGATGAAGCTCTATATTTATGATGACCTATGCAAGGCGGATCGCAGCCAATTTGCTAATATTATTTAGTTTTTAATTAATAATTGTGTTACCCAGTTAAGAGCGCCACGATTATTAATTAAACGCTAAATAATATTATCCAGGTCTCACCACGTGGAGGTTGCTGCGAGTGGAGACCCAAAGGAAGATAGAGATGGAATCCAAGTTCCATCGATCTCCCTTTCGCAATTTTACAATCTGAATGATTAAACTAAGAGGATAGAAGGAACCAAAGTCCCTTCGATCCTCTATTTTAGTTGTACCAAGTAATTATTTGGTTTAAACGAGGGATGAAGCTAAATCGTGGGATACGTGACGCGACGCGATGCTAAACCGTACAGCGGATCTTGGGATCGAACCTACTGCCCTTGCCAACTCGATCTCAACCTGCTGGGAGCCCAAAGGACCCGACTTAGGCAGTCTGACAAAGAGAGAGTACCTGAGACAAAGACGACTTCCGCTGGAAGGTGTGCGTTTCCTCAGAAAACGGATACTGCACATCTTCCAGCGAAGAAACATTTTCCTTCAATCGAGTTACCAAGGGAAAGCGGTTAGATCTTTCGGACCAACTGCACGGCCGATCACATGTTTCGTTCGACGAAACAGCGGTAATCGACGCAAGAAACGAAAGAACGAGTGAACGAGGTGCTAAGTTAATAATTACTTGGTATTGCGGCCTTAAAAATAAATTTACTCTAAGCGCGCTGGAAATAAAAGTCCCTCGATGTCCTTGCGTTGTCGTCCTACGATATCCTGCGACGTACCATGATGATGTAGGCCTGTAGGTAAGCTGAAACAAACTAAAAGCGGCTGCATTTGCGATTAGTTGAACAGTTAAATATAATAATTTGGAAAATACGAGGCCCTGCAATAAAATAAATGGACCGATCGATGTCCTCGCGTTGTCATCTCACGATGTCCCACGATGATGGAGGTTTGTAGGTAAGGTGGAACAAACTAAAAAAGGTTGCATTTGCGATTAGTTAAATAATTAAATATAACATGTTGGGAAACACGAAGCTCTGAAATAAAATAAATGGACCCAGACAAATCAGTGACGTAAAAACAGACTTGAACAGGAGCACAACATATAGAACAAGCAACACTTAAGAAGATATGTAAGGAGACCAGATAAATAAAAGCGAGGGGAAACGACAGATTCAAGCCCAGCAGACATTTGAATATCGAAAAAGAAGTGAGAAATTAGAGATTGAGATATCACTCACCACTGTGTCGATAGTGGTCAGTGAATGAGATTTGTATGTGCAATATAAAATATGCATCGAACAAACCAAACAAGGAACAAGTAGTGAAATATGGAAGGAGACCAGAGAAATAAAAGCGAGACGAAACCCTACATTGAAGACCAACAGACGCTTGAAGGTCGAAAAAGGAATTACAAACGTGAGATTCGGAACTCAATCACTACTGGTTACTAATGTTCAGTGAAACAAATTATTTGAAGCAAACATGCACCAAAGAAATCAAGCCAGTAGCAAGAAGTCATACTTGTAACGGGGCCAAATATACAAAATCGGGGCGAAACGACACATTCAAGGCCAGCAGACGTTTAAATTTCGGAATAGAAATGATAGACGTGTGATTCTTATACTCACCACTGGTCAGCAATGGTCAGTATTGGTCAGTACTGGTCAACAAGTTCTCACAAGTGGTCAGTCGTGATCACTAGTGGTCAGTACTGGTCAGTATTGGTCCTCAAAGCTTGCCAGTGGTCAATAGTGGTCAGTAGAAGTAGAGCGCAGCCCCACGACGTTCCGCCGCGTCCGCCAGCCCAGAGGAGAGAGAGAGAGAGAGAGAGGTCGTCGCCGGCATTGTAACTTATCTTTAGGCAGTAGAGTGAAAGGGGTGGGGAAGACCGTCCTTGACGACTTCACCAATCAATTAACAAGGAACCGTTTCTTCGTCCAAAAAACGAATATTTTATGCAAAATGGTATTTAAAAACAATTATTTGTTCAACACCTGCTATCTAGTATTAGTTTAACTATTACCTGATGTTAATTAATAATTGTTGCAAACAATAGGAATGAAAATATGGTCAAATTCGAGGAGGTTGAAGGTTTGTATGAATTTCTATCGAGAACGAAAGTCGTATATTACGTATTTATTTCTTCGACCGAAAAATGAATATTTTACGCAAAATGGTATTAAAAACAATTATTTGTTCAACACCTGCTATCGTATTTCTAGGAAGAAAGAATCCCCTTTAAGTTGTCGTCATACAGGCGACAATATCATCGTGGTGTGGGTCAGTATTGTCTATCATGGCCGGACAGATGCATAATAAAAATTATATCAAACTAGTAAACGAACAATAATGAACGATCAGAGGTATAGAGGTATACTTCTGTACTAGATAAAATCTCTATAATTTGTGGATTTTAACTCTTTCGAGGTTTGAGTTATCGAAGTTCGACTGTAGCTGACTTTCATTGCAATGCCTTTCCTTAAATACAATCGACAGTTCGAGTACGTATATTATATCCACTCAGCGTTTAATAATATTGAAAGAGAAATGCGTTACGCGTGTAAAAAGTATTTGTTAATTGCATTCTCTTGACGATCTATCGGTAAACGATTCTGTTACGTTTCCACGTCGACATTATCGTAATTGTTCACGATTATTTATTCTAGTATATTTCATGTGGAATCCCAGTGTTACGGAGTTACCATTTGTATCCAAGGTACGTATTATCGATTCCAATTAAACTGTCGGAAACATCGGTGATCTTGTAATGATCAAGATGTCTGTGGCCGTGTGAGTGTCGATGAATCGTGTGGACCAACATCATCGGACTAACGATACGACGAACGACTCTCACCTGAAACAGTCGTGGCTTTGCCTCCGTGGATCGTGCACGCGTTCATCTCGCGCAATACAAGGACCAAAATTGCTCTTTTACCAAACAGTGACAATTAGGAATTTGTTGAAGCCGTACGTAAAATTTTTTTTATCTTCTCGTTGCCATCGAATTGTTTCATAACAACCATTGAGCAATCAAACATCCTTTAAACGTTCATTTGACTTATGATATAAGCGACAAATAGTAAAAAAAAATAAGGATATATAATATTCTCATAAGAATATGGATGAACGAAGTGAACTAAGAAAGAAAGATTTTATATTATATAAGTATACAGAATATCTTACATATATTTTCGTATGATTAAAATGACATTTCCACGTGCTCTGATGTAACCACTAATTCCGACCATTTTTGGTATTGTTCTCCATGAGAAAAGAAGACTTACTAAATATGATTAAAAATAAATTTTGCTCGCTACGACTACTTGTTTGCTACTATTTTTGGAGACGCTATTCTACAATTCTACTGATACATCGGTTATCACATTTGACTTTCAAAATTTCTGACTTCGATAGCAATTTACATAACAGATTGATATCGAGTTAAATGAAATTACGCATTAAATGTTCGAGCAGTTTTATACAAGAATTCATTTCGCAACATCGTATGAAAACGTTAATTGGTAGTTCGTCTCTTTTTCTTTTTCTAACGAACAGACATACAAATATCTATTTTTTTTAAATAGCAGAGTAGACAAGTACGACTCTTCAACCTGACACAAAATGATGAGACAATGGAGCCTCCTGTGGCTCGTTGTGGGCTGCATTTATCTGCTTGAGCTATCTGCAGCCGAGGTTCATGTACCGTCGGTGAAAATAAAAAACGGCACGTTGTCGGGCCAGATTATGAAAACCAGACGTGGGAGAGAGTTCGCGGGCTTCCGGGGAATTCCTTACGCCTTGCCACCTCTTGGAGAACACAGATTCGAGGTAACACAAAACCCATACTTCTACAAACAAATAAACGGACAAAATCTTATCTCTTTATCTATCAGAAAAAATCAATGTATGTTTTCATGCATTCAAGATTTCAAAAACGGGGTAAATTTAAAATTTGTATCAATTAGATGTTATTAAAAAAAAATATATATATACAAAGGCAAGTCACTTAATCGAATGATTTTAAATTATATGTACTCTTTTTATTGCTTTACTTTTAACGAGAAAATATATAACATTTATTTCGAACAACTTTCCCAAGCTATTACGGATTGAATTTCAGGGAATTAATTTATTGTTCGAAGCACCTTGTATATTTATAGAATAGTGAACCATTTGAGTAAAATATTTTTGTTACTGTACACTGCAAGATTTATATTCTGTTCGTAAAACGACAGTAAAACTAAACTATTGATAATCGAAACGTTTCCGTGAACGTACGAAGTCAACCACTAGATTAGAGGATAACGCGAAGTTATAGGCGCTCAGAAGTATTATTAACGGTAATAATCATAATACTGAGAACAATTATTTCTCAAGAATTAATGTAACAAAAGCGTGCAGTATTTTTTACGCAAACAACTAGTCGAGTTCTCTCGATTACAAACGAATTTAAAACGAGATATAAATACTTCGAGTATGCTTGCGCACATAAACGTACACCGAATTACATAAAAGATTTCTTAACGCTTGATGATATTTTTCTTGTCAATGAATTCCATCGAGAAGCAAGGATAGAAGCTACCCGATAAATGCCTAACACGTTACTCGTTTCGCAACATCATGTTCGAACTGATAAAAAAGAATCGCACAACATTTCTTAATCAATATCTTGATCGTCTTTAAAATTAATTGATCGTAAGATTAGAATTTGCGATATCTTGACGTCGATTCGTAGTTTCATCGCGAAAAAAGGTAGTGCTATATGTTTACAAACACTGAGTTAAGCAATCGACCCTCATACAACACGGTACTTTTGCGAAACGAATTTGCCCTAACACAGTTAAGCAATCGAGTAACTCACGGAATAATACGGCACGTGTTGATTGTTTTTTGTGAAAATAATGCATGGAAAATTTTTATTCCAATTTATCGGAACCAGATATCATAACTGTTATCTTAATTAATAATATCTATAATTAAATGATTTTAGTCATTAATCATTATGAATGAGAGAGTATAGAGTGTCCAGTACAATTATCATTAAAAATCTGGTGCACTCGTACTCTACGAATTTTCAAAATTGATTTTCTCGGAAACGAAGTATCGTTCGAAATAAGTTCGTTACATGTTTTCGACTTACATTTGTACGGGGAATCTCATTGCTTCGAAGTTGCTGTGGCACAAATAGTATAAGGTCGCAGATTCGAATCCCGTTCACCGAGTATTTTCTTATGAATTGATTTCATTTGTAACTGCAACAAAGGCGTGCCCGAGCCAAATGGTGGTCACTCTGGCCTTAAAAGCATAAAAACATTTGGTATCATGGACATACTCGTTGATACACGGTGCAAATGTACCATATCTTTCAAACAGAAGAATACCTTTAGCAGCAGATCCATATGCCGTTATCGAATACTATACAACAGACTTGCACAACCAGATCGCGATCTACCGGTCGGCCAGGTCGTCTGTTTTTGGTAGATCTTTTGTCTTTCCTCGTTATCGACATCGTGCTAGCAAATGATCAACAGTTATACTCATACACTTAAAGCATAAAGAGCCATTGTCCTGTCTAGAAACCATCTGGTCGAATATATTTTTACCGATACTCAAATTTATTTGAAAATTACATGATTTTTAGACATTAAGTTTGACACAATTTCCTCCGTGAAATAAAAATTTTGTCGTGACAGGTAATTTATTCTTGCCATAAAGTCAACGTATAACAAAGTAAGACCGTAGCTATAACATCATTTATCATAACTGCTCGGTGCAGTGTTCGATCGCGTTGCCGATCGACGATCGTTGAGTAAGAATAATGACACTCGAGTTTTACAAAGCTCCTAGAAGTGTCAACATCTAATACTTTTCCTGTCTTTCTTTCCAAGAGAATTTTTTAGTATTCAAGAAAGATTCGTCAGAAATTCGTAAGAAAACCTGTTGATATTTGTGCAGAAACGGTACAAGATAAGCTGTCGAGTTGATAAGTACAAATTCGTCGTTGCATAGCATCGTTTAATCTTTACGACAAGGCGTTAAGAAACACTTAGTATTTCAAAACTATATTAGTTAAATCTTTTCTTCAGGAATGCATCGAACGCATATTTCTCGTTTTCCCGTGACAAACAAAAAACCTGTTTTCGTCAACATATCCAATGACGTAATTATGTGTTCTATTACGACAGTCGCGGGAAATACATTAAAACAGCCTGTACAACTTTTCATTCGCATCCTGAAAAATCCATTTTTTCCCCTAAATAAACCAGTTCCCATATCAAATATTTACACACCGATCGGTTTACCCCGTGCATTATTCGCAACCTTAATTCGCACTAAACAGTTTTACGCTGGCTGCGTATGCTCGCGAGTACCCGCATATTTGCGGCTTTAAACTGTCAGTTCCTCAAGGAAATACTATTAACCTCGCGGAAACTAATTTGCATTGCATTGCGTAATCTTCGGACGGTGGCGAACGAAACCGCATTATTCAGAAATCCAAATTAAGGTCTATTTATATTATCGACAAACCGTGTAACTGGCGAGCCACGTATCGATGTGTTTTATCACTATTTTTTAATTAGGGACGATTCATATTATCGATTCAGGCACGTTCCGTTTCCAACGAATTAGAAACAGAAATAAATACATTGTATACCGGTCTTGTTTTCATCGACTGTATTTATTAAATACGAACGCATATAAGCATACAAATCCAGCTTTTCGATGTGTCATATATCTGAGACTGGTAGCGAACGCGCGATGGAAAATTCTCTTCAAAAGGAAAATAGGAAAATTCGATGTTGACGCTTCTTGGAACTTTGTAAAACTCATTTAAAAACTAATTTCACACCCATGTATGCTAACGAGGCTTGTACGTGCCTCCTCTTTGACTAGTTGTCAACGAATTTTCAAAGAGCTCGTTAACTCTTCGACGTTTTATTATCGAAGAATAGATGTTACCTTTTGATTGTTCACGTTCAGGAATTTTAAATTGTGCATGAAAGGTATCAGAAATGTACTATTACATTTTGCAAAGCGTAATGGTTTTGTCGACAGCCACCGAGACCATCTGCAGCATGGAACGGAGTTCGATCGGCTCAAGATGACGCCAACATATGCACGCAAAGAAACATCTACACTTATCAGGACGAAATCATCGGCGACGAGGATTGCCTTTACTTGAATGTCTACACGCCTAAATTGCCTAAGGAAGATGATGGAGTGAAAGGAGGCTATCCCGTTATGATTTGGCTCCACGGCTGCGGATGGATCTGCGGTGCCGGACATTCCGACTTCTACAGTCCAAAGTTTCTGCTGGACCACGATGTGATTCTAGTCACCGCGAACTACAGGTGAGAAACTCATAAATTAACCCTTTGGAACGGGGAATTATAAATGTAGAAATATTATAATCTGCGTACGAGAGCACAAACAAATTTGTATCTGAACAAACATAACAAGTTGAATGGATGATGACAATCAAAGCGTTAAGAATTTTAACGTGGATGGATTCACCTTGCATAAAGAGGTACCTGTTTGATCGTTATGTTGCAGACTTGGACCGCTGGGATTCCTGAGCACGGAGGATACCGTGTGCCCTGGAAACAATGGATTGAAGGATCAAGCGCAATCCATCCGATGGGTGCACGAAAACATCGCCGCTTTCGGCGGTGATCCCAATCGAGTGACAATCTTTGGCGAAAGCGCTGGAGGCGCCAGTGTTCATTATCATATGATGAGTAATTTGACAAAAGGTAATTTGACATCGCAAACTGTCAAGATTATTTAATCTTTGATTTGAACATTCAGCTAAAACTTTCAGGAATTTTTTACGACACAAAAATCAGCTTGTTGAACCTCTAGACTTTCTTCCTTCGCTAAATTCTCCAATTTTTATAACGCAGAGGATTGTCGTAACGCGTAATTACGACTGAATACGGCGTGGCTGGCGCGTCTGTTCATTGCTCGCTGTTTCTACTTATATCCAACTCTAAACACAGTTAAGCGCGAATCCATTTCAAACTCGGTTTTCTTGAAAACGAAGCTACGTATGACAAAATTTGATTCTTTCTTTTCGATTTGTTTTTCCAGATAAAATTACTTTTGTAATTTAAGATTCGTGAAAAATGAAAGATTCAAGAAGTATTCATCTTATCCAGCGGACCTCGTTGCGTCTCATGTTCGATAAACTGAACGTTAAGCCATTATTAGTCGTTACTAATTACTCTTCTAGAACGAAGTAATTCGTCCAGATGTCCAAGATAAAATTATTATAATAGGATTACGATTAAAGAGTAAAAATAGTTAATACCGTCGGAACAGAAGGCGTAAAATCGAACGTTTTACAAATAACAAAATCGATTTTTTACTATGTCTTTTTGGCGTCTAAAACTTTTGTCACGTTCTGTTTGCAATCTCACAACTTACGAGAATGATAAACTGTTCGCTGCGTCGCAACGAAAAGTATGAGCGAACGCAAACTGATTTATGCGTACCAAACGCTATTCGCAATGTATTCGAAGTTTCAAGTAATGCTGGAGTTACAGTAATCGTAATATAATTCTTCCGTTGAGACAAGACTTGCGAAAGAAGTTTCATAACAGGCATCAAGTGTGCGCATTACACCAACAAACAATCACTAGGATTCCCATAAACGCCTATTCTGAATTCGAAATCAGCTCTATCAGGAAACATACATACCGGGGAATCTCGGTTTGTCGTATTCGAGACAAAAGAATTAAGCGTCGAGGAAAGTTCTATTGCACGTTATTCGTAGAACAAGTTTACAAAATTTATTACTAATTAATTCTCGTGGCGACCGGTTCGCGGGAACAAAATGCTTAATGTATGTTTTTATGTGCAACACTGTTGGAAACAGGAATGTTCCATCGAGCAATTTCGCAAAGTGGCAATGGGTACTGTCCCTGGGCTGTGATGAGACCAGGCGCGGCCAAAAAGAACGCGGAGAAGGTGGCTGATCTTTTGGACTGCCCTTCGAAAGATTCGAAGCAGCTCGTCGCTTGTCTGCGCAATAAGAAGGCCGTCGACATCATTGGCACTGATCGTGCTTTTCAGGTAATTACAATTTTCTCCTTCGCTAATTATTATGTACATCGGTACTGATAAGCGCCCGCGTCGCTTATGATTAAGTGAAATTTTTATTTTGCAAAGATCTTTAAATAGAAACTTGTAATTAAACGTTAAGCAGGAATGGTTTAATCGTGAATCGATTTGTCAGTAGCGGGAGAAGAACGCGAAAATGGTTACGACGCAATGAAATCGAGATTTCATGCTATGCAATTTTCTAAATTATAGCTCACCTCGCGATCAACCACCTTGCAACACATCCAACGTTTAATCACTTTAATTGCCGTTCCTTGTAATCCGCTCGTCACGTATGACGCATTTCCATCTGTGTTATACTATTTGCATACCATCGATATACACTCTTGACAGCTGTCGAATTGCACGTGTTTGTGATTTTTCAAATACATCATGCTTAGGCTAAGGCGATGCTAATTCACGTATAGCGTCCGCGTGCATTTGAGGTGATTAATGACAAATCAGTTTCCAGTTAATCGATATTTTTTTGTTATTATTTTAATTCAAGTCGCGTTCTCTACTAGAATTATTTATACAATAAGGTTTATTATTCCTGTTTCTTTAGGAAATTGTAATGGTTTGTTGCATGATTTTACGCCGTTAAATTGCTGAAATGAATTTTTCTTTGCGAACAAACTGCAATATAAAAGTTTTATTATATTATACGTTTGTTCGTATTTTTTGTCTACGATACGACAAAGTTCTTCGTGCAATATTAATTCTAAACGAGTAAAGTTTCTCACCGATATTACCGTGCAACAATATCTTTCGTATATTATTACCATGAATAGACTGCGGGCATTCATGCATGGAAAATACTTTTAAATAAGCAGATAAAATATTCTAAATGAATTGCTCGTATCTTGCTTTTTCTCACGAATTATTGATATAGTTTGAAATAAAGATTTCAAAAATGATTTGATTCGATAAAAAATTCATATTTCTTTTTATTCGTTGTTTAATTTATTCATCATTCTTGTGAACATTTCCTAACAAACGAGTCCAGATTAACGAGATTCCGTTTGTATGCTGCTTAGTAATTACACAATCAGACCTTGCCATTGAGACTGTATACCGTGAGCTAGATGACTATACACGGCTATGTTTGTTAATTGATTCTTATTACATAAAATGCCTATCTTAGAATCTAGAACGACAGAAAAACAAGACGCAACATCACGCTATTTCATAACTTAAAATTGTGATTATGGGTGTTGCACGTCGGATACGATATACTCTACGATAAAATGCATCGCGTTAGGTATAACCTTATAGTCATCGGATCGCCTTGATCTTGACCGTTACAAACGATAAATAGATCGTAGTCCTGAATGAATTCCTCTCGAAGGCCACTTTGTCGTTTGCATCATAGCTCATACATGTTAATTGAGTTTTTAGACTCACTTTTCCAACAGTTACGTTAATGGACAGCTATATCTTCCCTCGAACAAAGCCAAGTGCACTCGTAGATTTTAATAGCGACATTTTCTTGCAATATAAACCTAACTTCTGTAAGGCGCGTCAGAATTTTATATTATAGACTATATAAAAAAGTGGAACTACTGTTAGGGTTCGCAAGACAGTTTAATGTTCACCTAATGACAATAAATTATGATCAAAACGTACACGTTTTCCGTTGTAAATGCAACGATGTATAAAGCTAGAAGGAAACTTCCACCAATGGATGATTGCGGTTTCACGGCAGAGAAACACAGAAGTGAAAGCGTATGTAAAACAAGGCAATAAATCGACTATTGTCCTTCGAGACGTAGCTTTTGCACATATTTTTTACAGTGATTGAAACAAAACATTACGCGACCAACATTCAAACCACAACAAAACCTCTTGCCTCTTAAATTAATGGTTCTTTCCTGTTTCAATGTCAAAAAAAAAGGTTTATAGCACATAGTTATCGATACTATCCTTAATTTTAACGAGAGGGTGATTCTTTGTGATAAAATAAGTTGATAAAAGCTTGCTTTTATAATGCTAAATTCGCAACTTTACAATCGAATACGATTTCACTGGCGCGTCTGTTCATTACTTGCTGTTTCTACTTATACCGGTGTCCAACTCGAGCACTATTTTAAAACTTGAGTTTCTTGAAAACGAACTGATCACATTACATAAAATAAGCTTGATAAGACTGTATGACTTCATACAACACTCTGAATCTTCCCATTAATCAATTTTAACCCACGTTTTACGCAAATAACACTGTAAACTTCAATACTGTAGTACTGAATATTTTCCTCCAACTTTTTATCAGGAGTTCGGTTACTGTCCAATGATACCGTTCAGACCTGTAATCGAACCTATTCATCCTGGTGCTGTCTTAACGGAAGATCCTGCTGTTGCATCAAGGAACGGTCGCTTGTTAGACATACCGTGGATGACAGGAATTACGTCCGAAGAAGGATCCATCGTAGTACCAGGTATTTGTGAACCAGCATAATTAATTTCTTCATAACAACGTTAGTCGTGCGTCTTTAACTGTTTTAATTTACAAAATTACGATGTCGTTACTTTTCTTTTACAAGGACTATATACGAGGCACAATGGAAAATTGATTAAGAAGCTGAACGACGATTTCGTGAACATTGCTCCTGTGACACTGTTGTTCGGACAGACGTGTCCTAAGGCCGAAGTGACGCAAGTGGCCTCCAAAATACGAGAATTCTATTTCGGCAAGGCCCCGATCGACAATTCCACGCGATTCAATCTAATCGATGTGAGTACATCTCGCTATAAAATTCACGTTTACGTAAATCCAACAAACAGGATGCAGAGAATATCATGATTTTCTTATTATTACTTGAAATATATATTTTTAGTACGTAATATAATCAGGAAGTTTACATAGCGAATCGTCAAACTTAACTTTTTAATTTCTAAGCTCGAGTCTATTTTAGATGTTTCGATTAAAAAAAAATATACAAAATATTTCATGAATCTGAATACTTTTGTCATATCCAGAGCAGCCTGTAATGCATAGATATATTATGTTGGTTGATTCGTTGAACGTTTTTGCAGATGTACAGCGATGCTTGGTTCACTCATGCCGCTCACACATCGGTGCGCGATTATCTGGAGAAACAGTCCTCCCCAGTGTATTATTACTATTTAGCATATCGGGGTAGCGCATCTTTCAGCATCATATTCGGTGATCCTTCCAATAATTACGGCGTGTCTCACGCCGATGAGCTTCAATACCTGTTCCCCGTTGGCGAGCAACTCTTCAAGGATATACCCTTGAGCGAAAAGGATCAAGAAATGGTTGATGTTATAACGAGCATGTGGTTTAACTTTGCCAACTCTGGGTGAGTGTTTAAGATCATCCAAACGAAGAATCGTATCGTTATTATCTGTGATTATCAAGAAAATAGAATTCTTTTGTAATTAAAAAATGTCTGACTCGTATTTTCTTGTAATTTATCTCAACCACTATGAGAATACTATTGTGTACGTATAAATTTAATTTTTAAATTATTCTAAACGCAAGTGACACTGAATCTTTAATTTTTATTTCAAATGTTTCGACCACTAATTTTTATTTTTATTCTCCCATTCGGTAGCAAAAGTGTTTAATCCAATTGTTTATTATTTTTCAGCAATCCCACTCCCGAAGTATCGAAAGAAGTACCCCTTAAATGGAAGCCAGTGAGAACGCGGGCCCTCGAATACCTTCGATTAGGACAGGACGATATTAAAATGTCGGAGAACCTTATCTCGGATAGAATGAATTTCTGGAACCGGTTACCGATACGGCCGGATTTGGACGACGGTGACAAACGGCAACAGAAAAAAGACGAACTCTAAAAATTGTTTAAAAACAGCCAGCGTGAAGCGACACGCATAAATCGTATCTCCAGCCTTGACCACTACTTTTTCAGGCACGAACTTTTAAAAATTATTTGTACTCTACAGTTCGATTTTTATACCAATGTTTTTCAACCTACGGATCGCGGTACAAAAGCGAATCTCGCAAAGAATTGATCGAAATGTATTAGGCTGGCAAAAAAGTTCGCGAGGGACACGCGACGAATAAGGGAAAGAGAATTTTTAACTTAAACGTCTCATTCTATTGTTAGATTGGTCTTCGAAGTTTAACAACTGCAGAAGTATATTTTTTTTTGTACCACTTTAACCTCTTCGGATACGATTTCACGAATCGGTTTGTACAAAGTGAATTGAACTTCATCTTACACCATTGAAAAATTATTAGAATAATTTAAAAACTAAACATTTCAGCTGCAAATGTGCATACTCGAAGAGGTTAAACGTGCTATTGATCTCATAATAAACGCTCCCATTCCCTATATTTGTCGAAGGAAATCTTATAAAAATACATTACATTATTTGCAGTAGTAAATATCAATTATTGATTGATGCAAAAGTTCTGCAAGTATTTAATTCGGCCAGAGGTTTCTTCAAATAATTTTTTAATCAATAAAAATACACAATTTTCGACTAAATAGGACGCCTTCTAAAATATTTGGAAACCACTGTTTTAAATAGAAACGAATTACCAATTCGATCATAAATGTTTCATCGAAGCAAATCGACTTATGATCAAATGATTTAATATTGATATAAGTATGTATAATATTATGTACATAATGATGTTCCGACCAAATAAAGGAGATCACTTATTTTTCAATTTTCTCTTCTTAGCTTTCAAACGTTTTTTTACTGGTTTCTCCGTGAACGCAGGAACGGGTAAAATCGGTAGACTGTATTCGATCGGTTTTATCGACAACGACATGCATGCCAAAGAATAATTTTCAGGATAACAAGTCTCGAAAATTTGGAACCTGATCTCTTTCCATCCCAGATACTTGTACGGAACTTCGGAAAGAATTTCGAATCCCAGTCTCTCGGCTGTAAACGTCGAAAGTTTAAGAACAAACAATTTTTAGAAACAACGGCGGATACGAGAGACAAAGAGGGAAGGTATAGGAGTTCAAGCTATCTCCCCCATTGACTAAAAACATTCTTTAGTCGTTGACAAACATTGAACAATCATGAAAACTTTAATATTATATTTCTATTTCTATTTATAATTTCTAGTGGAAGTTGTTAGCCCCTCACCTCCCCTCTTCCTTCGAGTTCTTCTAGATCTGCCACTACGTATGTAAGTAGTCTAGGACTTCGAGAAGTGAGATGTACCTATCGTTTGGGCAGCGCCAGAAGTGAATATTCCGACACAGGCACATGCAGATTCGGTCAATCGAGCGATGCAAGAACGCACCAATGCGGTACCGATACCTTTTTTCTGATGATCCGACTTTACACAGAGAACATCGATCGACACTATCTTCTCTGCGTCCAGCGTTTCGTAAAACAAAGCTTGAGATACCACGTAGCTTTTCAACATTGATATTTCACGTAGCGTGTCACCCTGACGTACCTTGCTTTCATACAGAATTGTTAAGGCATAACATTCATTAAACTATCAAAAATATAAAAATTATGGGCTTTAGTCAACTTGGATATAGCAGTTGTTATGACAATTTCAAAGGAAACACTGAGACAATGAGTAAGAAACGAATGAAAAAATATCGAAATAGTTAAACTTACTGTCTGTAAAGTCGTTAACCATAATACATACTTTGATTTGAATTCGTCGTTGATGTTTTTTCATAATTGTCGACGCGATGAGAACACCCACCATTTCTTCAGTTCCCTCTTCAAGAGCACACAAGCTAATCATGTTTTTCATTTGATTTAAAACGATGTCCATATAAGCCCTGATCGATAATGCATCGTTGTACAAGCCAGCAGCTTTTGACACTGGTTCTACTTGACAGTAATACTCCTGCAATAATCGCGTAATAAATAACTAACTGTTTCGTTGAAAATTGTATTTCTTCGATAAAGGGGGAAGTAAACTGCATGAGTGCCTAATGATGTACTAGCACGAAGTGTAACGCTTGCATAAACCTATCCAGCCGGAGGTCGACGATTCGATAACCGTTCGATTTTCTTTCCCACACCACTGTCGCGTCCGCGCTGTGCCAATTTGTCCTCGATTCTTGACTCCTGATGTTCTGAATGTGTTCATTCACGGCGAGGAAGTCGCTTTCCTTGATCGAGCTCCCCTTGCCGAGCAAAACTCGGTGATAAGATTCGTGCGTTACAAGCATCTTTCGAAGCAGCAAATTGACGCGGGTGCAGACTAGTATTTTTCGTAATGGTGATTATAACACACTTAACAATTTTGAATAATGTCGCAATGACACCCTGCACTCCCAAACACTTCGACTTTGAATTTACTTCCTATCGAATCGAACGAAACAACAATAACTTCACGAAAGTCGAAAAATTCAACGTCTCGCACGGAACAACCTAACAATTTTCAAATTCCGTTTAACGTTTAGTTACTATTGTATCTCGACTGTTACGAAAATGGATATCCTGGGTGAGAAAGACGAGCTCACGTTGCAAATGGAGGCGCGAATGAAGACTCCTCTTGTATGGGATTCACCGGATAACTGCGAGATAAAAGACCTGCAGGAGCCACAGTACGACGAAGCTCTTCGTCTGATCAAAGTTCAGCCTCGAAAATGAACCGCGACGAATAAGTTTCTTCAGCGACATTTCACGTATCAGCTTAGATCTCCACATTCTATCTAGCGTGACGCGTGCGTGACGATCGTAACGCGATCCGATCCGTGTTTTTCGCAGCGCCACTACTTTCGCGAGGAAACTATGTGCAAGGCATCCTCGTTGCTGCAGGATCAGCCATCCGTGAAGGAATACATAGAGTTTGTAAGAACACGGATGAAGGATACAACGAGCCTGATCGCTGTCAGCGTTAAGTCCAGTCGCGTGATCGGAGTCGCGGTCACAAGGATCAACAGCGACCCGGAGAAAACGAATACTTATAGCCGGCTACAAGTACATTTAAGATCAACGACACGTATACATAGCGATCTATGATCGACTAAGCTTAACCCTCGTTCGGAATATACGTATTTTTCAGGCCCTCGAAGGAAAATCTCTCCAAAAAATCATGCACCTGAAGAACACGTTGATCGTGCAAACGAACGCTTACGAACGGTTCGGCCACGACGAATATTTCCGTATATACATTCTCCAGGTGCACCCGTCTTATCACGAGAAAGGTATCGAAATCGCACTTCTGAATGCTTGCGTGCAGGTAGCGAGAACCTTGGAGATGCCGGCTATTGGTGGTATTTTTACGTGTGGTGCGGGTCAAGCGAGGGCAGAGAGCGTAGGCTTTCAGCTTTTCTCGGAGATACGATACAGCCAATGGATCATCAACGATCACGTTGTGTTCGATGATCCAGGCAAGGGAAATTACTCCGCTGCTTTCATGGGCATGACGATATCACTCGAGGAAGACTCTAACCACGAGCAAGTAGACGAATTGGTGAAAACCGTGGAGGAATAAATCTCTTTAAACGTCCAGAAATTCTTGATCAACCTGTCGCTATCAATCAACGAAAATTTGTTTCCTTAACACCTATGTGACAGATTGTTAAGCAAAAATAAAATTTATACATCGGATAAAACAATTCTTAGATTTGTAATAGTTTCCTGGCATCTGGACCAACGCCATTCTTGCAAGATATTGTATAATAGAGTAACCAATATATTTTTCATCGAATATACATATAAAACTTCTTATAGCCTTCATTAAAAAGTTATTAAGATATTGAATTAAAAAGTTCCAAATCATTCTAGACAAATTATTTTCGGTTGCGGGGATCAATTACAATCATTTTTGGTGAATAGACATAACCCCAAAATTCTATTCACTTTTGAGAAAAAAATTCGAATAGGTGTGACATTTTTCGGCGAAATAAAAAAATTTCAAATCATTCTAAAAAAATTATTTTTGGTTGCAGGGATCAATTACAATTATTTTTTATCATTAGACATACCGCCGAAATCCTACGCAATTTCGGGTAAAAAATTCCTTACCGAAAATCTAATTTGAGGCCAGAAATGGTTCCCCGAAATTTCATGCGAATCTTTAAAACGTCATAACTTCTGAACGGATTGGATAATTTTAATGTTTCAAACAGCAAACTACGCGTATTTTAGTGGAAATTATGTACAAATCGCCAAAACATTCGAAAAGCTGATCCTTGACCCAGCAAAATGAGAAAAACCCCATAAAAATGGTCCAATTTTCAAATGGCCATAACTCCTACAATAGTGAATATATTTCAATGTAACTTTTTTCTGAAGTAGAGCTCATGGGTGGCCACAAAAAAGTATTAGACAACTTTTCTGTGGGGCGTCAAACAAAATTACTAAAAATGAAAAATGAATTTTTAAGAAAAATCGACAGGTGAAAATTTTCGGCGAAACAAAAATTTCAAATCATTCTGGAAAAATTATTCTCGGTTGTGGGGGTCAATTACAATCATTTTTTATCATTATACATACCCTCAAAATCCTACCCATTTTCGAGAAAAAAATTCGAGGAGGTGTAAAATTTTTCGACAAAATTAAAAAATTTCAAATCGTTCTGAAAAAAATATTTTTAGTTTCAGGGATTAATTACAATCATTTTTGGGGAATAGACATACCCGCGAATTCTTACGCACTTTTCAGAAAAAAATTCGATTAGGTGCTGAAATTTTTTCGCGAAATTAAAAATTTTCGAATCATTCTAAAAAAACTATTTTTAGTTGCACGGGTCAATTACAATCATTTTTAGTGAATAGACATACCCCCGAATTCTTACGCAGTTTTGAGAAATAAATTCGATTAGATGCTGAAATTTTTTGGCAAAATAAAAAAATTTTAATTAATTGATTGATGCGAAATTTTAGACCGTATAGCGTTCATTCCGTTAAAAAATAATAAAACTTCTGTAATTTCATTTTGTATCTCACTTTCTCTTATGTTCATTTCTAAACCCGTTGGTAACGTTGCGAGTGACGGGAAAATTGTATTGGGGTGTCGAGACCCCAAAGAAATGGGCCGAAAAAATACATTGGGTGAAAGGTCTACTAGCATACGTCCTCTGTGGTGTAATTCGCAACATTACGCAACATTCGCAACATTACCAACAGGCTATAGAAAACGATCATAGCGCTTATTACTGTAGGAAATAAAATTATAAGAATTCGTTTGTTTTTTAACGAAATTAAAACTGTACTATAATAACTTCTACCTTGACGGTGAATCGATGTTGTTGTTGTTCAGTAGAAGATGCTTTAGAAATCACCAGAGAAGTCATCGTGAAAGTGCTGGTGAACTCATGCATGTGATGCTAAAATATAATAAGTAAAAAATATTAGAAACTGCATTTAGTAAATTTAAAAATTAGGAATTTTTTTCTGAATATAAATGAAATAAAGTACGAAGATGCTTACATTTCTCGTTTCTGAAGCATTGCCCAAAGCTTCTCTTCAGTGATCGAATTGCAGCAATTAAACTGTGTTAAAGAAATAAAACACAAAACTTCAATCAAATACTTTAAAGTAAATGTACCTAAATCTTAATTAAACATCAATTCAATACGATATCTGTTTTATGAAATAGTAATTTTGTTTAGAGGTATGATGATCAATGTTGATTAGATACATATGGAAAAAAGGCGGGAAACTGACTCAAACTTTTTTTTTGCGATTCCTAGTGAATTTATAATAGACACGTGTTAATATTGAATGAAAGCACCAACAAAGAGTGAAGGACAGTAATAGTAGTGGTTAGAAATGTTTAGATGACAATAAGTAAAAAGTACATACCTCATTAGACGCGAATATGTCAATGCTTCTAACCATATCAGTTTCCATACAACGAATGACGACCCCAAAGAACAATAGATTCTTGATATGTATTTCCGAAGGAAAGGTTAAACCTTATATCTCGAACAATACTCATGATACATTTAGGAATTGCGAATATAAAATAAATACAGAAAGATATCAGACAAACAATCAACTAATGATTCATTATCGTTATACTTACTTATGTGACGTCACAAT